AATCCCACATCATTTCCATAGAAATCCCATGGAAATCCCATAGAATTGCCATTTTATGAGGCGGGTCTGGCGAATTTCCACCTCCTCACAGCGGTCTTGGCCAAAGATGTACACCGAGTCTCGCTGGCGCTGCCAAAGAAACGCGTGTGGGCGCCCACTGGAAAGATGCTGCTGGTGCTGGTAGTGGTGATGTTGATGATGATGATGATGATTATGTATGTTTTTTTTTTTTTTAATATTGTTTGTATTAATGATTGTATTGTGATTTACTATTAAACTTATTAAACATACAATACGAGCTGACATTAATTATTGGTATCTAACATACTAATATGATGGTGTATGGAATGCCTACGTTCCACACGGATGTCCAGAAGATCTCGGATCTCAAGGCCACAACCACCAACTACGACAAGGCCTTGGTGCGATTCTTCGAGCAGGCGCAAAAAGATGCTCCAATGCTTAGAAAACGGCAGTCGATCTAAAGGTCCTTGTAAGGACCATCCATTCTAGAACTATAATAACTATATATATATAACAAGATATATAAATATATATATATAATTATATATATAACTATATATATAAGTATATGTATATATATAACAAGATATATATACACACATATATATATATATATCCAACATGTCCATCATGATAGTGGTACTAACAATGACTAACATCACCAGAATCCATGGTGATCTATGATGATCTCACGATATCTCAAGTGGCCTCTATGGTGACTGATGCTTCCAGGTCTACCAAGGCATCAAAGACCATGTGAATCTGGACCTGGTGAAGTGTGTTTTGCTTGCCGGCCCTGGATTTGTCAAGGACACCAGATGGATTGAAACAGGATGAGAGAACGCCAGCAGATGAGACAGCTCTCGTTTCCCTGCCAAAGCATCTCCAAATTCGGCTGGTACTTAAAACTGCATAGCGCATTTCCAGTAGACTTCCAGGTAGATGTGCTGAAGGTCGTATCTTTTCCTACCAACAATCACTGATGATCCCCTCATGCGGCTGTGTGCTCGTGAGTCACGAGTCCACAGGATGACTTCTTGTCCTGGATGATTCAGAAGGCCACACAATCAGGGCCTGCAGCTTAGAAGCCCTGGTTGATCCTGGCCATTGATCCATCGTTCATTGCGGTGCTCCAAGGGACACCTTGGTGCTGCAAAAGAAGAGCAACTTCGTGTCGGTCCACGCATCCTGCGTGCAGCTGGGCAAAGAGACCCAAGTTAGCATAGAAACTGGGTATGCCATGGTATACCCATTGGTGCCATGTATACCCATTTAATGGAGTATATGATGATCAATCAGTGGATTTAGGGGTCCCCTATGGGTACCATGCAGTATGCAGTGTCTACATTTGGAGCCAGAATATGTCAATAAATGTTAATGTGAACCACTATGAACCAATATGATCACTCGAGGGGTCGGCCCGGGCTCAGGCACAAGCAAGCACTAAAGGAGTTGCTTTCGGATGAGCAGGCAACAAGTGGCTGTAGCTGGCGTAGGAACCAAAATCAGTGGCTGCTGAGGTGATGGGTATCAGTTGGAGTGCGACATTGGGGAGACCCTTCCACTAGGAGCTAGTTGAAAAACATTGAAAAACCAATGGTTGTGGTATCCAAAGATATCCAAAGTATGATCAAAGTACGTATTTGTAGGATATCCAAACATACAATTCGGGACACACTTGCATAGGAGGTGCTTTGAGGTGCTTCGGAGAGCAGCTTGCACAAGATTTTGTCGAACTGTCGCAGGTTCAAAAGAGCATAGCGAATACAAAGGCCGCTGCACATTTAAAGGCCACGGGCCGTTTGTTGCCCTTTCTCTGTTGCATTTGTCATTGACATTTGACAACCTGAAGAACAAGCAGATACAAGCAGGCTTGTCAACCGCATTTCCTGCACCATGAAACTCAACATGAAGTCCGTCCCTTGAAAGAATTTCCTCGCACCACCCACTATCACCACGGTTCAGCAGTGTATTTGTCTTAAGCCGCAGCGGGTTCCCACAAATGTATATCAAACAGAATGCAACTTCGACTCAATGGAAGTTCAAAACAACTCTATTCTAGTCAGTTTGTCCTGTTTGCAACTAATGTTGGCACATACCAGAAGTGCATGCTTGTCCTATGTATGCAGGAAGAGCTTGCAATCTGCTGTACATACCTCCTTTGAACGGCCAGGCATTGGAAGAATTCTATGTCATGGTGCAGAGAGAGTCTGGAGCTCGGTTGACGCATTGCCGCAGTGTCCACTGAAAGGGTGATTTTTTTTCAGTGTTTGGCCATGTCCATTTCTACCACTTCAATTCATTTCAATCCGTTGCAGTTTCTCCACAAGTTTGCACATGTAGCAGGCATTAAAAAACTCATTCACCCAGTCCTATGATCTTTGAAACACTTTGAAACATGTTGAAGCAGCCTGAGGCCTGATCGCGTTTGCTACGGCCCCAAGCAAGTCTTTGAAGCCATTGAGAAGTGTGCGGTGCAGACACTCATGGTATCTGGGCCCGATAGAGCCAGGGTCCAGGGTACCCCAAAGTGGGATGGCCCAAGCGGCTAAATCTGATTCAGATTATCTATGTCTATAATTGTCTATGTGAATCAGTATGTGATAGTGAATGTCTATAATTATGTCTACCAGATTTAGTATAGACTAATTATCTATGTCTATAATTGTCTATATAGATAGTGAATGATAGTGATAGTAACTCTGATAGTACACATAAAATCACATGAAAAAAACATAAAAAAAGAACTTCTGGGCCCCTGGGTCTGAGATTTGGATCGAAGATCAGCTCAACAGAACCCTGCTCCTCCTTTTTTTCAGGTCGCTTCTGATGTTATGACAGGATCAACACCGATCCCTTGAGCGAATCCATGTCCCAAACTGAGAGGTGGTGGACTCGCTCTTCCGAAATGCGAATGTGAAGCTGAGAAGACAGTGCCATCTCTGGGATGATTTTGGGTGAGATTTGTCTGGAGATCTGGGGAAAACTCCGAAAAATCCACTGGGTTTTAATAGATTTTTTCCACCGTTATTCATGGCAATTCTATGATATTTAAATATAGATTATGGGTATCCCGATATCCCATGGTATCCCCCATGTTCAGACACACCCATGGTATCCCAAAGGTCAAACCGCAGTGCAGGTACGTGGACATGGTCGAAAACGCGAGAGATCAGGTGGGATACAGTTGGGCATCAAGGTGACTGAGACTGTGATCATCGATGCTGGTGATTCATTATCATCATCATAACAATGATAACTGACAATAATCATCATTATTCGTTATCACTATTCGCATCGTTATGAGAAAAATAAGCATCATATAATAATCATATATGATCATAGATATTATCATATATGATCATATATATATATATATATTATCATATATGATAATATATTATGTAATATATAATGTACAGATCAAACCCTTTTCGGCACCACACCTCACCGTCTCCCAGGGAGCCACCTGTCAGATCTTCTCCTCACAACATGTGAGTGGCGAGCAGCTGCAGGACGCGGCAGGGAAGACCTCAAAGTCGCTGATTTTGGGCGATTTCTTTGCAGATCTGTTGGATGATTTGTTTGCTGTTTCTTTAAGAATGGCCGTTTTCTTTTTCTTGTTGTTTGTTGTTGTCTTATGCCGGTAGATAGAGGATTGATGATGATTGATGATGGATGATGATGGATGATGGATAGATGATGATGGACGTGGCTGGACCATTTTGGGATAGTTGGGTGATTTGTGATACGATTTGCTAGTTGTTTGGCCAGTGTTAACATCAAGATGCAGTTTTTGCAAAACTTTATCCGTTCTGATCTTTGATCTACAAGGTGTTTTTTTCTCCTGAATTCTTTACAATTCGGATGTTTCACATCTTGCCGCAATCAACATTTGGAAAGTGTTGTTGGTTGGGTGATGGATCGTTTTATCTTTTTCATCTCCAACAATTCATCGCCAGAAACTCAGTGGCATCGCTGGTGTCTTGCGCTTTCCCCTGCCCGAGATCGGCGACATCGACAGGTTTGTGTGATGGGTTGAGTCTAACACCCCAAGGCCAACGTTGTGGTCCCTTCCACACCTCTTTTTGGGTTTGTCATGCAATGGAGCTCAATGGGGGTATACCCAGAAATGGATAGAAATGGACCTTTCTAAGGAGAAAATTCATGCTGAAAACAATCGGAATTAGGGCCAATTGTTGCACGAACCCATCATTGGATCGATAAAGCAGCCACCATCACTCCGCTGCAGTGACGCTGGTCTGAGCGACGCTGGAGCTGACGACGATGGACAGAAGGGCCAGGAGCTGATGGGCGTAGAGAGGAGTGTATGAGATGTGCCATGCTGAATGGCCTCTTGATGCCTCTTGATTGATTTACAGTACATGTTTCCAGAAATTGTAGACATGGATCATGTGAATCATGTGTTTGTCTTCAGTTGACTCGTACAGTTCGGCTTGCACTTCATCCATTTTGAAGCCTCCCATATCATCCCAAACCATACTCAAAACTCAAAACCATGCCCAAACCCGCCAAACCATCTAAAACGATGTAAAATCCATTAAAATCCTCTACAACCCACTTCGATGCATTTTGCTGTGACGGGAGGAGTTGGACGTGGATGACTTCATGTGAAAACATGCCGTGGAAGATTGCGAAAACGAACGGAAGAGCAGCGCAGACTGAGATGGCTCGGGACAATCACATTGGCTTAGCATCACGACGCTGGTCAAATCTTGGCAACCCTCAGGGTACGGAATTTTGGCCCATGAAGCACTCTCAAGTACCCTCTGGTAATTTAACATAGCGAACTGGAAAATCACCACTTTTAATGGGAAAACTCACTATAAATGGTCATTTTCAATAGCTATGTTAGTTTACCAGAGGGTAATTAAAGTTCATCCGACGTTGATCCAATATGTTTTTTGGCTCGAAGCAAGTAGGGTTCGCTGCGCTGCGGGATCGCAGCGACAGAGATGGCTGTGTTGGACGCTTAATCGGTGGCTCCAGTGTAGCCAACAACTATTGTTGCCGCAGTTGCTGCATCGTTGTGGACATTTTGCTGGCCATTCTTTGGATTCAAAGGAGATCGGATATAGAGAGATTCAACTTTCCAATGGGGGTTCCCCAAAATGGGGGTACCCCAAGTCACCTTAGATCATGGGGAGTAAAACCTATAATACCAAATCTGCCAGGTTTTCTGAAAGGAGTTTTCCCGGTTTTGGTTTCTGACCATGGGAACTCCAGGGTGGTGCCTGGGCAGCCTGCACAGCTCATCTTGGATGAGGAAGATGTCTTGGAGGACCATTGCCAAGTTTTTGATGGGGGTTTTGATCCATTTTTGCAATTTCGGATGGATTTGAAATGGATCCTGGGATTCTTGGTGCTGGTGGAAATTGCGGGAACAGAATTCCGATGCCAAGGTGCTTGGATAAGTTTTGCAGATGGTTTTTTGTGCCAAGTCAAACAGTATGAGCCACATGTTTATCATGTTTGTTCTGATGTTAGCCCATTAATACTTAAACAATCTTAAACACCACTCTCTTTAAACAGAGGGGTGACCGACACTTCATCGCAATTTAAAACATATTAAAACAATTTTTGGGGTAACAGGGTTTCTTAATCCGGGTTGACAATACCATAATTTGTTCGGGGTTCTCTTGAGTCTTCTCCTACCCTTCGATACTATACGATAATCAAACGTGGCAATGGAAAATCTATCATGCAATTATAGATGATTTTCCCAGAAAAACCATCCATATATATATATGAAATTTCCCAGTCACGTTTGATTCCCGGAGGGTACATCAATGTACATCCATTCATATTCTATCTATTGATATCCATTTATATAATTTTATATAGATGGAATATGAATATGCTTCCATCTATATGAATGGATATATATATATGAATGGATATATACATGCTTCATATTCCATCATATATATATATATATCCCATTCATCCCAGCATTTTAAGCGTTGGTTCAATGCCATCAGGATCCCTTCAAGGATCGCCGTGCGGGTCTGGCACCTGGCGAGGTGCCGGAAAACGAAGGGAAAACGATAAGCATGGGGAGGCCCGAAGGATGATGTATACTATGTACATGACCCCACACATGGAATCATGTACTGTATATTATAATTATAATACATATTATAGATATAGATAATATAGATCTAGATATAGATATAGTATAGACATAAATATAGACATATAGATATATAGATATAGATATAGATAATATTGATAGTATATATAAATATATTTATACATATATTTATACATATATATATACACATATAATATACACAGACATACTGTATGTGATATAATCTACATGATGCATGAACATATATAAGATGTCTTATATCATACAGTGTACGAACAAGGACTAAGGACGTATGTCGTACGCGTAATTAATTTGAACTTGATGGATCAGTGACCAAGCATTCTGGGATAGGGGCATTCAAAAGGAATGGGAATGGCAATCGAAAACATTGGGATTAGACACACTTCAACGGGTGGCACACGATTATATTTGGGGTGAACCGTGGAAAGAGGACTGACTGAAAGAAAACCACCCAAAAATTATCCAGAAATGATGTTTCAAAAAGAGAGAGCACCTGAACTCGGCCATCTTCTTATACTCGTAGCATCTTAACCATTCATTCACAGCTGTAGATTCAACCAATTGCAGATAAACACTGATGTCTTATAAGTCTGAACCGACAGCCCCATCAGCGGCCAATGGTGTTTGACCCATGATTTCAACGATGGGGCAGTTGTGGCTGAAATGTGGCAGTTGCCCTTTGGATACTTGAGATGCTGAGACTCAAGATGCATAAGATGCAACATGCAGTTCACATGATGCTTGTTTGTATACATATTTGATCATATTTGGGAAGTTTAGGGGAGATGAACATCCCGTTGACAGCTATTTGGGTTGTCATAACTTATGGATATCCATGGTGCCGGGGCACCCATTGCAACGACAGGTTCCAGTGATGACCTACACACAGCCTGGTATGGGAATTACGACCATTGAGGCTGGAAAGTGGCCTTTTTTGTGGAAAGGTTTGCAAAACATTGACATGAAGTGACACTTTCCAGTGACAATTGTAGACAGTATACAATATATCACTTCCTTAAGGGCTTGAATCCTGCAGATTTATGAAGTTGACAGCCATCAAGCAGCACGGCAACGTAATTTAATTGCGACATGGGAGGTTCCTGCGCATGCTGACAAGCAGTTCTACGATGCAATGCTCCGCCTTCTTGCGGCCGACCCGTCTCATGTTATGCTGTTCTGGTGTTTGTGAGACAGAACTTGGTGTGCTGGCTATTCCTCACACACGATTGGTTCATTTTGGTTCAAAGCTGTAGTGAACATTATGGAATCACAAGACAAAGTGCAGGGCCTTGAAGTGTGATAATGGGATGTGGCCACAACCATTGAGGGTCTCGGACCTTCAGATTTACTTCCTATAGTCTTTTTTGGGGGCAAGGTCTTGATCAGTCAAGGTTTCATGAATTGACACTTTTGTTTGGGCAACTGATCTGTTAGCGGTTGGGAACGGTTGGTATATTTGGCCTTGATCATCATCCGAACAGCCAAAGAGACACCACATGACATTCCCCAAGTCTTTGAGACACGACTGGGACATAGCAAGTCGCCTCGTGCGCCATGGGCGATGGCGGAGCTGTGGGCAAAGGGAAGGACAGAAAGTGAACCGGCCACGAGGGCCCACGGTAAGAAGCACTACATTATAATGGCTTAAAGTGTGGGTTCTGCAAGAGTTATACATGGTTTGTGTCGACAAATGTACAGTGAGTGTCATGCCATTGTTACTCTTGCAGATGAGGACGACGACTTGGACAATGCCTACGAGTTGTTGGGTTTGGAAGATGATGCAGGGGAAAAAGAGATCAAGGCAGATGATTTTGGACCATTGGAATCCATTGGAATCCATTGGACCACTAGCTCTTGATTTGCATTGATGAGAAATCTGCCAGAATCAGAACATCCCAATTTGCTAGCAAACAAGCAGAACAAAATATCCCAGAACATCCCAACATATTATCCCCTTAGAATCCCCAGATTTTCCCAGATGTTCCCATCCAAATCCCCATGAAATCCTTATGGCTTCATGTCCCATGGCGCTCCGCAGACAGCGTATCGAAAGATCTCCTTGAAGTGCCACCCCGACAGCTGCTGGGCGCCTGTTTTGTGGTCTTTTTTTGCAGTTGGCTTATCTGTATCTTCCCATCAAAGGGGATGGTGACCTCATCAGAAATCGGAAATGATGGTTAGATAATGTTATATAATAGCTGTTAACAATGCTCAATAGTGTGGCTTTCTTAAGTCATGAGGGATCCCCAGTCGTCACCATGGTTGTCTCAATACTAAGTCATGGTCTAATGACTTGGATGATTTGGGAATACCCGCATGACTCAGGAAACCTCCATAACCCATGTGGAAATTCGCTAAGGATTGTGGGATGACCATACCGTATCAGCTGGTCAACTGATTTGGGGTTGGCCAACTGATTTTCTCCAACTTTCTGCGTCTCCAGGTTGGATGTTTGCAATTGTCAGGATGTCCTTCTGCACGATTTGAGCCAAGGAAATCCTGACGATGAGGAGGCTGGCTAAGCCTGTAACTGGAGCTGTCTCGAACTTCACGGCACCATGGGTCAGAGATTTGCCTAGGCAGCGGAGAAGTTCGATCGATTGACTCGGGCAAAGGAGCCTTTTCGGGGGTGGAATGTGGAATCCATGGCTGCTCTTTATGACTTGAAAATGCAAATCATTTCTTCAGATTGACAGGAACAAAGCTTCCAAGGTTTAGCAAGGCAGTATCATACAGAATCTGTATCCGAGTTTCCACAGTGAAGTGCATGTGCTCAAAATCCCACAGATGCTAATCCTACAGTGCTTTCAGCAGCTGTTTCCAAAGCTTCAGCCGCATCCAAGCCGCGCAGGACCTGTTGTAACTTGGCTGCGGTGAAGTGTGCTTCAACTCCAGAGATTGGGATCTTGCGGCGTAGGCAATGTCGAGCTGTTCAGGTTGGATCCCATTCGGAGATCAGAACTGGACAGGAGACATCAAGATGGGAGTGCTGCCAGTGCTGCAATGTAGTGTCACTGGGGGAACCAAAGTGGTCATGCGTGGCTATTGCTTCAAATATCAACTGATTTGCCAAAGTTCGCACCCCATGGGTTCGCAGGAAGAGGAAGGCCGCGCGTGATTTGGAGGAGCTTGACAGCCCTGACATTCCATGGTCATCCATGGTCTTTGTTTGCTCGACGCTATGTCCGGTTCGGAGCAGCATGGCAGCCGTAGCTCAGCACTTTCACCGCCAGGAGCGACATGCCCAGGAAGATGCCAAGCGGAGAAAGCTCCGGGAGGATTTGGAAGGTGGATTACTTGGAGGGTTTTCGCAGATCTTCTGTCAGCAATAACAACACCTCAAGTGAAGCCTTCAGCTAAACCGGTTGCTTCACCAGCTGTGAAGTGATTAAATCAGGACACTCTCCAAGACAACTAAATCCCGCCCAAATTCAGGGATGGACAAGATTGGACAAGTGTTCTGTACCACTGGTTTTCTAGGTAGCATGGTTGTTTGTATGGTTTTGAGGTCGCGAATCAGCAGCCAATGCTCGCAGTCAAGCGTACAAGCGAGCGCAGGAGGATGCGGAGGCAGCACGTGGCAAACTGGTGGGGGATCTCCAAACAGCTATAAACAGCTCATTTTCAGTCCAAACATTGAGGGAAGGAAGAACAACATAGAAAATAACTGCTGGTTTTGGATGGTTTTGGTGTCCAAACGTGTTGAGTTGAGCACGGTCAGTTCCTTCCCCTGGGTCAAGGCGTAACGCCTTGTCGCTGTATGGCACTATATGGCGCAGGCGCGAAAAAAGTACCTCCAGCAGGACATGGCGCAGAGGATCAAGGCCAAAGAAGCTGAATTGGCTCAGAAGCAACAGGAGGTACCGTGGCAGAGATTGGTGGGGAAAAGTATGGATGAGTATGGCATATCAATCATACCTAGAGGGCGGAAGTATGGGACAAGTCGGCAACTTCGAGTGATTAGTTCATTGCCCAATTCATTGATCGATCCATTGAGCAATCCATTGACCAAACTGATTCACTAAAATGTTTTACTTTAAATCTAAGTTGTATAATAATATATATAATACTATATATATACTGATATTTTTGCTATCCCAGCTATCCCCAGTCGCCACCCCAAAAGGTGGCCGCGTCGGTGGCCGAAGCCCGGGACACCGCGCTGGACTCCCGCCTTCGTGTCACGTGGCGAGGCGGACAGTTTCTTGGGAGTCACGAAACAAACTGAGCCCATCATTTGGTGTAGGAAAATCTATTCACAGTATGGTCATGCATGTTATATAATATAATAGTACAGTATATTAATTAATTAATTAATTAATCTATATTCAATCTATTCACAGTATGTCGATGTATGTTAATGATTGTTAATGTATCTTACTGTTATTTGAACAGAAGCTAAAAATTGGAGCACCTCAATTTGGGAACAGAACCACTCAGATCTGCAACAAATGTTTGCTTAGAGCCATTTTGGAATGAGAACTGTGCCTTGTGACGCAACAATGTCAATTGGAAGCTTGATTTCAGGATTTTGAGGCAGACCAGGAATCATATTCATATCATTTCATATCAATATTGGACACTTGTCTTGATGTTTCGGTTTCTTATGGCTGCTTTGGCGAGGCGTTGCCCCAGGGGTAGAGACCATCCGGCAGGTGCTGCTGTCCCTTTCTGGGAACGATCTTGCCACCACTTGCTATATTCACTGCGCTACAAACATGTCACTGCTGCAGGAACTGGCAGAGTTTGAGCTGATTTCCATGGAAGTTGGTGAGCTCTCCTCTCAGTTGCCCTGGTGCTTCAAAAGGGTACGAAATTCGTCAATCGATCCACCGCACTAGGTCAGCTGCAATCGTTCAGTTGGGCAGCCGCGAAATGGCCTTGAGGAGCGTGACTACAATGTCAGATGTCAGAAATCTGAAACACATAGCAATGGATGAACTTCCCGTGCTATCATGACACACTCTGAAATAATATGATATGATCAAAAAAAATCCACATGTGTGATGTCTTGTGCGGCTTGTTGGTTACAGGGCTGTGTTGGAATGCAAGTCGAAGAAGAACTCCATGTCCGGTGACCCCAGCCATGGATCCCTTGGACCATGTTGGACCCATAGGGGGGCCATCCCCAGCGTCAGCGTCCAGGCCCTTCAAAGTGGCCTTGGCGCCCAAGGAGGTCGAGGAGCCGGTGAGCCAGGCAGGTCCTCGATCCAGGAAGTCATCCGTTTTGCACATCGCTGCCTGACAGGTGAAGGAAACTCCAAAGAAAGGCCGGCGAAGTTGATTTGGAGCCGTTTTTGGGCACCAAAATTGGAGCACCATGGCTACATTCTAGCATTCTTTGAAGGCACTTGGACTTACGAATGATTATCAAATTATAAGGCCAGTGCGGTGGATGCTGATTTGAACGTTTTCTCATTTTTGATCGTTTTTGCTGCGCTGAGTGCCTTTGCACTTCTTGGGATTGTATGATTCCTCCTCATCTTTTTTTATATCATGTCTAACATGCATGACCTCTAATCTTCGGATGCCTTGAACTGATTTGTAGATAATTTTTGCAAATGGAAATGCTGCAAGTCAAGTGCAGATATCCACAAACCGCACGTATTCCGCAAACGAGCATGACCTCCCGAAAAGGTCAGTTTGCACTTCGTAACTCTAGCATTTTCTTCGAACATAGACTTTTCTCCAAATTAAACTTTGATCCCCACAAGCCAATAAGCTGCACATTTCTGGTTGGGCCCTAGCTCTGATGAGTTGCTATGAATTCTTGTTGTCACTTTTCTGCTTCGTGGATCACATAAAAGACACACCGACCGACACACCATGCTCTTGGGGAGGGGAAATGTCGATAATATTCTTTGTCGGTTGAAGCGGTCCATTTCCGAATATGTTCGTTTTTTTTTGCAGAACTTGCAGGCAAAATTTTAGGTATCAACTGCGGTGGGAAGAAAGTGACTCGGAGGGCCCATTCTATTGATGCCATCTTTAAGTTGGAGGATTTTTTACTGGTGGTGTGCAGGTGAACAGGAAAGTCCTGCTGAGACCTTCAATCGAGCTAAGAGCTTTGATGACTGGGAGGCGACAGTCGATACGCTGATACGCCTGAGCTGTTCTTTGAAGTGTCGGGAAGGTCGCTGTTGTTGGATGTTGTCTGCTGCTGACCATTTTGTGTTGTGGTGTTTCTTGGGTTTGCAAAGAAATCAATGCAACTGAATTCTATTTGGATGTGATTTGTCCCTCCTGGTGGGGTCGCATTTGCATCGAGTGCTGGTCAATTAGAGAACCTCTCAAATGAAGAAAGGACGATTTCCCCGCAGCGGATTTCGCATGATTTCACATTTTGTTGCCTTTTGAATTTCCAGGCGCAGATGATGGCTGATCTGCAGAACTTGGCCAAGAAACAGACGGCTGCCTGAAGGACTTCGGTTTCGATATGAGTTTGTCTGACGGCAGAGTTGATCCCAAACAGGGCTCCGATAAAAGTCAAACATCCAGGTTCTTCTGGAATTCCCACTTGTGAGACCTGGCACATCCTGGCACCAGGACCGTTTTCGGGGCCCTTGTGCAGGGCCGAACGGCAAATGCCCGAAGTGAAAAAATGGTCCGCACTGATCCTGAGTGGGATTCAAATGAAGAGCTACCAAGAGTCATTGGACACAGAGTTGCAATGTGCTGAACAGCAACAGACATAGACATTGCATTCGATTAGCCATTTTGCAGGCTCTGATTGAGATATTGTGAGACCTTTTATTGCGATCGCAGTTCTTTTTCGCACATTTCTCCCGATGCAAGCGATCGTGGTTGGTGGCGGTTTGGCCGGCGTTTCTGCCGCCAACACTGTGTTGGAGTGCGGTGGAAAGGTCGTTTTGGTGGACAAATCCGCCTTCTGCGGTGGAAACTCAACCAAGGCCACCAGCGGCATCAACGGTGCTGAGACGCAGACGCAGAAGGCCAAGAAGGTGGAGGACTGGACGATGTCTCAGTTGGAGTTGGGAAGGGGAACCGTAGGGAACCATAAAGGATCTACAGATCATTACAGATCTTGATCATTTAAGTTATCTTGAGTATCATCCATGACTTTGATTCACTGTTCATTCATAATCACAATCATATTCATAAATTAATAATAATAATAATATCTAATAATCTCATCATATCAGATCTAGCAATCACATCTTTTGGTGAGGACTCCGTCCAGCTCTTCACCTCCGACACCTTGAAGGGTGGTGCCAAGAAGCCTGAGCTGGTGAAGGTTATTTGCTTGGGAAAATGGTTCCATGTCCCCACCAAAAATGGAGAGAAAATGCATAAAACATAGGGGGTTTACCATGGTTTACCCATGAGATTTATGGGGATTTACCCATGAAGATTTTTGGGTTTACCCATCAAACACTGTGATTCCACCTGTAGAATTTATTTATTATAGAATCCCTAACACTCTCTGCCACAGTATATGAATATTGCAAGGAAACTGCTTAACATGCAGTGAAGAAGCTTAGATGTTTCATGGAATGTCAATGATTTTCATGTATCAACTTTACCAGTCGATAAGGGTTCGAACGGACAAACTCTTCGACAGGTGCTCTGCGGAAACAGCGGCCCTGATGTGGACTGGCTGGTGGACAAGTTCGATCTTGACATGTCTCTGTTGGCCCGACTGGGTGGACATTCCGCTCCCCGCACCCACCGTGGCAAGGAGCGTTTCCCTGGAATGACCATCACCTATGCCTTGATCCAGATGGTGGAGAAGATTTCGGAGCGCAGCGACTTGGCCCGAATCATCAACAAGGCCAAGGTCAAGCAGCTCTTGACCAAGGCAGGTGCTGTTTGCGGAGTGATCTATGAGAAGAAGGGCAAGGATTTCACTGAGGAGGGCCCTGTGATTCTGGCCACCGGTGGCTTTGGCGCCGACTTCACGGATGATTCCCTGTTGGCCAAGTATCGCCCAGATCTGTTGCACCTGCCTACCACCAATGGTGACCACACCACTGGTGATGGCATCAAGATGGGTGAGGCCATCGGTGCTCGCAGCATCGACTTGGAATGGGTTCAGGTTCACCCCACTGGCCTCGTGGAGCCCGACGATCCCGAGGCCAAGATCAAGTTCCTGGCGGCCGAGGCCCTGCGCGGCGTGGGTGGCCTGGTGATCAACGCGGATGGCGAGCGCTTCTGCAACGAGCTGGGACGACGTGACTACGTCACCGGCGAAATGTGGAAGTCAAAACCCCCTTTTAGCAACTGGGTGTGGATTGGAAACAATACACAATTCGATTCATTCTTTCTTTGTATCCCAAGAATAAGAAGATGATCCCAAGTGACAAGCATATAATTGCAATATAAGAATTTATATGAATATAATATATATATATAATATTTATGCTGTATATATTACATTATTATATTATACTAATTAAGTGCCCTTTCTGTCAATCCAGGACTGATCCTGAACAAGGCAGCCAGCGATGAGATCATCTGGCACTGCAAGCACTACACCGGGCGTGGCGTCATGAAGTTCTACGAGAGCGGTGAGGCGCTGTGCAAGGACATGAACATCTCGCTGAGTACCCTGGAGGCGGGTTATCCAATGGATGTTGGTGGCGGAAATTCTGGATTTCAAGTTTGATATATGATATTATATGATATAAAATGATATATATATGTATGTATATGATTCATATAGGATTGATATATGGCTATGGATCAATACCTATTAATACCATTTTTAGGGGGATGAACATCCATTTACCAGCTATTTTGATGTTCACCAGGGGTACAAGGTTTTGACACACTGCCATATATTTATATATATGGTTATGAAATGTTATGAATCCGTAGTTACATGATGGAGATTGATGGTTCCATAATTGTGGATCTGAATTGTGGAACACTACATAAATCTACATAAATCCCAAGAGAACATGATGGATATGGACCAATCGATCCACAGCTTCTGTACCTTGGAGGCCACTCACCAGACCCATTTCGAGTCCGCCAAGAAGCAGGAGAAGGATCCTGAGGGCGGTCCGTTCCCCGCCTACCCATCCGGCAAGACCTGGGACGAGCCCAGCGGAAAGACCGGTGCCGGGAAGAAATTCTTCCACAACATCATCGATGGATCCAAGGTGAAGACCGAACCCTTCTACTCAGCAATCTGGCTGTTATTTTATGATTTTGGCCTTGTGGATGATCTGTTTGAGCAGAGGATGGATTACATTGGATAATGACAAAGTTTAGGATTCAGTGAGGTTTCAAGTTGTGACATATTGCAACATATTGTAACCATTTAACGGATTGGAACCCCAAAAGCCAGAGCAGTGTGAGAGCATTTCACCCTGGAGTTGCGTCGGAACTCAGATTCACAATATAAACAAGGACTTTGCAACTTTCATGGATTTCATGGCCTGGTTTCTGCCATCATTTGACTCTTTGTTGAGTGCAAGACGCCCCTGCAATCGAGTATAGATGCAGTTCTGGGTTGTAACTCCCACGTAAGTCCCCATTTTGCCACGGAATTTGAATTACGAGGGTTTGCCATTGTTTACCCATCAATCATCATCAGTTAGATTTGATATTTGACACTCATTACTCATTTTGTTAGGCTAGCATTTTTATGAGGAGATGATATCAACACTTTGATGAGCCAAGGCCATCATCACTCCTGTGATCCACTACTGCATGGGTGGCTTGGAGATTGATGAGGACTCGGCGGTTGTCGCCCAGAATGGCAAGGCCATTCCCGGGCTCTACGCGGCGGGTGAAGTGGCCGGTGGTGTGCATGGCAACAACCGTCTGGGTGGCAACTCCCTGTTGGACTGCGTGGTCTTTGGCCGTGTGGCCGGAAAGCACTGCGCCAAGTACATGTTGGGCGACAAGTTCAAGTCGATGGATCTCAAGGAGCTGTCCGGTGGAGGATTGGCAGCAGACAAGGCTCCAGCTGCCAAGCTCTAAGCGAAAGAAGCAGCGCTGTAAGTGGCCGGAAATTCTGAGAGGGGCCAACTTTTAAATGACTTCTCTCTGTCTGACCCAGATTTTCGCGCTGAGCCCTACCGACAGGGGAGCGGCCAAAACAGAGCTTTTGAAAAAGAATGAACAAGATAAGATATCATGTGGGACTTCGAAGTGACACCTCGATGTCTTGCACTCCACTGACGTTGTCACGTTCACTCAGCCCTGTAGAGCTGACACACCAGGTCTCTACGGGCATTGTCATCTTCAGATTTCTGGGACAAACAATCTGGGACAAGGAGCGTTGGGAGAGTTGACATTTCTGATAAGATCTGAGAAGCAAAGAAACGCACAGCTGTGAGCACAGCATTGGCCGTCACTGTTCAGGACATTTACATGATACAGCAGGAGGTCTACGCAGAAATTTGCGAGGTGCATCCGCAAGAGCTGCAGTTGTTGAAGATATCTTCTGGTTGGTGGTTTGGAACATTTTTTATTTTTCCATATATTGGATATATTGGGAATAATCATCCCAACTGACGAACTCATATTTTTCAGAGGGGTTAAAACCACCAACCAGTATTGCATTTGTTTCCAGTTGCCGGTGACGAATTGCCACAGGTCGTGGACACCAGGCCCACGTACGTTGTGAACGTTGCGAAAGGGGATGCCAATGGCCAAGAAATCCGGGTGCTGGGATGGTATGTTCGGGCTTTCCAAGATGCTACTGAATTTTTGATATATAAATAAGATGATGAACATCACCTGTATAATTAATCCCTTCCTCCTAATACTAACCCCCCCCTAATACAAAACACGGCAGGTAGTTTTTAGTATTAGGGGGGTATTTATTATTAGGGAACCAAATCGAAGTCATGTTAATTAATTAATTAAATTTCCTTATATAACGCAATTAAAATATTGCCAAAAATGGCAGTTCGAAGCTTACCCCTAATACTAAATTAAAACCCTTAATACTAAAAACTATTTTTTCCGATCTCAAAATCAATTAAATTTCCTTATATAACGCAATTAAAATATTGCCAAAAATGGCAGTTCGAAGCTTACCCCTAATACTAAATTAAAACCCTTAATACTAAAAACTATTTTTTCCGATCTCAAAATCAATTAAATTTTCTTATATAACGCAATTAAAATATTGCCAAAAATGGCAGTTCGAAGCTTACCCCTAATACTAAATTAAAACCCTTAATACTAAAAACTATTTTTTACGATCTCAAAATCAATTAAATTTCCTTATATAACGCAATTAAAATATTGCCAAAAATGGCAGTTAGAAGCTTACCCCTAATTGCTAGAGTAGCTAGGCAGCTTGGAGTGAGGGATTGGGACTAGGCCCCCCTAATACTAAACACCCCGGGGTGAACTAGTTTTTAGTATTAGGGGGGAGAACCCACAAATGGTAGGTTGATTTTTAAATTGTTTTTTAAAGGGGATCAATTAAAAGTCAAATTGGCCAAACTGAAATTTTCGGAAATTGGAGATGGATGCCTGTTTTTAGTATTAGGGGGACGTTTAGTATTAGGAGGAAGGGATTACATAATATTATATACTGCTGTATATAATGATAATGGTAACAATAATCATGATGATCATAATGATAATGAGAATTAATGATAATGATAATGATAATCATAGTCTCACTTATCTCTGATGTCAGGATTGTAGAGGCTGCACGCATCATCAAATAGACCAAAAAGGTCCAAGAAGAAAGGGCTGAAGGGCGCCAAGACACGCTCCCACAGCCCCCAACGAGTCCTGCAACTTCTTGATTCTTTGTTCCAAAAATTAGTGTTTGAAAAGGATGAACATCAGTTTTCAATTCACCTATTCTCCCAGTGTTAGATAGTATTATATAGTATTTTTTTTACAGTATATCTCACTCACGGCCAATTCCCCAAAGTTGGGTATCTGCTGTCCGACTGTCACTGCGCGGCACCAAGGTTCGGAGTTTGCCCATGGCTTTCGTGGCACTGTCAGATGCTGGGCACCTACTGCCACTGGAACACACTTTTTTGGATGTTTGAGAAGATTGCTATAATATTATAATTATAAGCCATGATTCTCCATGATTTATTGGATATATATTTTTTTCATGATTATTGGTATAACATGGTATAACATAGTATAACATGGTATAACCTCTCCATGATTATTGGGATCAATTATCCAATAGTTATTGGAATAGAGGATCCATCCGGATGATGGTCATGAAATATCTTCGCTGGGGATGGCCGGATTCACTGTCCACTTGTGCTTGTGAGGTGAGATGAGGTGAGAGCAGGGTCTTCAAAGACTAAGACTAATAAGACCTACTAAGACTACCAAGCCTTCCAGCGATCCCGTCAACTAATTACTCCTTGAGAGATTTGAAAGTAGCTTCAAGATGCTTCAAGATGCTGTGCTGGATTCCTCTCAGGTGTCTTTAGCAGAGCCCGATACCACCTTTGGCTTCCCTGAAGTGCGTGTGGGTGGTTTGCCTGCTGTTGACCTGGCATGATTGCACCACGTCCCTGCGCAAAACTAGGCACTTGGAGAAAAAATCAACGTCAGAGCACCATCTCTTTTTTTCCATTTGCCGGGCAGTGTTGCGATAATCAGATATTTTTCCAGAAGGGTTTGCCACCAAATTCTTGCCAAAGATGAAAACGATTCTGTATCTCATGACCCCGGCTGCTGATTACACCTGGCCCTGTCCGCCAGTGCGTGACCGTCGCACTGCGGAAACGTATCAGTGACAACGACATTAGGCAGCTGGGATGGTGATGGATGGTGTATTTCTCTATGGCTTGGGGTGATTTGTACCCTAGCCATGGAAGTTGCACCACAAAAAAAAAGTGTGTTACCGGGTACATGACTATACTGTACCAGGTAGCATTTTTTTCCGACTGCTGCACTTCTACCGCCAAGTGGTGGTGTTGTCCAGAACCCACAGATTTTCAGTGCAACACCTGTGTAAACCCATCCGATTGATATGATCCAGCATGAATGAAAGTGATACTACTTACAAAGCCATTATATCCCATGATATCCTCATGATTTTGTTGGTTATACATCCCATATATTAATAAAAACCCAAGAGCGAAGTTCGGACCGTCAGGAAACTGGTCACGGATGGCATGCCCATCGATGCCCGAGAGGCTCGTCTTGCCCATGGTCAAATGTTCAGAATGGTTGAAGAGTATTTGCATCATCAGCTTTTTTGGGATGATAGACACTCTCTGCAGTAGCAGTGTTCGCTAATATCCACTAAAATATGCAGATTATATGTGCAGTACTGTAAGACATATATTATAATTTGGATAATATATGATAATATTGGATATTAGTTAGTTCACTTATCGCTTATTGGATAGTAATATGGTACATAATATGCACTTATTGGGCATCTCCCATCATCCCACCTGTGTTTTTCGGAGGCTCAACGTATTGGCCTCGTGGACTTCGTGGGTGATGTTGAGACAGCCTGGGCGCCCAACACGGCGGGCACGAGTTTATGTCATACGAAACTATGATATAATTTGATATGTTATAATGAATCACCATAAATTATATGACTTTACTTATCTGTGTATATATATATATACATATGTATTGAGATTCTTCACTTATTGTTTGGGCCGTTTGCACACAGATTCATAACATTTTGCCTGTATATGAGATGCGTGTCAGTTTTCGCATGCTGATATTTTCTGCCTGGCTTTGCACTAAGGAGCTGTCCCGGATCATCTTCAAGAATTGCAAGCCGAAAGTGCACCGGCTCAGATACCGATTCATAGTCATGGTATGTTATGGTGAATTTAATTGTGGTGCTGGTTTAGTATTTTGCTGTAGCTGCTATGTTGGGCAGTTCTTTTTGCCCTCAGTTTGCTACCTTTGGCTGGGAGAGTAGATTCCAGGGGTGCTTTCATGGCCCAGGTGACCAATGTCATGTACCGCCCGGACTGCGAAAAAGCCTGGGAAGCTTGAGCTGACGGCCTGCGACAGGGGTATCGGCCTGCGAATCCAGCACTGAACGGGCCAGTGTTGGGCGTCTTTCGTGTCCGAAATGTGGGAACATGTTGATAATCCATTGGAATGGGGGGTACCCTCTGGTAAACTAACATAACTATGGAAAATCACCATTTTTAATGGGTAAATCCACTATAAATGGCCATTTTCAATAGCTATGTTAAATTACCAGAGGGTAGCCCATTTTGAAACAAAGCCAGAGACATTTTTTTGTGTTTTCCGACGCCCGGCGAATCGCAGCAACCGATGAGCCCCAGGCCAAAAAAATGGCCTAGATCTTCCGGTGCCAACGAGATATTTGATCTATAGGATGACTGTAGAATTACACTGCAGATCAGGTACATCATGGTACATCTCACGTTTGAAGCATCCAAATCAAGATCTCCATATGCAAAACTTGTTCAAAACGCAGAGGTGATTTTTACTCGCAGTTCCACCCACATGATTGTGCACCTACAACGTGCTCGGACAAAATGGCTGCTCCACTGATGGAGTGTTGGCAAATAGTGATACCAGAGGTGTGAATTTGCAACATGGATTGTCCATGCAGATTCGTCAGAGTTTGTCATGTCTGGCATGTCTCAAGGGTGTGTGGAAGATGCTGCCTTGATTGCTGGAAGATGCTGGAAGCTTTCTTGCAAAACATCTTCCCATATCCAATCTACAGCAATCTTCAGTTTCCAGGCCCTTATGTGTCTAGAATTGGACAGCATTATGTTGTTCACTTTCAGCTGCAGAATCTATATCATTCTGTATCCTGATTAAAACAGTGCAGTTTTGGTATGTTTTAACCAAACAACCATCAAGCAGGATGGCTTTGCAAGACACTTGATGCAAAGTTGATTGAGTTTACTGCATTCAACAAAGCCTAACCACGATGGCAAAAAGTCATTGGCTTCGATCGTGGCCGGTGGTCGGGGGCTGAAGATTGCACTTGTCTCATCGAAAAGGCGGTGTATTCTATCTGGCAAGCATCGTTGATGCCAGGCTTTGCTGTGGATTCCAGTCAAGGCGGAACTTGGCTTCCTGAACATGGAGAATATGTGTGTACAGACTCCGCTACTTGGCCGGAAAGTGCGGGATGTTGGCTGGCTGTGTTCTGGTTTCTGGTGGTGTTGGTGTGGCTGGAAGTGTTATGGGATGTTCTGGGGACTTCCATAGATCCAGATGGGTTGTGGAAATCTGAAACTAGATTGTAGCTACTGGAAATAAAAGCGACTAGGCTAAGCAATCAGAGGGTTGCAGATTGGGCTGGAACATATTTTGGAACACCTCAACTACCGACTATGTAAGTCACCCTTGCAGCCCTGACAGGTTACCTTTCATTTGTCCGAGCAACAGTGGTTCCAGTGCTTCGAGTGGTTCCCCCTTCGGGGCCTTCCCACCGCCGAATCGCCACTTGAATCAACATCTCAGGAGGAGCCACAGACGCAGGTTGTTGTTTGGTTTCAAGCACTTGAACTACTGCGGTAAACCCAACAATAATCAACCATCCTCCAATTGGTCAGGAAATGAATGGTGGTAACTATCTGAAATGGAAGTTTTTTCGGGCAGATGTTAGATGACTCCCTTCAGCCTGTTATGACCAGCTGGCCCGTCTCAGCTTCAACGCCAAGCTGCTCGACGAATCCAGACAGCTGTTGCAAGTGCGCCCTCGGGGGACTCCTCGCGATCACGGGGCACTGATGAAGCTCTCTGCAGTGAAAGTTGATTATAATCTCTCTATGTATATATATATATATCGAGAGAGAGAGAGAGAATCATGAATAATGTTGATATAATATAAGATTTCAAAAAGAAACATGATCTTTCAGCTGAAGCAGAGCTTGGGCATGCTTTGTTTTCTGATGTTGTCGCTCCAGGCAATCCAGCTGCATTCAGATTGGAGGGATGGCCCTTCCTATGATTGGAGCATGCAGGCAGGGCACCTGGGCATAGTCAGCTCGGCTCAAATAGCACGCAGTGGGCACAGCCAGGACAGTAGATAAAACAGTTGATTTGTTCATGTCTGTTCAATGTTTAGTGGGACTTCAGCCTGCCAAAGTTGTCTTCAGCAGTCAGGTTTGTTCTTCAATTTGTGCAAAGCAGCTGTGAAGACCCTGTACCTGCAAGGCCAGACCGTGGCGAAACGAGATGCGCCGACATGTCCACACCTTTCGGTGGAATGGGCGTGCGGGCACCAAGGGACCAGGGAAGACAATGTGTGCTAAGAGTGAAACACGGATGGTCAGGCATCAGATTCCATATGATTCCATCATACGCAATTCTCCCTGGTACGGATTGCCACTTCATGCCACTTCCAATGCAATTTGTTTGACCGTTGACCATATAATATCATATAATATAGGACATGCGGGTGACCCCAATGCCTATTTTTTTCTGTGAAGATGTTCCCCACCATTGGCCTTAAGGTGTGCCAATGTGCTCAGGGAGTTTGTGCAAGCAATGGTGTTTGCATGGACAACAGCTTCCTCGGTCTGGGAGGACGGCGTGTTGTGGTAAAGTCGTGGTCAAGTCGTCACAAAAAATCGGAGCGGCCAGGACTCCTGGGCACCAACAAGAACTTTGATGCGAATCAGAACCAACAGTACCAACAGTCCCAACAGTACCAGCCATATCAGCAGTACCAGCCGCAGCAAGGCTGGTGCAATCAGATGATGTCCGTTGCATATTTTGTTTCAGCTGCTTCATTGGAGGCCAACAGAGATCGCCTCTGCCGTTCTTCGGTCGATTGTACAAGGCAATTATAAAACCGCTGGTTTTGGATTTTGAGTCACCTGTTGCTGTTTTCGGTATTGGTATGTAAATGTATGTAATGGTGTGTACCTGTACCTTTTCAATCCTTTTCCCAAGATGAGTTTGCTTGTCTTAGCTGCAGGCATCAGACCATGTGGTGCCGCCGGAGGAGTGTTCTTGGGATGCATTTTTTCGCGCAATCGTCTGACGGCATTGTCGAAGTCAAATCTTACGTAGTCAGACGATTGTGCTGAAGAGCTACTGTGTATTACTGTGTGACACCGGCAGGACCATTTGCCAGGTCTGCTGATATTAGGTGCGAAACAGCTTTGTTAGCAAGAACTTTGACAACTTTGGCGCACAGAAAAAATGGTGTATTTTACTTCACCTGTTGATACAAGGGTTGAGAGGAGTTGGCAGGACTGGTGGTTTTCAAGCTTGAAACTGATTCAGGTGCTGTCCGTGAGGTTTGAGCCAGACCGTTTAAGTGTCAGGCTTTTGCTGCTTCGCCCTGGTGCTGTTTGCTGCCCGTCGTTGTGCAACACAGGTCTGATTTGCAGCCAGTTTGCTTTCAATCAAAGATCCAACAATCAATTGATGCTTGCGAGATACTTCACAATGTTTCACAATTCAATTCAGTTTCATATTGTATTGTGATTGACTACGGATTGATGATCGAATGATCTGGCAAAAAGCTGGAGAGCCCATGTTGCTTGCAGGCAGCGCCTGTGTATCAGGCAGTGAGTCTTTCTGAAGCCAGTGAGGAGGAGAGAATCCATGAGAATCCGTCATGTTGATGATATCCGCTGAATTTACAGCTGTGGATGCAACAACACGGAAGTCAACCTTGACGATACCTTCACCGGCATGTTTAGATATGTTTAGATATGTTCAATCTTTCCCTTGATGCATTTCAGTGCTTCAAGAAAATTGTAAACCCCAAGAGTCCTCTAACTTGCTCTAACTTGTGTATTTTCTCAAAGGGGCAATGTGCATCATCAGGGACACCATGCTTTTTGGCGATCCGGAATTTTGTCTCCGCCAGGATGCCTAAAGTCTTTTGGAGTTTCCAGCAAAGCCTGGAATCGGAGGCTGGACGTATTGGATTTGCTCGAGACTGTGATAAGTTTGATTTGTAGGAGCTGGATGCTGTAGTTGCAAACTGGTTACACAGCTTCTGTCAGGTTTGTACCAAACATTGGGCGACTGATATCCAAAAATGGGAGATTGGCAGCTCAATGGATTGAAATCCACGCGATGGGACATAGCCGAAAAGAAACCGTTGAAGGGAGCCCTTGGGACTTCTGCCAAGTGATCGATGAGGATGATTTCCGGATGAATGATCTCACTTCTTCTAGTGCAAGACTGGGATATACTGGGATTGCTTTCTGCTTGCTTTGACAGGGGAAGATACTGCGATGAGATCTGTGTGGTGACAGGACTGGTCTCGCCATCACTCTCAGCTCAAAAGGAGTACCGAATCCTTGCCTAGGGCCTAGCTTGCAGGGAAAATAAAGGTGTTGTTTGACAAAAAGGCGAGCAGTTTCAAAATCAACGGCCCTTTCAATGAAGACAACAGCCTCTAATGGAAGAATAGCAGCCGTAGGGAAGATCAAGCCAATGCCTCAGCGAAACCTTAAAGAAACACTTGGCAGGCTCCCTCAAACATAGAATCAGATTATTGATGGTTATTGGATGTTATTGGCTCATTGGTTCATTTTTTTTTTGCAAATCAAGACTTCTCCAAAATAAGACAGTACACTGAGATTCTGAGACGAATCCAGGCAGATAGATTTGACAGGTCATTGACCCTCACAAAACGCCATGCCGGTTCCAAGCGGCAAAGATGCGGCGGAACTGCCAGCATTGCCCTGTACAAAGTCGACAGGTGTGCCGATGTGGCAAACGGGCCAGAATGATGGTGGAAACGGATTCGGTTTAGCATGGCTTTACCCAAATTTTGCCAAAATGATGGAAAAACACAGGGCCTGGTTCCATGGCCATGTTTGATTGCAAGAGGGTAATATAGGGAGAGGGATCAAGAAACATAGTTCTATAGATAAAGTTGGACTATCAAGTTGATTTGAAGATGTGCACATCGGTCGGCAGAATGCTTTTGTCAAAGAAAAACTCACACATCACTTTCTTGGAATTGTCTAGGCCATTTCTTATTTCGAGGTGTCTGAAAACGTTTTTTTTGCCACCCCAAATGGCAATTTCAACGGGAAGATGTGCTTTTCAGACATTCCTCCAGGTGCAATCGCGGGTGCCCATCACTTTGGAGACGTTGAAGAGTTGGAACGGATCCTGAAGGCCGAAGTGAGGGGCCATGATATTGGAGCATGTTGAAAGGTTTTTGATGATGCATTCCATCATATGATATCAGGGATTCTTATTCCATGTTATTTTGTTTACTTGCAAGAAGCTCAAAATCACACTATCATGTGTTTTGGCAACCTTTTTCGGCAATGATATAATATAACATAATATAATTCATCAATATATATATAATATACATATATACGTAAATATAATCTACTATCAGGTATATGATATATAAATTATATCTGTTCAATATATATCCCCTATTTTTTGGCCACAGCCCGGGTCACGGTTTTCAGCAGGCTCGATTGGTGGAGCTATCAGTAATCCAGCAGAGGAACTTCATCAACTCTTTGGAACAGTCACTGGGCTGATGGTTATCTATAGATACATATCTATAGTTGATAACTAGATACTATCGTATCATATCTATAGATAATATCCATAGTAACTATAGTAACTATAGTAACTAGTTGATAACTCTGGTTGAAAATTGGCGGATGATTTGGTAGATTTGTTGTAGAGGATTTGTTCCCAAATTTCACAACTATGGGAAAATTGGCGGATGATTTGGTAGATGATTTGTTGTTTATGATTTGTTGTTTGATTTAGCTATTCAGAAGGATTTTCATTTTCCCATAGAAAAATGTTGAATAACTAGAGGCTAGTCATCATTTTCCCCATTCGAAATTGGCCAAATTTGGGGGACCAAACATTTCAGACACACCCAGATGGGTGAATTGGACTGGCACAATTCTGTATCCCCTGACGGAAAGTTTGAAATGAAGGCGTAAAATGAACTCAGCGGAGGGAACTTCCTTCTTGGGAACCTTCTGACTTTTTGATGTTCGACCGCCAGAGGCTTGAGTCTCACTCACCAGAATCATTGAAGGCATGTTTCCTTTCTTGAAGAATGCTGCTTCATGAAATATCCCGGTGGCTTGTCTTACTACCAGCTTGACTTAAAGCATGTTAGAAGTCTTGCGTTGGGTCCGTTGGGTCAAGGATGATTTCTTTGCATGTATTATCTGAACATGCTGATGTGCAATCAGAAGCTCTAGAATTACACTGACCGGCTCACCCGCACCGTTGTCACTGTTTCGTCTGCAACAGCTTGACTTGAAGCATTGTAGAAGTCTTGCGTTGGGTCCGTTGGGTCAAGGATGATTTCTTTGCATGTATTATCTGAACATGCTGATGTGCAATCAGAAGCTCTAGAATTACACTGACCGGCTCACCCGCACCGTTGTCACTGTTGTCTCTGCTACAGCTTGACTTGAAGCATGTTAGATGTCTTGCGTTGGGTCCGTTGGGTCAAGGATGATTTCTTTGCATGTATTATCTGAACATGCTGATGTGCAATCAGAAGCTCTAGAATTACACTGACCGGCTCACCCGCACCGTTGTCACTGTTTTGTCTGCAACAGCTTGACTTGAAGCATTGTAGGAGTCTTGCGTTGGGTCCGTTGGGTCAAGGATGATTTCTTTGCATGTATTATCTGAACATGCTGATGTGCAATCAGAAGCTCTAGAATTACACTGACGGGCTCACCCGCACCGTTGTGCTGTTGTCTCTGCTACAGCTTGACTTGAAGCATTGTAGAAGTCTTGCGTTGGGTCCGTTGGGTCAAGGATGATTTCTTTGCATGTATTATCTGAACATGCTGATGTGCAATCAGAAGCTCTAGAATTACACTGACCGGCTCACCCGCACCGTTGTCACTGTTTCTCTGCAACAGCTTGACTTGAAGCATGTTAGAAGTCTTGCGTTGGGTCCGTTGGGTCAAGGATGATTTCTTTGCATGTATTATCTGAACATGCTGATGTGCAATCAGAAGCTCTAGAATTACACTGACCGGCTCACCCGCACCGTTGTCACTGTTGTCTCTGCTACAGCTTGACTTGAAGCATTGTAGAAGTCTTGCGTTGGGTCCGTTGGGTCAAGGATGATTTCTTTGCATGTATTATCTGAACATGCTGATGTGCAATCAGAAGCTCTAGAATTACACTGACCGGCTCACCCGCACCGTTGTCACTGTTTTGTCTGCAACAGCTTGGCTTGAAGCATTGTAGAAGTCTTGCGTTGGGTCCGTTGGGTCAAGGATGATTTCTTTGCATGTATTATCTGAACATGCTGATGTGCAATCAGAAGCTCACTGTTTTGTCTGCAACAGCTTGACTTGAAGCATTGTAGAAGTCTTGCGTTGGGTCCGTTGGGTCAAGGATGATTTCTTTGCATGTATTATCTGAACATGCTGATGTGCAATCAGAAGCTCTAGAATTACGCTGACGGGCTCACCAGTACTATCCTTGCTTGGCTCATTACCAGTGAGAAAACTTTGGATGGCTATGGACAAATTACAAATGTTTGCACTTCTTGTGATTTCTGACGTTTTATCATGTTTTATCCTTTCTTTTTTTGAATATGGGGCCAAAGAGGGATGGCTTGGAATTGTTGCAAGTGCTCAGGAGTCGCACGGAAGTGTTGCAGACGGTGTCAGAGTGCTTGGTGAAGGCCCTCTCCGCATTTTAGATGGCCAGTGCTCGACCATGCCTTACAAGACGTTAAAATCTAAGATAAGAGTCTGATCAGAGTCTTTAATCATGTTCTGTGACTTCTATGTCATAGTGACATGAACTTCGATCTCATATATATATATATATACGTATATATATATATTTACACATATACATATATATATATATATCTTTCATTCAAGACAATCATGGGTGTTTTACTTCGAAGCACTGGGGCTGGTGAGAATCGCACTCTGGAAAAATGAGACATCTCTTGTGAGGTGTAGAAGTGACATGGCTCCGGAGGGAAACAAACACCTGGTTTCCCGAAAAAAACAGGCCATGGCCGCCATGGCCATGTTCAATTTTCAGGCTCGAGAAGAGACCTTCGCTGACGAACATCAGGTGTGGTCTCTGTGATTTTCCAATGGATCTTTGGTCAACAAACAATGGAACTCAAACATCTGGAAGCATCTGGAAACAGCTGGAGACATGTGGAGACATCTGGAAGCCCTGATGTTCTGATACTTTTTGGCATCTTTTCGCTAGCTTTCTTAGAGACCAAAGGACAATTGCACACCGACAAAGCACGCAGGGGGAGGCAGTGACCTCGCCAACAGAGAGAGGTGTGGCCCGGAGATTTGTTAAATTTCACATGTCGAAACTTTTCAGGGCCACAGAGGCTCTGTGTCCGTTTGAATTCCACCAGATGCCGAGTGGGAGTTGATGATTTTGTCAGTTTAAAAAAGAGAACCCTGCTGATGTTTGCGAAGCTCTTTGAAACGGGTCAGACTCAACAAGCCTCCAACGACACCATACATGTGGACTCCATCGGATACAGTACCCAGAAATAGATATTGGATTGATTCATCGTCCCAAAATCTGTGGCAGGTTCAGGCTTTGCTGGAAACTTGGCTGCACGTGGCCTGTCGATCATAGCAGTCCCATGACCGCTACCGCTAGCTACAGCGATTCAGCCAGTCCCGCCACGGCCAGGAGTGAGCTTCGCTGGCTCGGAGTTCAGCAATCAGGATCTGCCATTGGATGACTGGGTCGAAACTGCAGACCTGGAGGTGCCTGCCAATTGCAGCGTCGAAACCTGGCATGGCAACATATGGCAACTGCATGGCAACAAAGTGCAGGTGCTGGGTCTGGAGGTGGGCAAAGTGGACACCTCCAATTTCTTCTCGTGGCTTCGGGTGAAGCTGGCCAAGTGCGAGCACAGGCACTGGGATTTTTTGCGACGTCAGATTTTTTTCGAATTGGACTGGGGGGAACTATCCGAAAATAGCCGAACTTTTCAGATTTGTGAACTGTTGTAATTTATCCAGAATCCCTTCAAGGTTGTTGTTCTGGGTATGCCAGGGCGGGGGTTGATGCCACAAACACCGGATTCTGAGGAGTTTCTTCGGTGTTTTCGTGTTAGCTCCACTCCCGCAGGGTCTTGGATGTAGCTGTCAGCTTGCTGATTGCTCTAAACACCATGGCACCTTGGGCTGTTGAACCATGGGAAGCTGAGGGCCATGGTAACCAACATCTGGTTCTGGACTGTTCGTATCCACTTTTTCTTTCAATTGGAGGATGTCAAAATTACACGGGGTACCTACCACGAATTAATTGTTGGTACTACGATTTGAATTATACATACCACGAATGAAAGGTTGTATCCAACCAACGTTCTTAATATTGTAGTGTGCATTAGAATATGTCATGTCAAATTGTCCATTTCTTTCAGAGAGTTCAAAGTATTTACGACAGCCAGGGCTTCAGCTCCACTTCCACTGCACAAAAGATTGATTGAATGGCATACAATCCAACAGTGGATGACTTGGAAATGGTCAAGTCATCGAGTCATGGACAATGTCTGAGTGAACCCTCAAGTTTCAGACATCAGACTTTCATAGACTTTCACCAGGATATGCGATATGCCAGGATTTGCCAGGATCCATACTTAGTGACTAAACAATGAACATCTTCTCCAAAGGCACAGCACCGCTGAGGTCATGATGTTGTCTCATCAACAGATGGGACATGATGCAGCTCGCGCCGTCGGTGAGCATGATGCGACCATGGACAACTTCGTGATCTCCCAGGACTGGAAGATCAACGAGATTCCAACGGTATGAAAGGTTCCAGTGCACTAAAAACGGCCTCTTTAAAGTGTTGATTCAAGTTGAATTTATCCTTTGAGATGGACATTGTTACTAAATCTATTCAACATTTACTTGACACTGTACAGATGTGCCGTATTTATATGTATTTATCCGTATTTGGGAATGCTTACGCTCACAGGTTCGGCTTCTGGTGAGTGTCATGGCAGATTTTGTATGGGTGCACTCTAACTTTTCAAATCATTTGCACTCCTTGCGGCTATTGAGGGTTACAATTTTGGAAGACACTCGGTATACAGCCACATTAGCCACATACTATCCCATACTATCGCAACATCTCACTAGAATCAGAGCCTTGTCGCAACGATCGTTCTTCAACACCGCTGCAGGGGACCTTCACAAGGATAGAGCAGGCAGGATGGTCCAATGCACCAGTGGACCAATGGATATAGTGGACATTAGTGGACTATTGACTGGTGATTATCATTGGGAATATCCAGTAGAATTCCATTTGAAGTCGATGATCTTCCCATGATATTTTGATGATATGTTGACGAATTGACTTGAATTGACTATTCCCATGATATTCCCATGATATTCCTATAGTGATGGAGATCATTCATGGGATCCAAATAATCATGCCCCAACAGCAGCTGAGCTGGGAACAGGCTTTCGCCATCATCTTCTTCCTGGAGCTTTCGGTACTTTGGTTGCCAGGGTGGCCATCGCCATGTCACCCTTCAACAGTGTGTTGCAAATAGCAGAGGACTTGGAAGACATTGAATGAAGTTGACACACATTTAACATCATTTAACCTGGAGGTTGAGAATATTTGAGAATGATCACTGAAATACTGACTGATGATTTAAGAAATTTTTGTCTTCCACGTGATTCAGACGAGTTTTCCCAGCATCGTGGGGTGTTTTGCTGGGGCGTCTCTGCGGCCGAGGCGCGTGTGATGATCCACCGGTTGAAGTATTTCAAGAGCTACCTGAACATCTTTGACGCATTGCTGGTGGTGGCTGGCTCAGAAATCGCCCATTTGGGGGGCATCCCAATGTGTTGCTGAAAAAAAAGGCCATGCTCTGAGAGATCTTCAGCTGTTCTTCGCTTCAGCCAATCCCAGGTGGTTGGCATTATTGACATGATCATCCTCGAGGAATTGATTGATGGTGGAGGTGGGGTCAACTTGGTCGTCCTGCGCTTCTTGAGAATTATCAAATTGGCGCGGACACTTCGAGCCCTCCGCTTCCTGACTGCATTTCTGTCAGGATTTGCAGGAGAGATTGCTTGAACATGCTTGAATCAATTTGAGCCATGACTCAGGCAATATGATCCATGTGGATTTTCACCAAATGAGGCACTATGCGATTATTTCAAGGTTTGCGCGTGTTGGTTGCTGCCGTGAGTTCTTTCCTGCCTTCGTTGCTGCTTGGTCCAGTAAGATAAGATCCGCACAAATCCATCCAAAACAGCGTGTCATGTCACCAGTACACGAGATGACTGTGAGCAGGCACAGCAACTTGTAGAAGGTGAAAGCACATTGCGATATATTTCGCATCCCACAGTCTCTCCTCAGCATAGTATTCTAAGGTTTGCTTCCATGTTCTTTCTGGCAATCTTCATCATTCTTGGTGGACTTTTGGTGGGCACGTCCCTCATGGAGTTCATCAAAGATGAAAGTCGCTCACTCCGCAGGTGTAGTGATATACTCAACCATGGCTCTAACCAAAGCTGATGCCCTGGGTCACTTTGTTGTGGGATGACACATCGTTCTTCAGATATATATCATCGATATCTTGAACTAAGAAAGTGGCTTTTCTTGCATTCCAAAGCCTGTGTGTCTTGTGTGAGATTCCAAAGCCTGTGTGGCTTGTGTTACAGTATTACATTCCAAAGCCTGTGTGGCTAGTGTTACATTCCAAAGCCTGTGTGGCTTGTGTTACATTCCAAAGCATGTGTGGCTTTTCTTACATTTCAAAGCCTGTGTGGCTTGTGTTACATTCCAAAGCCTGTGTGGCTTGTGTTACATTCCAAAGCCTGTGTGGCTTGTGTTACATTCCAAAGCATGTATGGCTTTTCTTACATTTCAAAGCCTGTGTGGCTTTTCTTGCGTTCCCAAGCCGCTTTTATTGCATTCTAAAGCCTATGTGGCCTTTCTTACATTTCAAAGCCTGTGTGGCTTGTCTTACATTCCAAAGCCTGTGTGGCTTTTCTTTCGTTCCAAAGCCTGTGCCGTTGTGAGTGTGGCCACTTCCAATTTCTGTTCTAGGTATTGCAACACCGTCTTTGGCCAGTAGCCTTTTGGACCGGAGTTGAACTGCAGCCAAGGTAAGGATCTTGAAACGCGCCGATGGGTTTGGGAAAGCTATGGAATCTTGGACAATGGATAGAGAGAGGTTTGAGATGTTTCTGTGGCCAAAGTGGGTTGAACGCCCTCCGTTGAAACTGAAACAAGAACAATGGGTCTTAGACTTAGACAGAACATTTGCATGTCTGAGTCTGTCTGAGTGAGGATTCGTCGTAGAATGAGACTGAACGTTGAGCTGATGTGTTTTTCATGGGTTGATGTTTGGGCCTTTGGGCCTTCATGGGTTGAGCGTCTGAGGAACTTCATATAGGGCCACCTACACCATGTTCCAGGCATGCGGCGGCTATCGCGTGCTACGGTGCCGTCTCGACTTTACCGATGGTGCAGCTTCGACTTCGTCGTTTGCTCCAGGTAACCTTCTCGGGATGTTGGCCTTCCTATGTGAATCCTCTCTTTCAAGAGGTCAGCATGTGGCAGCCTGACTGCAGCGACGTGTTTCGACCAGTCAGACCAGTCAGACCAATTGCAATGATGTTCACAATATGTTCACAATAGTTGTTCACATTTATTCAACATCCTTTTGGGGATTATCACATACACTATCAAAGTGCAACGCTGGCAAATTGTTTGGATCTTTTTGGGCATGTAGTCACACTGTTGTCACATAGATAGAACATGATGGAACAACACAAAAGTAAGCAACAACAGATGGCTCAGCTGTTGCAAGGGATAGTTATCGACGACCTGAATCGCAGCTGAAGGTATGCATTATTCTTCTGCATCTACGTGACCTTTGTCGTATTTGTACTTTGATGGCACTGGTGATGATTGGTGTTTGAACTTTGGTTGTCCAGTTCGCTGCTCTCTCGAGGCCGTGATGCGCGTAATCACGGCAATTTTTTTGAAGGATTGCGTCGCTTTGCAGTGGATCAGTTCTTCTTTAGAAGTGATGTGAGACCTGGCAAAACGTTTTCTATAGTAATCTATAGTGGTATTGTATTGTTCACCATTCACAGTATAATTACATACTATACATATTATACATATTATACATATTTTATTATATAACTAATTATATCATATAGCTATATCATATAACTATACTATATTTCTGGTACCAGAGCGCCAGTGAAGCGTTTCAGATGCAGTGCGTAAACAGTGGCGACAGCTACACCTCCTCGTGGTCGCCGCGGGCCTTGTCAGCACTGAGACTGATGAGGTGCGAAGTAGTACGATGTCTATTTAGTGGTGGGCCTTTCCCACTGCCAGTTTCAAGTTTAATTTGCGGTGGGCTCTTCCCACTGCCTGATGATGCAAGAAAGCAAAATAAAAATCAGAAAAGCCCAAAAAGAAATACAAAAGAGAAAATTGAAAACCAAAAAAAGGATGAATTCAATACAATGCACGTGACGGGCCTTCAAGAGGCAAAGCCCAACAACAGGATCGTGAAGATCCAAGAGCCCAGGAAAGGCTTGGGACGGCCTGGTCACAGTCTGCGCTGGCTGATCGCTGCGCTGTTGCTGTCCCCGGTTTCTGCTACTGCCGATGCCCCTGTTTTCGGTTCTTTCGACTCGGTCATCGGTCAATCTTCGCTTGTCCAGACGCGACACAGTCTCCTATTTGGAGCTCCCATGGGAAACGGTACTGAGCTGTTGCCATGGCCTGCTGCTGATGAACGCAGTGATGCAGCTTTACAGAATTCACAGAGCTTTGATGGCTTTACTCTGATTCTGGCGGCTGCTGAATTTGCGGAACTTTCTGCTGAGTCTTCGAAGCTGCTGACCGCAGCCGTGAGGGCAGAGCTCGCGGTTTTTGCTACAGAATCTCGGAGGCTGCTGACTGTTACTGCGGTAGCTGAGCTTGCGGCATTGGCTGCCGAGTCTTTGAGGCTGCTGATGGCTGCCGCGGCCGCCGAGCTCGCTACCTTTTGTGATTTAGCTGCAGATTCGTTGTCACTGATCGAAGTGCAACTTCAGGACTTTAGGTTCTGTCTGGAGCACGTTGTTTTTCAAACTTTGGCTGCTTTTGCCAAATTGCAATTGCCTTGGACCACACATGACACCTGTTTGCAGCTTGTGTGGCTTGGCTCACTGGGTTTGAACGGTGTATTTCTCGATATGCTCTTCAACCCCCGTACTATTGTTTGGCCCACCACCTTTGGTCATGTCCTCGCTGTCTCCTTTGGCCTTTGTCCTGGCCTTCTGGGTTTCTTTCTTTTGCGGTCAGCGTGGTGCGGCTTGTCCCCTTGGTTCTTTGCGTTGGGATTCTTGGGGCCCTGTCTTTTGCTTTCTTGGCTCCGTTCGTTCTGGCGATGGGGGTGGCGTCTCCTGCCGGCTCGTGCGGTGCTTTGCGAATGGTGTGCTGTTGGCCTTCTGGGTGGGTGGTGGTGGCTTTTCCCTCACTCTTGGCCTTGGGACCACTCCAATCCTTTGGTTGGTTTGTCTTGGCTCCTGCTGCTCGGTCTTGTGGGCTCCCTTCTCTCGGTCAGTTCGGTGTCCACTCATCCCCGGTTATCTACGGACTTCTCCCTTTCTTTGAGAGATCTTGTCGCTGTCCTGATCTCCCTGGTCTGGTTTCTTTGTCCGCACTATATGCCGTGGGAATTTAATGAACCCATTATTAACCTTGGCTGGTTTATTTCTTTGGGGATAATTGCGCTTTGCAGTCCGGTTGCACCGGAACAGCACAAACGACCAACTGCTTTTGCAACACTTCAGAGTGATGCTGTTTTGAAACGTAAACAGCGATTTGCAATTGAAGCCAGAAAGGTTAGTCAGAGACGTGTCACCGGTGTCCGTAGACACTGCGGGGGCACCTTTCAAATGAATGTGCTGAGACTCAGAGGGTATCAGCTTCTTGCCAAACACATGTTGCTGCAAAAAAGGGGCGCCCACAATCAAAGAATTTTAACTTTGAACAGATGTTGGAACTCTGCTGAGACCAATGGCGCTGACCACCAGCATTCCCAGCAATACCTTGAATGGATCTGCAAAACTAATTTGTTGGATGGAGGGGCTGGTGGTAGTGCTACCACCAGTCGAAAACGAAAACAAGGTCAGTCCCTGGCGGACACTTTGGGAGAGTTTCTGCAGGACTGGATTGAAAAAGCCGAAGAGAGCAGTCCCAAAAGAACCAAAGGTGCCGGAAAAAAGCTGAACAATCAGGGTCCAACTACTGTCTCTGGTAATAAAGGTAGTCCTGGTGGGGATCCCAAAACCCTTCAAACGCCCGGAAAATCTCCTGGGAAGGGTAAACCCTCGAAATCGAAAGGGAAAGGAAGGATGTCCTTTTCTGAGAACCAGAATGCCCAAACAGTTTCGGAGCCAAAACCGGAAGACAAAGACAACGGTGATGAAATGTCATTGGCGAGACAGTTGATCACCGTTTTGAAACAATGCCTCAACCAGGGGTACTCGGATGTCCAAGTCGCGACCTCGGTTTTAGGACACCTTCAGGGCGGTCGCAATACTCAGCAGATTGTTGGCTCAACTTTGAAGAGTCCAAAAAATGGAAAAGGAAAAGGGACAGCAAATGGTCAGTCTGGCCCTAGATGTCATGCTGCTGCTACGGGGTTGAGAGACTGTGAGTGGTCCATCAAACCTTCTCTTGTTAATTTTTCGAAAGCCATGCACCTTCTGAAAGAGGGTCAACAAAGTGAGTACAATATGGTTGAACTTCGCACACATGATGAATATCATGAATTCAGGACGCTGTGGAAGGCGCTGGCCAACCCAGGCTCTGTTTCAATTCTCCTGACTGGACCTGCTGCCAGTGTCACTGAGGAAGGGTTGAAGACGCAAAAAACGGTCACACGGGGAAAGTTGGGACCTCAAGTTGAAAGTGTCTCTCTTTTACGGTTCGGGGACCACCAGAAATGTCCGTGGATCAAAACGACCACGCAGGTCCCCAAAGACAAGATTCCTGTCGTTGCCAAGAGCACGGTGCGTATTATGGCACCGGAAAGCTATCGAAAAGTTTTTTTGGGAAGTGCTGACTCACCAGTTCAGGTGATTGCTGACATTGCTACGCAAACTGAACTTCAGGCATCTCAGCTGACAGGAGGTTCTTGGAGTCAGCAAAAAGTCGGGAGCCGCCGCCAGCTGGTTGGTCACTTGAGGCTGAATGATAAATCAGCGGAAAAACTCCTTACCATGAGTGGCAAACAGGGCATTTTTTGCTCTAAGCTTCCCAAAGACCCCAACGAGACGGTGCCGAAAGTTTTCTGGGTTACCAAACAAACGGATGAAAACCCCGAAACTTATTACCGGCGATGCCTGGCTCTGGGTCAAAGCAGGAAACAGCATTTGATCCTTCGCTCGGGAGGAGGGGCTGACATTGGTTTTGTTTGGCAGACCACTGACAAGGACACTCAGCGACCACGAGTTTATGATTTTCATGGGATCCCCCTTGGTTGGGACCACACTGAGGTTGTCTCTCTGATCATGAGCCTTGGTTGGGCTGACCCGATGGTTTTATCCCGGAAAAGAAAAGGCAATGAGGCTTGCTGGAGAATCCGGTCCACTCCTCCTAGTGATAAGTCTGACGATGGCAGTTGGATTTATTCTGTTGAGGATGATACTCCTTGGACCCTCAATGTTCTCACTGCTCCCCCAAAAAACAATAAGGCCACTTCTTCCTGGGTGCAGGCTCCTAAAAGAACATTTGGGAATGTCACTCTTGAAGATTTTTTGGCTTCCACCAAGGAAACTAAGGCTAAGGCTGAAAAGTCCCTTGGCAATGAAAACGCTTTTCCGAAGAAAGGCAAAGGAAAAGCTCATTCCAACAGTAGTTCTCGGGACCGTTCCCGGAGCCCGAAGAAAGGTGACCAAACGACAACAGGAAATGGAGACACTCAGGCCGAGGAGTCTGCCGCCCGCGCGGCCTCTGAGGCCAACGCTGATGACAATATGGGGGGTTGCTCCTACTCAGCTGGATCCAGAGGGTCCAACGTTCCCCACTGATCCTGGCTCGGCTGTCCAGGACCATCAGTATGTACTTGTTGATTTAGGAGGCTGTGGAGATTGTGCTTTTCGAGCCACAGCCGACAGCAACTGGTGGAACTCCAGCCCACCGGAGAATGAGTCCTTTTCTGTTGAAAGGGCACAGAAAGAAGGTGCGTGGTTGAGAGCACAGACTGTCACCCACCTTAGAAAACACAAGGAGAAATTTCTCCCCTTTTTTGACCACCTTTACCGTGGTAAATCGTTTGATGATTGGTTGGAACAAGCCTCTGATGCGACTTATTATATTAACGGCATGATGTTGCAGAGTCTCAGTGAAAAACTTGGCACGGCCTTGGTCATTTTTAAGAAAAACGAAGGAGGTTCCTGGCAAAGATTTTGCGTCGCCGCCAGATTTTCAAAAGGGTATGCCTGTATGGCCCGTGGAGCACAGCCTGTTATCCTCACTTTGGAAAACAAGCATTATAAAAGTCTAAGGATTCCGAGACAAACTGCGGTTCCTGATGCTTGGTTAAGAGAGGGCTGCGACAACTGGGCAGCTGAGCTATCCGGTGGAGGTGTGAAAACCCCCAAACGCCTGCCCAGCAGGTCTGACACTGTCGTGCTGGCTCACGGTCTTCTCATTCTTCCAGGTTGGATTTGGGTGTTTCCGATGGCCTGGGTACCCCGTCTGCTCACTCTCTGGTCCGGGATGGGATGTCGATGGCGTCCTCCGTCGCTGCTGGTTGCGGGGAGGTGTTGGGCCGTGTTCCTTTGGTCCAGTCCAGTGTCCCCGTCCCTCGTCGTTTGAGGTGCAAAACTTCGCCTTCCGTGGTGTTTGGGGGGCGTGCGGCTTCTTCCCATGTTCCCGCCTTGAGCGTTTGTGCCGTGCCCTCCCCCGCTGAACTCCCTTGCCAGTCCTCTGCTGCTTCGGTCCCTGGGGATGATGATTTGAGGCAGGAACAGGTCGACAGTCGGGATAAAAACACGATGAATGCCAAACAATTGGCGCAACTTTTGAATTCCGGCCCGGAGCCTAGAGTATGGACCTGTCCTCTCTGTGACACCAGAATTTCAGGTCGTGGTAAGAGACTCAGTGGGTTGCGTAGTCATCACCTTCGTGACCGGCACCCGGGGGTTGACCCACGTACCATTTATGGTATTCGCATCACTGCCAACCACGTTGATGTCAGTATGAACATCCCTCCTGACGCTCAAGGATGGCAGTGCCCCTTTTGTCCGGCTGCTCTGCCGACAGGACTCAGTAGGTATGTTATTTCCAGTGCTCGCCAACGCCATTTTGAGCACGCTCATAAACGTCGGAAGATCACCATGTCTACCATCCACGGAGGTCGGGCCAAACAGTTTAAAAAAGACCGTGCAAGGTTTGCTGGTCAGCTTTCAAAGGCTAAGGCGGTGTCCGAGAAGCTGGCTAGATCCTTTGAGGACCCTTCGATCGGAGGACACGACTTGAAAGTGATTCGACCCGATTGGGCTACATGGCCTTCCACCTCCAAAAAAGTACGACATGGTACTTTGGTCACTTGTACCCAATGCTGGAGGGCAAGTAATGCTGATTGGGACACACCTTGTGTGGGCCGTACGGGAAAACGTGGATGGGCTCAAAAAGCTTTGTGGCAACGTCTCGTCAAGCAAGAAAATGGTACTGACAACATTCAGCTCTTGTTGGATACCTGGAATGCTACCAGGGAAGAAGTCAACGAAGTTATGGGCTTGGATCCTGGAGATGTACGCCTAGGTGGTTACCGGGGCACTCGTGTTGGGGAGGCCCAAAACCCCGGCCCTTCATCTACTTGCTCTGGGTTTCTGCTGTGGTCACTCAATTGTCAAAGTCCCAATGGGGCTTGGGCCTTCTTAGACTCCTGCAAAAACATCCAAGATCCGCTTGTTGTGGCCTTACAAGAAACTAGATTCTCTACTACCGAAGAAGCTGCTTTTGTTCGGCATGCCCTCAAAAGTGGATTCCATGTGCAAGCTACTCCTGGAAGCCCTGATGTTGGTGGTCGGCCAAGAGGTGGTGTTCTCTGGATGGTTGACAAACGTCTGAGATTTCGTAAATCGGTCAGCTCCTCTGCAGAAGATGCTCAAGTTGGGACTGTTTGGGTCGAAAACTGGCTCCTCCTCAACTTTTACTCCCCTCCTGACCGAAGCAAGGATGCCCAAATGCAGGCAAGTGAATTGCTCCAGGAGGCTTTGCTTGCTGAGGATATGCCTACGACTTGGATAGCAGTGGGCGATGCCAATGAAACTCCAGCTGACAGCTGCATCGCCCTGACTTTGAATAGCTTTCAGGGCATTGTGCTTGAGCAGGGCTGCCCTTCCCGTTGGGAAGGTCAAGCTGAACTTGATTGGGCTCAATGCTCTCAACCTTCATTGGTTCAGCAGTTACGGTTCATGACGGAACACTTCAGCGACCACAAATGTTTGGAGTGTTTTCTCCCTATTAGGACCAAGGACCTTTCGTCAGGTTTTCTCAAGTCAAGACCTGATTGGCACAAACCGGTGGCTGCCACTACTCAATGGTGGCGTGAAACTTTGTCTCAATGTTGGGATGATGCTCAGCCTTTTCGTCCTTGCGATGTTACCTCTGGGAGCATCGATGACAATTGGGACCGATTCACTGGGGCCTTGGAGCAAATGTTCCGAGCAGCATTTCGGATGGCTTTCGAAAGCAACCTTGCTACTCCGCAGGAACTTGCTAGAGCCTTGAGAAGCCCTGGCTCAAAAGGTTCGGCGCCAGTGTGGCGTCAGAGAACTTTGCCCCGTGCTGGGCCCAGAGGTCAGGGGTCTATGCCACTTCGGAGACTCAGGCGAAGTGTCGCCCAACTTTATGAACTGAGACGCCACCTTTCGAGATCGGCTCGCACCAGCCTGCAAACTCAAGAAGCTCAGAAACTTGCTGAACGCCTCGGCTTCGGACGTGATCTTCATGCTCCTGGGTTGTTGGCCCGTGTTGCTCAGCAGTTGGCCTCTTCTAAAGCTCAGCTTTATCAAGAACACCAGGATGCTCGTAAACGAACGTTGAGGAATTGGCAAAACGCTTTAAAGGACGACCCCAAAGCTTTGGGACGTTGGTTGCGAGCTCGGGACGTCGTTCCTATCAGAGGAGTTGTTGGAACCCAAGGTATTTTGGATACCCCCCAAAGTATTGCCTCGGAAATTAAGACTTTCTGGGAAAATTTTTGGAATCAGAATCAATTTGTTGACCCTGAAAACGTTGCCCAAAGATTAAGAAACCATGCCCATGTTCCCCATCAAAACATTGACTGGGAAGCACCAAGTCTTGAGCTGCTGGTTGCAGTTTTCCGTGCAGCTGATGGAGCAGCTGGTGGGGATGGCTTTGCGGGTCGTGAACTTCGTCATTTGCCTGAGGCGGCCATTTCCTTATTTCGGCAGCTGGCACTACAGTGGCAAGATCATGGCTGTACCCCATCTGTTTTTGCTCACACTCGGATGGTCAACTTTGGAAAACCTGGTAAGGTTTCTGCTGACGGACTCCTTCCGCTCGATGGGTGCAGGCCTATTAGTGTTTTGACTTCTTTCTGGAGGCTCTGGGGTACGGCGTGGATGCGCTCACCCAGTGTGAAAGCTTGGATGAGCACACTCCCCTCGTCCGTCGTTGCTGGCACGGGAGCAGATAGTCTCTTTACTGCTGCACAGGTTTTTGCCAAACTGGGCCACCAACGCTACGCAGGTAGCATGGATTTCACCAAATGCTATGACCTCATGATCCCATGTGGTACGGCGGCCCTTCTCGAAGCCGGAGGATGGCCACGAGGACTGGTTCAGGTCATTGCTTATATGTGGCAGCACCAACAACGGTGGGTGAGTTGGGACCGGCACACTCATGGTGCCCCTCTTGCAGCTGGCACGTGTGTGCCCCAAGGTTGTTCCTTCGGTCCTCTGGCCTTGGCAGCTTGGATGGCGGCAGGTGTTCGCGCTACTGACCACAACCGTGAAACGGTTTTTACTCGTGTTTTTATGGATGACAGAACCATTGTTTCTTCTGACCCTCAATTTTTGGTCAACCAGATTCAACGGTGGGAAACTTGGAGTGAAAGTGTTGGTCTTCTTGAAAGCAAAACTAAGACTCAGCTCACTGGAGCTACGCAACTGTGCCGCACCAGGTTGGCTTCGGTTGCCACTGAACCTGCCAAGGTTCAAAGTTCTTTCGAAATCTTGGGATGTTGCGCTCAAGTTTCCAGGCGTACTGAATCCATTAAGGAAAAGAAGAGACTTGCTGCAGGTCACAGAACACTTCAGTTGATTGGGAACCTGGGGTGGCCGTTTGAGAGGTTTTTGCGTGCGGCACAATCTCATGCTTTATCTAAATGCACCTATGGTTGGCTTGCTCGTTTGCCTACCTCCACGTCCAGCTGGAAATGCTGGGCTCAGGTGCGAAGAGCTCAGAGGGTTCACCAACAGGCTAACAAATATCTCCGGGCCATTATTTTTGGGGGGAATTGCCATCTTGACATGTTGGTTGCTTCTAACCTCATCAGAGTTGTTGCTCGTCTTTTGCAAAGACGGTGTGTCCGATGGGCAGATCGATCCACTGGCGGCAGTCCAGTGGCCACTCTGCACAAATGGTTCAGTTTGCATGGGTTTTCGGCCGCACGGCCTTGGACCTGGATTTCTGACCATGTATCTTTTAAGGTCGATCTTCAAAGAATGCCGATTAAGAATGCTCAGCATGCTGCTCGCCAAGGGTGGCGTTGGCACCTTTGGCAGAAATTCCTGAATTGTGGTCGCCATGAGTGCGACGAAGTGCGCCCGCTTTCTCTTCAGCAGTTTGTTGATATTGACTTTAAGAAAGTGAGACAGTCCGCGATTGATCACACTTTTCGTGCTGTGTGCACGGGAGCGATGCTTTCCCCAGCTGCTATGCAGCACAGAGATGAGGTCCCTATTAACTGTCCGTGGTGCGAGAATCTTGGACACTGGAATCACGTGGTGTGGTTGTGTGACAACCGCCCGGTTAAACTTCCCTTCCCTGATTCTCCTGTTAAAGCCAGGTTTGGATGGGGAGCCTCACCTGAACAGGTGAACTGGATCACTCAGGCTGCTGCTGCTATTTGGAACACCCGTCATGCTGCTGCTGCGGCAAACTCTGCGGCTGGCTCTGCGGCTGGCGCTGCAGCCGAGGCTGCTGAATAGCCTTCACCTTGGCGCGTGAGGGCCTTTCATGCAGCGGTCGTGAGTCTCCGGCGCGGCTTCTGTTCAAAGACCTTCTTCTTCTGATGCGCGTAATCACGGCAATTTTTTTGAAGGATTGCGTCGCTTTGCAGTGGATCAGTTCTTCTTTAGAAGTGATGTGAGACCTGGCGAAACGTTTTCTATAGTAATCTATAGTGGTATTGTATTGTTCACCATTCACAGTATAATTACATACTATACATATTATACATATTATACATATTTTATTATATAACTAATTATATCATATAGCTATATCATATAACTATACTATATTTATGGTACCAGAGCGCCAGTGAAGCGTTTCAGATGCAGTGCGTGCCACATTGCCATGCTGGGCCTCCGAAAAGCAGGAGACGCTTGATGCGGCTGGGGAAGACCATGAGGTGGTCACAGCGGAGAAGGAGGTGCAACCCCTTGGCTTTATAGGAAAATGTCAATTTTTCATGTTATTTTCTTCAAGGGGGAGCTCAACAGATTCCATCAATTTAGAGCATGTAGACTCATGTAGACTATGGACACAAATTGTGTGTTGAGTTAGAGAACCATTCCATCAGACTGCTTTGTTGACGTTGCACATAAGTTTAAGGCACCCCGTGGCTCCGCCTACGGGATGACGTGTCTCTGAGGCGAACAAGAAGAAGTACATGCGGAAATTGGAACGCATCTTCTGTGACATTGATGTCTCAGGTCATGAAACCATGGCTTTGGCGGTGCGCTAGAAAGGTATATTAATATAGTAATATATGCGAATGCCATGTAAACATTATGATAATGTTTCCAATGTCTTTCAGTTTTTCTATGTTACAACATGTCGATTCTATTTCCTTCCTGCTTTCACATTTTGCAGGCTTTAGTCAGTCTCTTTATAGTTCCCTTGTTTCTGACCAATCCAGCACAAATTCGGCATGACTCCTGCTTGCAAAAGTCTGTTTTCTTTTCAGCATTGCTGACATTTTCCTGTTATATTCTATCTAGCTCATTAGGTTTTCTTTTTGAACGCTTGAGCGAACAGGTAGAGAGACAGGTTTGTAGCTTTTTCAATTTTGGCCCATGATCGCCTGTCATCTTTACATCATTATTATCATTGGGATTCCTCGCTCAATCCTGCCTCAATCTTAGCGTTTTGGGTTTGTCTGAAAATAGGGTATATTCCCAATGAAATAGCCATTTAAAAACGGGGTAATGATCAGCAAAACCATTGGGTAAAAAGGGGTTTAGCCACATTTTCAGACACACCCTTTTAAACATCCCTATTAGATCCTCATACTGTCATTACAAACGCGCCATTGAGACCTAAGACCTCAGCAGGTGATGGGCTCATCTCGGAAGAGGAGTTCACCAACATGCTGCAGGACAGGGTGCCAATAGTATCTTGGACACACACAGATTCCCTACATTGACCTACATCAGATTCCATTGGACATGTCCTGATACAATGTATACATTTGCACATAACATCCGCATTTATGAAGGATGGGACAATAAGATACAAGCAAATCTACAATCGCAAGTTATAAGAGTTGACAGTGCTGTTGTCAAGATGTGGGCAGTGCGATGCCATTGTGGTTCTTCTATGTTCTACTTGATCCCCCAGGCAATTTGCAAAGTGCCAGTCAATGGTCACAACCATTGTCAGGACGAACAGGTGAAAAAGTATCTGGTGGGTTTGGAAGTCGATCTCAACGATCCTTGCATGGTGACCGGGTGGATCGGTGGCGCTGGGTCACTTGGGATGTTGGACATGTAGCACCCAACGAAAAATCTGACAAAGGTCCCATTTCATGAGATCAAGAACAACTGATCGCTGCCATTTTGGAAGAGAGGTATTCCAGCTAGACAGGGGAAAAATACATTCTGGAAGTCAGCATCAATTTCACTGACCAATTTTCAGTGAATCATCCCTAGATTTCCAAAGATTTCTATACATTCACCATTCCCGAGCCAAGGAGAGCAGTTCCCTTTTCCAAATGATGGCAGATGAAGATGGCCAAGTGTCCTACAGCAGATTTATGGATGGCATGAATCGAGCCAAAGGTCTGGCGAAAGCAGCCGCTTGTCTGGTCAGGTCTGTCAGAAATTGGGGAAGGCTGTTCTAATCAGACTGATGGTTTTTGATTGTAACCATGAATGATTAGAACAGCCTTCCTAACTGAAAATGGTTCTAAACCATACAGAAATTCCCAACTGAATGGAAATAACCATTCCAATTGTATGGTTTTTGTCATCTGGTTGGTGGTTTTGGAACATGGCTTTTATGACTTTCCAGAAACAGTTGGGAATTTCATCATCCCGAATCCCAACTCATATTTTTCATAGGGGTTAGCAGCAACCACCAACCAGTCACATGTTTTTTTTGTTTAATGTTTGTTTTTCATAACCATAAATAATCATAACTTAACCATAATCATAACCATAACCATTCATAAACATTTTTGTCATGTTCTTGTCAAATGTTTGTTCAATTGATCAACCTCCACAGGCAGACATCCTTTGCATCCGCCATGACTTGGGGATGCTCCGGAAGGACTTGAAATTGGTGAAGGTGAGGAGCCGGAGCCAGCGATCGGTTGTGAGGAATGCCATGGCCCAATGGATCCTATGATATTGTTCTTATTTTCTATGGACATTACATGGAAAATAATGGAAATTACATGGAAATTGAGCATTCTGATCCATTGATGTTTGGCAATGTTTAGCGTTTCCGAGATGATTTGACTTCGAATTCTCTCTTTCTCAGCTACAGTGGCGCGAGTTTGGGAGCCGTGGATCTGCCAAATGGATGGAAGTTCTTTCTTCAAACGGTTGACACGAACATTAGAAACTGAGTATGATCCATTGTCACTATGGATCATACTCATTATCAATCATCAATCCTTACCATCATTAACATCATCATGATCACTATACTATTACCATCATCATTAGTCTTTATCATCATCATTATACTATTGTAAACATTATATACTATTATATATATACACTACTAATAGTCTAATAGTCTAATAGTCTAATAGTCTAATAGTGTACTATCACTAATACCATCATTAATGATAAGTGTAACTCGTCTCCCAGTTGTCTTCGTGCGCCAGGCTCTGTCTGCAAATGGCCTCTCTGAGGAGGAAGCTGGGAGAAAATCAAGCAATTTGATGATCAGTTGATGTCAACTTCATTTAGTTATATTTAGTTTATATTATGATCCTGTAAGTAACATTATGAATATTTATGATTATAACTCATATCTATGACTTCTATAACTAATCTTATGATCATGATCTACATATATTATGACAACTAATATCTATAACTAGCATTATGACCATGGTATATATATAATATATATATATGTTTATGTATAATTATCATATAGATTATAAGATTATGATGTTCCACGAATTGTCCGATATTTCTTGATATTATGTATATGATTGTATATGTTTTTTTTTTTTCCAAGATATGGTTTATACAATAATATCAATGATGGATGTTGGTTGCTCCCGATCGTTTGGTGTTTTTTTTCCTGTGCCACAGGAGCTTAGCGCATGCTACGCCGTATCTCGTTTCTTGGCTACCGGCAATGGACCCATGGATTGAGGACTGCCTGCTCTTGAGAGAAACTGCTTGGCCAAGGTGTCAACACTTCCAAGCCGCTGAAAAGCAAAAGTATGAGTCCAAAGTACTTTTAATTCGTTTTAATTCTACTTTTCAAGGTCAAAGACACCAGAAAAGCATAGAAAAGCTGGGCACATCTAAGAATTGGGGGCGCGAAAAGATCCTAAAGAGTGAGCCCCAACTCTTGAGAAATACCCGCACTTGGCAGCGTCAATTGGCTCAGATCCAACATTGTGCCGAGTTGGCTAAGCCACTGGCAGATCTGAGTTCTTGATTTCGTCGCAAACCGCAAGACACCAGGTTTCTTCGGTATTTCATGGTTTTTTCCGTGTATCGTAGCATTTGGATCTGCAGCGATGGGAAGAAAAAGATGGGTCTGTTTTGCCACCCTAAGCTACTATAGGATGAATAAGATAACGAACTTGAGGAGTGTGTGTATTTTGAGTGTTAAACATGACATGTTCTTGCCTGCTGGTTCGTTTACGGAGCAGGGGTCAAGCAAACCCCATGGGTTTGTCCTTTGTTTGCCATGCCTTTCCGTGTGACCATCTCTACGTCGCACCACCGAAGCTGTTGCTAGTATCATGAGAGTGAGAGCATTTCTAGCGGCAATACTTAGCCTTTGCTTGGGAAAAAATCAAGGAATCGAATGGAAACAATCTACAGGCTCAATGATGAGCAAGCGAATGCGCTCCACTTTCACATGGATTCACATCCGTCAAATAGGCAGAAACAGCGAGTAGAGTCACTGCGAAAGTAGCAACTGCTGAGTCCCCCTGACGTTAGCCATGTCGATTCAGCGAAGTCGATTTTTGCTTCCTTTGCTTCTGCTGGGCATTGGGTTCTGGGCCCCAGTGGAGAAGAGCAGCTTTGAGGATGAATGTGTTGCAAAGATATAATTTTTCGAGCTCTACATCCAGAGTTGAAGATAGCTGGAGCCTTTTCAACATATTTCAAAATTGTTTGACATGTCTTAACTATGAGATATCCTGTTTGTCAACCCCCGCCCCAAATCAGCAGCTTGCCATGGACCAATGCGAGGTGCTTTTGGACGGCTTCCGATTTTGTCACTCCTCGAGGTGCCACCATAACCGATGAAGCTGGAAAGTCATCTGAGTTTTGTTCGTCGATGCGCAAAAAAAGGTGTGTGCAAGAAGATTGCTAGTTTAAAGACGTTTAGAATATTTTAGAGTTATTGTAGATGCAGTTGCAGTGCATTGGAGAATGAATTTGCTTCATAATGTTCCCGGCAGTGCTATCACAGCCTTGAGCTCAGGGTACCAAGAGCATCCAAGAGCTATACCAAAACATCGCCCCGCACTGTGGCGTCAGCCTGCCACAGAAATGCTACGTACCCAAAAACCGAGACCCCTGAAGTATCCTTACATCCATTTACTGTAGATTCCCAGAACTAGTTTTCTACTAAAGCGGAAAAGCAGACGAGTACTCATGCGAACCTACTCTTTTTGGGGTCGCAAATGTCTTGCCCATTTGTTGCGCCCCAGGAGCAGGACACTGGCGATGGGTGGCAGGGGAGTCTGATTTCAATGACATTGATGGGGTTGATGTGAATTTAGAGGGAAAGATGAGAATTTGATCTAAGATGTGACGCATATTGTCATGATCTCATACGACCTCTTGAGATTTATAGATTGTTGTTGACATGTGTCATGCAGGGACTACCGGACAATGGCAACAGGTGCATGTCATGTGCGTTTGGTAAATCTGTTGCCCCTGAGCTTCAGAGACAATTTTTACTTTGCTGACTGCCCAGCTTTAGCTTGCCCAAGCTCTCTACTAGCGGTCGAATCCATGAAAACAAAAAGCCAGCATGAAGGGACGCTTGACATGCCAGATATCTGGAGAAAGGTCACGTTGCTGATGATGGACCGTTTTCTCAGTCATGTCATCGGTGAAAGGGTGACCCCATGTACAGAGTATTACAGAGTTGTATCATGTTGTATCATGTTGTATCATGTTGTATCATGTACTATAAATACTGTACATATCATGATAAGAAGCTGCCATAGGGCTTGACAGCTACAGTACACTCAGGCAGCTGCAGGGATCCCGCTGCAAATCGAAGAACAAATCACTCGCTGCTTCTGGGTTGTCATGAAATAAAGTCGTTGCACTTTCTGAATTCGCATGTGCCCTTTATTTTCCTTCGGAGCGTGCGGATCCAGATAGAGGCCAGCTGATTTGCAGGCTGTGGCACTTGGCTTGTTACTATGGTACTCAAAAATGGATCATTCAGAAATTCACCAGAAAATCATCAGAAAGTCACCAGAATATCATACAAACATCACCAGTATTTTCGACGGCTAAACATCCCACCATCCTTTGCGGCTTCCTTCGTCAGGTCCTGGCGATCGAGTCGAATGTCCGGAGCTAAAGATGGCCGATATGATAAACAAACTTCCATGGTACTCAAACACAGCTGCAGAGCTCAATGAAAAACACTATGCTGGAGCTGAACAAATCATACAAACATGATATAAAATGAAAAACCTGTGCTGCTTCAACCACAAAATGTCCGCGCCAGAATTCTGATCCTGATTCTCTTTCAATTTGACACAGGAGGTGATGGATCTGCATTGATTCAGACCATTGATTTGCTAGGAATGAATCTTCAAGTTGCTTGGTTCACTGTGGTTCACTTCAACACACCAAACATACCATTCAGAAGTAGCGCCATACACTGAGGCCACAGCTCCGTGGTGTCGTAGCCAGGTCGGTCTCTTGGATTTGGTAGGATTCCTGCCACAGACCACGCGATGAATCATGTTATGGGAAAATTAAAATGATCCAGCCCCTGGAACCAACGACTTCGCTCGTTGATGTATTTCACAGATTGCTCTGTTGTCAGACCTTTCCACTCTGGAGGTTCCAGCAGCGACATAAAGAGCATCTTGGACTACAAGTTTTGAGTTTGTAGGGTGTTCTGGTCGACTTTTGATATCTTTTGATGATTTTTGCAATTTTGTTTTTGCTGGTATGGTCCACACTGTCCACACTTCCTCAGCATTTCAGATGCACATGATGCACTATGCTTCTAAGGCAACAAAGTGTAGAAGAGCAGGTGGACCAGCCAAAGCTGCTGATCGTCCCTTGCAATCGACATGACATTAAGCGCTCACACGCGGCTTGCCAGCACTGATAGCACTGGCATGCACTGGCCCTTGTGTTCTGAAACAGCCAGCAGTAAATTTCGGTAGACGTTTTGCTGTGTAGCTCTGAGCCCTTTCTTTGCGATCGTTTCTGTTTCTGTTTAAAGTCATATGGTTTCACAATGTTTCACATGTATTGCAAAGGAAGACAAGAAATATGTAATGTTCATGTAGTGCCAGTGACTAACAGCCCAAAAGTGATGTCGGCAATTTCATGTGGCCAGCGGGATTCGGCACGTTGAGGCTCCGTTCCTCTTGTCTTCAAAGTTGCAAGACAAGTTCGAAGGACCTGTGTCGGAAATCCCAGAAAACCATAGAAACCATGTTTGATTATGTTTCAATCATATGGGTTCATGGTGTTTCAGGTTTTTCATTGCCTATGCTGCTGCGCTTCTGCCAGAATTGGGAATCTTCAAAGCTCGGTGACAGACTCACATACACCTTACACAAGTTCATTTCCTCAATCCTCGAATGCAGCAAAATCGAACACACTACTTTTGATCTATTTTCTTCAAGCTATATCGAACTGTATTCAACGTAACTGCACTCTACCTGTTCCATGCATGAGTCATACTGTACACTTAGTATGCAGACCGGGGTAGACAGAGAGACTGGCAGACCATGGCAAACCAATGTGGAATGGAAGTACAGCTCAGCAATGTATCAGAGCTGTCGCGCTGAATAAAATTTGCAGGTCAAACCACGTTCTCATGATATGTCAAATTGGAAGCGTTGGAATGTGGAATCGTGGAACCCAGATTGATTAGTACCATTTAAAGTACCAATATCTGTAATTTGGATTGTGAGCAATGGCAAATGATAAGCAAGCCTGTCTATTGAGAAATTATTTGGATACATTGAGCATATTACAGCAAGAAGGTCGTGCATCTATTTTGTAAGGCTAGCCTGATGGTGCCTGTTTGCAAGAGCAGTGCAGCCAACTTCGAAGCTCACTGAGGCTTGTTCGAGTCATCAGCAAAGCACAGCCACAGCTGCGGCTTTTTTTCCGCGCGTCGGCCAAGGCGTAAAACAGCTGTGAATATCGAAAGGATTCGAAAGGTATTTAGAGATTTGAAAGTCATTCTGTAAAAGAAAAACATCAGGTGGATACTGTCCTGGGTCTGGGGTCATTGTTGATGTCTTTTGGTTTGTCATTTCTTCTCTCAAACAAGTTCTTTAGATGTGTTTTTGTGTGTTAAAACAAAGAAATCGTTTCGCCACTGGGTCGGTGTCAGGTCTTTGTTCCATCGGTCCTGGAAGGGATCAGCATCATGCAAGAGATTCTGGATCAGGCCCAAAGAGATGCTGAAGTCCTAACACCTCCTAATTCTGTACTCTAGTACCCTCTGGTAATTTAACGTAGCTATGGAAAATGGCCATTTATAGTGGATTTTCCCATTAAAAATTGCCATTTTCAATAGCTATGTTAAATTACCAGAGGGTACTGCTACTACTCATAAATTCGCTTGAGACTCCTGGTCGAAACTGGTATTGTTTGAGAAATCAAACACATTCCCTCATGGTGTAGCCACTTGGCCACAGGGCAAAATTTTCGACAAGCAGGTGCCTTGAATGGGTGAGTCCTGTGGAGTGTTGGTGGCCTGTGCCATGGCATGGTAGCTCCTTTAGGCAGTATGACTTGGCATCTCCTTACCCAGGTGGGATGTTCAGGACTGTTCAGCACTCTTCAGGGAGATCAAGCTGGTCATTTTGAAGCATCGCGACCATTTCTGTTACTGGGACAGTCGGAGATTAAGATTTTTGGAGAGGCAAAGACGAAGCTTAAGGCTTCAGTCCGACAAATCAAAGAAGCTTCTGCTCTGAACTTTTGTGGTAGTAAATAATGGTAAAATATGGTAAATATGATTGCATGTTTTCCGTAGCTTGTTGCTCATCAGTTTTTGAGTTGTTCTCAAAAACATGGATGCACCATGATGCACCCTCTATTCGTGCTATAGCTTGGTATACGATGGAACAATAGGTCCACTTCCCGGTCACAATGGCTCCATCTACAGGTAGAGCTGCAAGTAGCCGAGAGACGAGAGGTGCGCAACTGTTTCATGAGAGGTTTGACAGTGAGCACCTAAATGGCTATTTGGTTTCAATGTCGTAAGATCATGTAAGATCGAATATAGAAATAGGTTTCTGATGAAGCTGCTGGCTACAATAGCTGATGAAGCGGCCTGGCTGATACTTGTCATACGAACAAGATCCAGATTATGTAATCTAGATGAATTAGAATGGCTTGATTTGCTGTCTAGCAGAGCATGTTCAACATAAAGAGATATGAGACATACTCGAGTGGACAGACATGATGCACCTAGACTTGCTTCGTGATGCAAAATTCTTGAAACACTTCCCGTACTTGGCCCGCATCAGGAAACTCAGGTTCCAGTCAACATTTTGCTATGCCACTGTGTTTATTTCGTAAAAAACAAAAATCAACAGATGTTTCATGCATTTTTTGTTTCGATGCAGATGAACATGACATTTCCAATTTGATCTCTATAGCTTCTGGGGCAAAGCCGTAGAACCCGTGTCCCTGGGGCGAGGCGAGTTTGTCTGAAGTGGCGGTCCTCATTTTGGATCACTACCTTTCCCAACGAGACATTTGGCATCTCCACGCAGCAATGATGCAGGAGAAATGGCGGAAGCTGGGGAAGTTTTTTTTGAAAACAATGGGTGTGTAATGGTGTTTACACATTTCGAAGCGGGTTTGATGATGTTTGGAATGTTTAGAGATGTATAGTATAGTTGATATGGGTGATGCATAATGTATAGCTCTTGGGCGTGAAACAACTTCATGAACAAAGTTCAACCGCATTGGCAACGTTGAATGACCAAGAACTGGCACGGTCGGAAGGATGGTGGACAAATCTTGTACGCCAACTTCGACTATATGCTCGGAGCTTGGCATCAGTGGTTTGCGTTGCAACTTGGGGTCTCTCCAGCATGTTTGTCATATGCTTCCTTGTTAATAAGAGATATGTGAGGAGGTAGGTGGAGGCAGAAATTAAGAATGTCTGATTGAGTTCTAATTTGATGCATGTGAACAGCTTTGCTTTGGATTTGTTGCAGATTGAGGGCAAATGGAACCAAACAACAAGCCATCCATCCATCGCCATTTCTTGCCTCAATGGAGTAGGCTGTGCCTGTTGACAGTGACTCGTGACGCCATCTCTCGCGGCATCGCCACTCGTGACACTTTGCCATGGCGGACCAGCTGACTGAAGAGCAGATCGCAGAGTTCAAGGAGGCCTTCTCTTTGTTCGACAAGGATGGCGATGGCACCATCACCACCAAAGAGTTGGGAACCGTGATGCGATCTCTGGGTCAGAACCCCACCGAGGCTGAACTGCAAGACATGATCAACGAGGTTGACGCAGATGGCAACGGAACAATTGACTTCCCCGAGTTCCTGTCTCTGATGGCGCGCAAGATGAAGGATACCGACACTGAAGAGGAGTTGATTGAAGCCTTCAAGGTCTTCGATCGTGATGGCAACGGCTTCATCAGCGCTGCCGAGTTGCGCCACGTCATGACCAATCTCGGAGAAACTCAGCTGAAGATGCTGAAGAGATACTGAAAGACGTTGAAAGCCATGAGAAATTTTTAGAAGATCACTAATTAGAGTATACTAGAGTCACTAGAGATTCTTCTCTAGAGTTCTTTTTGGACGAGAGATCTTGTGTGAGCTGTATATGGAAGATCGGATATGGAAGTGTTTGGAACTGTTTGTAGGTGTTGGTCGTTGTTTGGTCACTGTTTGGACTTGATTTGCAACATGAATCCATATCAATCCACAGACCCTCTAGACCTCTAGACCCTGCCCATGCCAATACCATGCCCCAGAGTGCCAAACTCTGCAACTAGATGTCATAGGATCCTATGCAATACCAAATATCGCATAGGATTCCGTGAATTTCCGTGATATGTGCAAGGATTTTCCATGTGGTGTACAAAAACTATGCGATGTATGAGTGTATCACTCTGCTGAGGAAAAGCTCACGGATGAGGAAGTGGACGAGATGATCCGTGAGGCTGATGTTGATGGTCTTCTTCTCAGCTCTCATCTCTCTGAAATGAGGATTTGATGATGAGAATATGATGAGATATCATTGGTTTGTTCATGTGTGTTCATGTCTTTTCTGATTTGTTTGTAACATGTTGATACGTTTTGTAGCTGGCTTTCCTGCATTTCACGAGCCACCTGCAGGCACTGGAGACTGTATATTTGCTTGATCATGCGATATCGTGTGATTTGATACCATGTGATTTTGCTCTTGTATTTGAACATATTTGAACACTTGAATTCATTCTGACATCGTTTTTGATCGCTTCTTGAACTACTGTAGCTAGCAGCTAGAACTATCTTGAACTGTCTGACAGTCTTGTTTTATTCAGGTGATGGTCAGATCAACTACGAAGAGTTCGTGAAGATGATGATGGCCAAGTGAGCCACGAGAGAAAGCTCAGAGCTTTCTAAAACTTGAGCAGCTGTGCACAACAGACACAGCTCTGATGCACTGAGCCTGTAGCCTGTAGGTACTGTAGTTCAGTCAACAGGCTGTATCATGGATTGCTACTTGATGTTTGCAACAAAGCGATGCAAGCAAAAGTGCAGTTTGACAGTTGACTTTCATTTGCACACAATCAAAGCCAAACCACAAGTCAAGCCACAATTGTATACCAGTGCCATAGGCCACAGATGCACATATTTTATATGATTCTATCATTGATTAATATTGATGGTCATATTGATTGTATGGATTCTACCTTGAGAAGTAGAGCAGACTGTGTTGAGCTTGCCCGGACACCATGCAATTTGAAAAACCCGTGCTGAAATTGAAGGACTTTGAAGAGGGGTAAGATTTGGCATGATATGGCAAGAGCGTGGAACATCTAACCAGATCCGGCCATGTGCATGGTTGCAAACAGTACTTGCATGAACTCGCAAGAGCATCCGTGCCGTGCCATTTCTTGCCATTTCTTGCCTCAATGGAGTAGGCTGTGCCTGTTGACAGTGACTCGTGACGCCATCTCTCGCGGCATCGCCACTCGTGACACTTTGCCATGGCGGACCAGCTGACTGAAGAGCAGATCGCAGAGTTCAAGGAGGCCTTCTCTTTGTTCGACAAGGATGGCGATGGCACCATCACCACCAAAGAGTTGGGAACCGTGATGCGATCTCTGGGTCAGAACCCCACCGAGGCTGAACTGCAAGACATGATCAACGAGGTTGACGCAGATGGCAACGGAACAATTGACTTCCCCGAGTTCCTGTCTCTGATGGCGCGCAAGATGAAGGATACCGACACTGAAGAGGAGTTGATTGAAGCCTTCAAGGTCTTCGATCGTGATGGCAACGGCTTCATCAGCGCTGCCGAGTTGCGCCACGTCATGACCAATCTCGGAGAAACTCAGCTGAAGATGCTGAAGAGATACTGAAAGACGTTGAAAGCCATGAGAAATCTTTTGAAGATCACTAGAGTATACTAGAGTCACTAGAGATTCTTCTCTAGAGTTCTTTTCGGACGAGAGATCTTGTGTGAGCTGTATATGGAAGATCGGATATGGAAGTGTTTGGAACTGTTTGTAGGTGTTGGTCGTTGTTTGGTCACTGTTTGGACTTGATTTGCAACATAAATCCATATCAATCCACAGACCCTCTAGACCTCTAGACCCTGCCCATGCCAATACCATGCCCTAGAGTGCCAAACTCGCAATGAGATGTCATACGATGCTATGCAATACCAAATACCACATAGGATTCCGTGAATTTCCGTGATATGTGCAAGGATTTGCCATGTGGTGTACAAAAACTATGCGATGTATGAGTGTATCACTCTGCTGAGGAAAAGCTCACGGATGAGGAAGTGGACGAGATGATCCGTGAGGCTGATGTTGATGGTCTTCTTCTCAGCTCTCATCTCTCTGAAATGAGGATTTGATGATGAGAAATGATGAGATATCATTGGTTTGTTCATGTGTGTTCATGTCTTTTCTGATTTGTTTGTAACATGTTGATACGTTTTGTAGCTGGCTTTCCTGCATTTCACGAGCCACCTGCAGGCACTGGAGACTGTATATTTGCTGGATCATGCGATATCGTGTGATTTGATACCATGTGATTTTGCTCTTGTATTTGAACATATTTGAACACTTGAATTCATTCTGACATCGTTTTTGATCGCTTCTTGGACTACTGTAGCTAGCAGCTAGAACTATCTTGAACTGTCTGACAGTCTTGTTTTATTCAGGTGATGGCCAGATCAACTACGAAGAGTTCGTGAAGATGATGATGGCCAAGTGAGCCACGAGAGAAAGCTCAGAGCTTTCTAAAACTTGAGCAGCTGTGCACAACAGACACAGCTCTGATGCACTGAGCCTGTAGCCTGTAGGTACTGTAGTTCAGTCAACAGGCTGTATCATGGATTGCTACTTGATGTTTGCAACAAAGCGATGCAAGCAAAAGTGCAGTTTGACAGTTGACTTTCATTTGCACACAATCAAAGCCAAACCACAAGTCAAGCCACAATTGTATACCCGTGCCATAGGCCACAGATGCACATATTTTATATGATTCTATCATTGATTAATATTGATGGTCATATTGATTGTATGGATTCTACCTTGAGAAGTAGAGCAGACTGTGTTGAGCTTGCCCGGACACCATGCAATTTGAAAAACCCGTGCTGAAATTGAAGGACTTTGAAGAGGGGTAAGATTTGGCATGATATGGCAAGAGCGTGGAACATCTAACCAGATCCGGCCATGTGCATGGTTGCAAACAGTACTTGCATGAACTCGCAAGAGCATCCGTGCCGTGCCATTTCTTGCCTCAATGGAGTAGGCTGTGCCTGTTGACAGTGACTCGTGACGCCATCTCTCGCGGCATCGCCACTCGTGACACTTTGCCATGGCGGACCAGCTGACTGAAGAGCAGATCGCAGAGTTCAAGGAGGCCTTCTCTTTGTTCGACAAGGATGGCGATGGCACCATCACCACCAAAGAGTTGGGAACCGTGATGCGATCTCTGGGTCAGAACCCCACCGAGGCTGAACTGCAAGACATGATCAACGAGGTTGACGCAGATGGCAACGGAACAATTGACTTCCCCGAGTTCCTGTCTCTGATGGCGCGCAAGATGAAGGATACCGACACTGAAGAGGAGTTGATTGAAGCCTTCAAGGTCTTCGATCGTGATGGCAACGGCTTCATCAGCGCTGCCGAGTTGCGCCACGTCATGACCAATCTCGGAGAAACTCAGCTGAAGATGCTGAAGAGATACTGAAAGACGTTGAAAGCCATGAGAAATCTTTTGAAGATCACTAGAGTATACTAGAGTCACTAGAGATTCTTCTCTAGAGTTCTTTTCGGACGAGAGATCTTGTGTGAGCTGTATATGGAAGATCGGATATGGAAGTGTTTGGAACTGTTTGTAGGTGTTGGTCGTTGTTTGGTCACTGTTTGGACTTGATTTGCAACATAAATCCATATCAATCCACAGACCCTCTAGACCTCTAGACCCTGCCCATGCCAATACCATGCCCTAGAGTGCCAAACTCGCAATGAGATGTCATACGATGCTATGCAATACCAAATACCACATAGGATTCCGTGAATTTCCGTGATATGTGCAAGGATTTGCCATGTGGTGTACAAAAACTATGCGATGTATGAGTGTATCACTCTGCTGAGGAAAAGCTCACGGATGAGGAAGTGGACGAGATGATCCGTGAGGCTGATGTTGATGGTCTTCTTCTCAGCTCTCATCTCTCTGAAATGAGGATTTGATGATGAGAATATGATGAGATATCATTGGTTTGTTCATGTGTGTTCATGTCTTTTCTGATTTGTTTGTAACATGTTGATACGTTTTGTAGCTGGCTTTCCTGCATTTCACGAGCCACCTGCAGGCACTGGAGACTGTATATTTGCTGGATCATGCGATATCGTGTGATTTGATACCATGTGATTTTGCTCTTGTATTTGAACATATTTGAACACTTGAATTCATTCTGACATCGTTTTTGATCGCTTCTTGGACTACTGTAGCTAGCAGCTAGAACTATCTTGAACTGTCCGACAGTCTTGTTTTATTCAGGTGATGGCCAGATCAACTATGAAGAGTTCGTGAAGATGATGATGGCCAAGTGAGCCACGAGAGAAAGCTCAGAGCTTTCTAAAACTTGAGCAGCTGTGCACAACAGACACAGCTCTGATGCACTGAGCCTGTAGCCTGTAGGTACTGTAGTTCAGCCAACAGGCTGTATCATGGATCGCTACTTGATGTTTGCAACAAAGCGATGCAAGCAAAAGTGCAGTTTGACAGTTGACTTTCATTTGCACACAATCAAAGCCAAACCACAAGTCAAGCCACAATTATATACCCGTGCCATAGGCCACAGATGCACATATTTTATATGATTCTATCATTGATTAATATTGATGGTCATATTGATTGTATGGATTCTACCTTGAGAAGTGGAGCAGACTGTGTTGAGCTTGCCCGGACACCATGCAATTTGAGAATCCCGTGCTGAAATTGAAGACTTTGAAGAGGGGTAAGATTTGGCATGATATGGCAAGAGCGTGGAACATCTAACCAGATCCGGCCATGTGCATGGTTGCAAACAGTACTTGCATGAACTCGCAAGAGCGTTCGTGCCGTGCCATTTCTTGCCTCAATGGAGTAGGCTGTGCCTGTTGACAGTGACTCGTGACGCCATCTCTCGCGGCATCGCCACTCGTGACACTTTGCCATGGCGGACCAGCTGACTGAAGAGCAGATCGCAGAGTTCAAGGAGGCCTTCTCTTTGTTCGACAAGGATGGCGATGGCACCATCACCACCAAAGAGTTGGGAACCGTGATGCGATCTCTGGGTCAGAACCCCACCGAGGCTGAACTGCAAGACATGATCAACGAGGTTGACGCAGATGGCAACGGAACAATTGACTTCCCCGAGTTCCTGTCTCTGATGGCGCGCAAGATGAAGGATACCGACACTGAAGAGGAGTTGATTGAAGCCTTCAAGGTCTTCGATCGTGATGGCAACGGCTTCATCAGCGCTGCCGAGTTGCGCCACGTCATGACCAATCTCGGAGAAACTCAGCTGAAGATGCTGAAGAGATACTGAAAGACGTTGAAAGCCATGAGAAATTTTTAGAAGATCACTAATTAGAGTATACTAGAGTCACTAGAGATTCTTCTCTAGAGTTCTTTTCGGACGAGAGATCTTGTGTGAGCATGTGTGAGCTGTATATGGAAGATCGGATATGGAAGTGTTTGGAACTGTTTGTAGGTGTTGGTCGTTGTTGGGCACGGGGGGGATTGTGTTGTGGGCAACGTGTTGAGAGGGGCAACAGAAGCCAGAGCAAGCCACAGACCCGCGAGGACGCGCGAGACCCGCCCAGGCAAGACCAGGCCCGAAGGGCCAACCGGGCAGGAGAGGGGGGGCAGACGATGCTATGCAATACCAAATACCACATAGGATTCCGTGAATTTCCGTGATATGTGCAAGGATTTTCCATGTGGTGTACAAAAACTATGCGATGTATGAGTGTATCACTCTGCTGAGGAAAAGCTCACGGATGAGGAAGTGGACGAGATGATCCGTGAGGCTGATGTTGATGGTCTTCTTCTCAGCTCTCATCTCTCTGAAATGAGGATTTGATGATGAGAATATGATGAGATATCATTGGTTTGTTCATGTGTGTTCATGTCTTTTCTGATTTGTTTGTAACATGTTGATACGTTTTGTAGCTGGCTTTCCTGCATTTCACGAGCCACCTGCAGGCACTGGAGACTGTATATTTGCTGGATCATGCGATATCGTGTGATTTGATACCATGTGATTTTGCTCTTGTATTTGAACATATTTGAACACTTGAATTCATTCTGACATCGTTTTTGATCGCTTCTTGGACTACTGTAGCTAGCAGCTAGAACTATCTTGAACTGTCCGACAGTCTTGTTTTATTCAGGTGATGGCCAGATCAACTATGAAGAGTTCGTGAAGATGATGATGGCCAAGTGAGCCACGAGAGAAAGCTCAGAGCTTTCTAAAACTTGAGCAGCTGTGCACAACAGACACAGCTCTGATGCACTGAGCCTGTAGCCTGTAGGTACTGTAGTTCAGCCAACAGGCTGTATCATGGATCGCTACTTGATGTTTGCAACAAAGCGATGCAAGCAAAAGTGCAGTTTGACAGTTGACTTTCATTTGCACACAATCAAAGCCAAACCACAAGTCATGCCACAATTATATACCCGTGCCATAGGCCACAGATGCACATATTTTATATGATTCTATCATTGATTAATATTGATGGTCATATTGATTGTATGGATTCTACCTTGAGAAGTGGAGCAGACTGTGTTGAGCTTGCCCGGACACCATGCAATTTGAGAATCCCGTGCTGAAATTGAAGACTTTGAAGAGGGGTAAGATTTGGCATGATATGGCAAGAGCGTGGAACATCTAATCAGATCCGGCCATGTGCATGGTTGCAAACAGTACTTGCATGAACTCGCAAGAGCGTTCGTGCCGTGCCATTTCTTGCCTCAATGGAGTAGGCTGTGCCTGTTGACAGTGACTCGTGACGCCATCTCTCGCGGCATCGCCACTCGTGACACTTTGCCATGGCGGACCAGCTGACTGAAGAGCAGATCGCAGAGTTCAAGGAGGCGCAGAGTTCAAGGAGGCCTTCTCTTTGTTCGACAAGGATGGCGATGGCACCATCACCACCAAAGAGTTGGGAACCGTGATGCGATCTCTGGGTCAGAACCCCACCGAGGCTGAACTGCAAGACATGATCAACGAGGTTGACGCAGATGGCAACGGAACAATTGACTTCCCCGAGTTCCTGTCTCTGATGGCGCGCAAGATGAAGGATACCGACACTGAAGAGGAGTTGATTGAAGCCTTCAAGGTCTTCGATCGTGATGGCAACGGCTTCATCAGCGCTGCCGAGTTGCGCCACGTCATGACCAATCTCGGAGAAACTCAGCTGAAGATGCTGAAGAGATACTGAAAGACGTTGAAAGCCATGAGAAATCTTTTGAAGATCACTAGAGTATACTAGAGTCACTAGAGATTCTTCTCTAGAGTTCTTTTCGGACGAGAGATCTTGTGTGAGCTGTATATGGAAGATCGGATATGGAAGTGTTTGGAACTGTTTGTAGGTGTTGGTCGTTGTTTGGTCACTGTTTGGACTTGATTTGCAACATGAATCCATATCAATCCACAGACCCTCTAGACCTCTAGACCCTGCCCATGCCAATACCATGCCCCAGAGTGCCAAACTCTGCAACTAGATGTCATAGGATCCTATGCAATACCAAATATCGCATAGGATTCCGTGAATTTCCGTGATATGTGCAAGGATTTTCCATGTGGTGTACAAAAACTATGCGATGTATGAGTGTATCACTCTGCTGAGGAAAAGCTCACGGATGAGGAAGTGGACGAGATGATCCGTGAGGCTGATGTTGATGGTCTTCTTCTCAGCTCTCATCTCTCTGAAATGAGGATTTGATGATGAGAAATGATGAGATATCATTGGTTTGTTCATGTGTGTTCATGTCTTTTCTGATTTGTTTGTAACATGTTGATACGTTTTGTAGCTGGCTTTCCTGCATTTCACGAGCCACCTGCAGGCACTGGAGACTGTATATTTGCTGGAGTGTGATTTGATACCATGTGATTTTGCTCTTGTATTTGAACATATTTGAACACTTGAATTCATTCTGACATCGTTTTTGATCGCTTCTTGAACTACTGTAGCTAGCAGCTAGAACTATCTTGAACTGTCTGACAGTCTTGTTTTATTCAGGTGATGGTCAGATCAACTACGAAGAGTTCGTGAAGATGATGATGGCCAAGTGAGCCACGAGAGAAAGCTCAGAGCTTTCTAAAACTTGAGCAGCTGTGCACAACAGACACAGCTCTGATGCACTGAGCCTGTAGCTTGTAGTTTCCGTCAACAGGCTGTATCATGGATCGCTAGCTGAATCAACATGATGCAAGGTGCAAAAATGTATTCCTGCAGCCCGTGCCATCCAGCCAGCGGAGCTTTGACTTATATAGATTGAACTATAGCTATAGATAACTATACTGTATACAGATCAAGAAGACAATAGAACATATATCATATATTCATGATTCAGAACACGGTATATTAATTTATATATAATATATACGGATTATAGTTCTAATCCATATAATTGCAGGTTCAGCTGCAGGGATGTCCTTTGTTGATTTTGGTTGCTCCAAGGCTGCGGCAACTGGTGCCCAACAGTCGCATCGATCGTTTGATCTCCATGGCGACCAATGAGCCGGTGCTGTCCGGCTTGGTGGATCATGGCACCGAGGCTGGGATGGATCCTGCTGAGATGAACAGGAACAAAACATCAACAAGGTTATCATGGATCCTGGGATGGATGTTAATGGTGAATGTTGGGAAAAAACTTGGGATCATCAGGATCAAAAAATTCAACTTCACAGGGACATTTTGAGAAGTTGTGGTGAGTTGAAGGAATGTGCGTAGGTGAGCTCCCGCCTGTGGCTAGGTGTCTTTCAAATCTACGACTGCCAACATGGTGGTTTTGGTACAGATCAGCTCAGAGCTCTTCGAATATGGTCGCATGACAATGAATGCCCGGGCTGGGACCTGCTTCGTTTTAGACGAGTTGAAAGTATGGGTGGGGCAAGCAAAGAGCATCAAAGAGCCACCTCAGATTGCCGGTTTGCACTTAAACATCAAAGATTTTGGAGGATTGTTTTGGTGTCGCAACTTTGTTTGCTGCAAATAGCCTCCAACTTTGCGGCCAATGGCATTGCATCCAAGGCTTGATGGGCAGACCATATTGGGAGGCCGATGACCGGTACATTTGTGACGCAGCCAGACAGTGTGTGATGGTAGTTTCACAAGATGAAACGCACCAGTTTTTGAGTGGAGCATGAATTTCGACTTGAGTTCTTCGGCTTCACCATTTTCAGAGTCGTGACCACTTGAAGAGATGCCTGACAAACCAGGACATTCACTATGATCAAGGCAGCTTTTTCTATCATTGACCTTGAAATTCTTCAGCTCACGTTTGAGTAGTGTTCAAAGCCCCTGTTGGTTGATGGTTAATTAAGGGATTTTACAACGTTATGGGAATCACAATCCACTATGGGAATCACTATAAAAACAACCTGGATTAAATGGAATGTGTCATGTCGGATTTTCTTCAGGCTCTGATCGAGTGTTTTATGACCTTGGTGGACAAGTCTCTTCGTGTCACTCGAGGGAGTGGGTATCTTGACTGGAAAATGCTGACATCAACGGGTCCATTTGTTTCCATCAGATGGGTTTGCCTGAAAATGGGAACCCCCCAAACTTTGATGATCATCATTTTCCCATATTGATCATCATGATGATACATTTTCCATCAATGATGATCATCATTTTCCCATATTTTCCCTATTGAACTGCTCATGACTTGGGGTATCCCCCTGGACAGTCACCCATATGTGACAGCCGAGTCAGCGACAGCTGCCTTGGTGGATCTTGGTGAGGCACTACATTCGAATGATCATGTTCACCAGAATACGAGGACCCGCGGATTGAACGAGACACGGTCGCGTCGAGAACGACGTTCTTCGGCACTTGCAGAAACCCAATTATTGGCCCTGTCGGAACATGTGCAAGTGTCATTGTTTCTTGAAGGTTTCTTCGACAAGTCTCAGGAGAATATAAGACATATAAGTCATAAGACTAAGACAATGTAAGATCTAACTTGATGTAAAAAAAAATGTAAAAACAATATAGTAATCTGATTTCAGCCCCTTCACAAACAACAGCGCCTTGAGGAGTTCCACTGAGCCCAGATGTTCATGTGGACCAAGACTTGTATGTGACTTGATTGAACGAGGTGTTGACTTGAATGATCTTGATCAAACTACTTCTGCACAAAAAGTATTCTGTGATGAAGACAGGATCTTCAGCGGATTGCACACAAAGAATATCAAACAATCCTTCCAGGGTAGACTTGCATTTGTTTTTTTCCTCTGACTGTCACACAAGATGTGCACGCTAAGGCAAAGCCAAAGACGGTCAAAGATGGTGACAAGGCCAGAAATGGCCCTGGCCAACTTCACATTGATGTCGCTGGATACAAACCGCGTCAAAGTACTCATGATTCATGATATCTTTGAGTACTGTGCCTGCACTTCCCCATCCGAAAACAGTCAAGAAACATGAGACTAACAAGTGACTAATAACATACTAACACTGCCACCTTGCCGTGGAACTCGTGGAATTGGTCAGGACTTCTATGACGTCTTCTGGGAGGGCTTTGCTCGGGTGATGCCCAGCACTGCTGCCTTGGCTGGAAGGCGCAGTGGTGCGTAGATCAGTTTGTTTTTACAGAATGAGAGGTTGGAGACACTGTAGGGCATGTTAGGGGTTGTGATCGATCCTATGACTTATTTAGAACCTGATTTTTTGAGTGTCTACTTGATGCAAATGGCCATAATTGAGTGACTGCGATCAGGATACGTCGAGTTTGCATGCGCTTGCATGAAGAGACTTGGCGAAACAGTTGCGGTCGGCAATTGTCGCGTGTGTGATGGGATTCCATGATTCCACTCGCTGCATCAGCTACAGCTACATCCACTAAAGCTGGTGTAGCCAGCAGTTGGTGTTCGAGGAATCAGTTGCTGAGTCCCCCCTGTGCAGAGCTGCAGGAGAAGCATGGCCGTGTGGCCAAGGTCCGCCGCAGTGTCTCGGCGGAAAAAAAATTGCTCAACTGCTTTGTTGACATCTACAATACCTATTGTCTTGTTGTTTGAGAAGACTTGGAAAGGTATTGTTAAGATGTGGACAAGGGTTCTTCTATGGCAAGCAGTGTATTTTGATGTAGGCCTTGCTTTTAGTCTCGGTGATCCACAGGTCATCCAGATTTGATCAAGACCTGTAGGTCGTTCTTTTGTTCGTTCGGAAGTCGCCAAGGCGATGATGACTGGAGTTGCTTTCCTGCATTGCAACTTGCGATTCGTGTACGGAGCACATCGACCGGACACGGCTGGATTTTCCTGACCCAAGGTGGCTTGCAAGCGCATGCAATCGTGGAAGCTGCTCAAGGTGCTTGACGCCTTCATCACGGCTGCCAGCCGTGCTGTTCTATAATAAAGTTTTGCAAGGTTTTGCAAGGTTTTGCTACTTCATAACTGTACCATACTGTAATATACTGTACCTGGATTTTCATTGGGATTTTGCCTGCTACAGCACAGGGAACATCCTTGAGAGCATGAATTTGGTCCTGGACATCTTCGACCGGCACCACTTGGCTACTTTGACAGCATCCTATGGCTGTTGGGTTTGAGTACCCTCAGCGCATTGCTGTTGAGAAACAATTGACTTTTGAGTATCAAATACTGACGCAATTACAACACATTGCAACAATAGACTGAAGCAAGGTTATTTGATCGTGTAATTACTCCAAACTTCGGCATATTCCTTGATTGTTTTGGCCTGGACAGTCTTGCAAAGTAACTTTGCAAGCCAAGTTTAAAGGCCAGTTGCTGTGCATGTTGAGGATCGGATGTTGCGATCAACGGGCCAAGCCATGGTTCTACTGACTGCAGGAGTGCTGGAGTTGTCATGACTTTGCAAAATTACTACTGATGATTTAGTGATTGCTTTTCACTCTACTGCCATCCCAGGATGTCAAACCACAATGGGTTTTGGTCATGGTGTCTTTCTGTTGTGACTTTTGCAAGAAAATCATGGAACAGTTCTCCGGACATGTACAGTATCTAGAGCAACACTGTATTTACCAAGTCTTGCGTGTGGCAGCAGGTAACGGCCTAATCGAGTCACCATCAAGGTGTGCGCTGGGCGCCCTCCTGTATAAAACAGTCAAGATAGTCAAGTGGTGGGCCTTTTGGATGACAGATCAATGAACCTGCTGGCCAGGGATCTCTACGACTTGACGTATCGCAGATTTGCCATCACTCGGCCAATGACCTGTCAGATAGCAGCATGACATGCACTAGTTCTGCTGATTCTGGGCCAAATTGTGTCTCCCGAATCTCCCTGAAAACGGGGTCAGAAGAAAGGCAAAACCGCTGGTGCTTGGGTGTCCGAGCTTCGTTTTTTGATTCACCCCCAGCACTGACATGCATTGGGAGTTGAAGACATTCCACCGAGCTGCATTCTGTCAAGGTATGTGCGAGAGGTCCGCCAATGTCCCTCAGCAGCACCTAGGACTCTGTGCCAATGTAGATATCTCCCGCACCTGACATATCTGACATGGCGCAGCAATCATCAGCTGGGCGCTTTGAAGCCCCCGTGCGTTGGCCAAGGCATCCTGTTCCGTGGGTTTTGGGCCTCAGCTTGGCGCACGCTTGACCTCCGGCAATGTGGAAGCACCATGCCCGTTGGAGCTGACCGAGGTCCAGTGGCCTGGCGGACCTCGTTATGATGCCCCGACCTTGCTGATTGAGGAGGACTCCAGGGGCTGATGCGTCTTTAGATGATTATACTATATTATATACTATATTATACTCATTTATACTCTCTATACCTGAGTTGCCAGTCACCGATTTTGCTGCAGGACTTGCCATGTTCTCCGCCATGGATCCAAATTGCCTTCTATCCGGAGGCCATTGCTCCGCATTCGCAGCACAGGATTCGTGACGCGGAAACGGCCGAGGTCAGATTCTGTCCTTGCAGATCGGAGGACTGGGTTCTGGCTTCTTTCATGTGGCTCACTTAGCTCACTTGGCTCACTTGCAACATGCGAGAGTGCATCCTGCACTACATCTGCACTGTGGATTTTGCTTGATGGTTTATGATGGTTTGTGATGGTTTATGTTGGCCATTATAAACAAACCATCATAACCATCATTTATTGATGGTTTATAATGGCTCCTCCATGGTTTATGATGGTTTGTTGGCCATTATAAGCCTGCAAACACGACAATGGTCACATCCTTCACCTGTCCCCGAGGCCACTTCTGACCTGTGAGAGGAAGATCGACAGCCCCTCCATCATTCCGCACTGGAGCGAGGCGGCGCAGTTTGTAGATATTTCATGATATTTCTATATTTCTTGTCATATCTATAGATTCATAGATTGTTCATAGTTAGTTTAGATATTTCTATATGTTTTATATTTTTTTCTATATATATTTCTTGTTATATCTGTACTGAGGGTTTTGTAGAGATAGGACTGCCCGTGTTGGCCACAGGCAGAGCGCACCCTGCGGAACCCTCCAGCATGGTCTGGCAAACGTGCACGAAGCAAGGAGGTTCAGCTGTCAGGTCTTTGATGATGTTTGCTGTCTTTTGGTCTATGTAATGTTATATGTAATATACATACATATATTATATAATATTATATAATATTATATACGTATAATATATATATATATATATAATATTATATATTATACGTATATTGATAGTCATTTGCTGTTTCTTGCGGATCCTTAGATCCTTGTAGTTAGGGTCACTGATTTGCTGAGATTTTTTTTTCTAACAGACTAACAAGTCAGTCATCCCTTGTCCACCTGCCAGACCTCGAAAATCAAATGGGCTGATCGGAATCTTTGGGAACAGCTTCGGACGCCCGCACTGCGTTCCTTCTTCAATCGTCGGGGCACCCACTTCGACGCGTTTGGTGCTACATGTCCGCACAGAGACGGATCATGGATGATCATCCACAGACCTGACCATCAGTTGTTCGGATGTGCAAGAGACTAGCGACATCTAGCGACGGAACCCTGGAACTGGGACAGGTTTTCAATCTCCTTTTTGAAGTACGAGAGTGTGAAGTTTCGAAGAAAAGGGTAATCCGTGGTGGGCACTTGTGTCCTGCCCCTCGACTAGGTTCTTCTGGAGATGATGGAAGTTTCAAGCCGGGAACTTAACGCAGGAGCATTGATGGCATTGGGGGTTTGGTTCAATGGCAACATATGGCAACTCAATGCAACTCAGGTATTCCACCTATGTCTTGGCACCGAGCAGATTTGACTACACCGACCTGGAATCGGAAAAGCAGGGACTTCAGATCGGAATCAGCAGGGGACTTCAGTCGGCTTGGAGCAGTGCTGAGGATCAACGTGATTCATGACCTCGTGGGATTACGACTGGAGGCTTTGATGCATGGCAGGTGATGGCAGTGACCAAAGGATCCAAAATGATCCAAAGGTACACAATCAGAAGCCTGCATTTTCTCTTGGACTTTCAGTGAGTTTTGCAGTTTTTTTCACGTTTTTCCAATTTTTGCATTTTTACAGTAAAAGACCCTGGGTTGGACATGGTTGGACTAGAACTCCAACTTTGTTCAGAAGCAGTGTATAGAGGTCACCATAGGTCACCACGACGGTGTCCTGCGACTGAGGAAGTAACCCCCGGAGCTCAGCTCTTTGGTTTCGATGAGCAGGTCCCTTGATTTCCCTTGTGAAATCCTTGGTGCCCAGATGTGCCAAATCTGTGTACCAGCATTTTTCAGCACTTTGATGTTGGATTCGACACAGCAATCCCTCCATCAAGGCGCCTGGAAGTTGAACCCTTAGGATCAACAATAACCGATCTATATTATCTATATTATCTATATATTATATATCTATATTATTCGGTATATCTATATTATCTATATTAATTATATGGTTTCAACATGCTTCAACAATGTTCACTGGTAAAACCTCCTGGCCATGGCCCCAGGGCCATGGCGGGATCTTTTTGGCAGGCCCTCCACAAGTCCAGCTTGCGACTGCCAGCTGGCGAAGCACCCTCGCCACGGTGTAACTCGCCCAACTCCAAGGTGCGCCGTTGATTCCGTTGATTCCGTGAAACCGCGGAAGCAACTGGGTTATTTGATGGGTTATTTGATTGGATATATACATGGGTTATACATGGGTTATACGGGGTTATATATAAATTGATACACATGTAATAGGATCATAAACATATCCACCCATACATGATCTTCGTGGAAGCAACTTGTTGAAATTTTGTTTGTTGTCGCGCTCTTCGAATGCCAACTCGTCCAATTCATTGTGTCGTGGATGCATCACTCTTGATTCTTTCAATGCCTTTGTCACAACGGGGATTGGTCGATTTTTGCTCCATATGTCCATGTGGTGGAAGGACTGCGACATGCTGCTGAACGGTGAGTTCCTTCTCTGATATTTGGAGATGGACCACGCATTTGTTGATAATAAATCGATATGTGAGTACCATTTGTGGATAATACATCGATCATGTGGATTCTATAACCCATGACGGATCCATGGTGCTGCCATATATGGTGCTCCATGGATCCCATCATGCCATACCCCAGTCATGTTAGCATTAATATCCCAGCACCATGGATCCGTCATGGGTCAAGGTTAGTGCCCAAAGCACTGCGCTCCTTGGTGGTCCGCACCAGTGGTGGCAGCAACTGGAAGTTCGAGTCACAGAACGGGCCACTGGAGGTCTTTCACCAGGTGGGGAAGATGTACTTTACCTGAAAATGATGGGGAAAACCTAGGGAAAAGTCCCAAATTTCATGGTTGAAAAACTGAATTTCCCGATTAAATCATATTTGAATGGCCATAGATTGAGTAGATAAATAAACCATTTTCAGACATGTGCCATGAAGTGAAAACCAACAGGGGAAAGGAGTGGCTGATGACTGGAACGGCTGGTTACTGTAGCACTTCCGGAAGTGATTAAAGGGAGATCGAACTCGCAGCATGTCAGAGAATTGACTTTGAGTATGTTTTGACTGACATTGTCTTTTCCTGAGGAGGAACAGGAGAAAGAATGCCATGCTGTCTACCCATACAGCTTCTACGTCCGGCGGCAACTGGTTCGCCAACATCGGGCTGAGGTGACCAGTGAGGCAGAGTCTGGTGAGAATTGAGCCACTCAAAAATATGTTGATAGACTTGATAGGTTCTTACTAGAGTTATTAATGTCAGAGTCATAATATGTCACAATGATAGATATGAGGGGTTTACAAGTCTACCAACCATGATCTTATCATATCCATTTGGCTTTCCTTTCTGATCGAGGGCTTTTTTAATGCTGCGACAGTAGCTGCAGAGGCCGAACATGATCGTGGCTCCTCTGCGCATTGGATCAGCTCCAGAGTTCGATTCCATGCGCCAAATCAGCCTGACTGGAATGCACTCGACAATGTAGTGACTTGGGCTGAAGGATTCTATAATCTTTGAGAATGATGAGTTTTATGATCAGTTTTTGCAGAATCTTGCAAAGCTGATGATGGGCACATATTGTTTCTGTTGTGGAGCGGGACCTGACAGCATTTCCTATGAGACAGTTTGTGTTGCAGATGGCAAGTTGGCACCTAAAGTTGGCAGCTGATGTTCATGTTGTATGCGTCATCGCTGCCGCAAGGCCCTCAGATCACAGTGACATATCAAACCTTGAAGCGTTTGTGACGTTTATGCCTGCCATGGAGTCTTGGTGTCCCACAGAGGAGGACTTGCAGCCCGTGCTCCTTGGGCATGTCACGGATCATCAGTACGTTGTGAGTCAAGAGGCCAAACCGCTGCCAAAGTCGGATCCAGAGTTGCCTACTCTGGTTGCAAAGGACGAAGGTGTTTCCAATGCTGGCAGCGGATTCAAACCAAACTTTCTGAAGTTTGTGATGGGCACAGACTCCGCAAACCAGTGCCTTCCTGTCAGTCACTTCTTGCCTGGCAGTGCTGCAAAACCCCTTGTGGATCAGCAAAAGGATGCCATTCACCTCTACAGTGGCAACAGCGTCTATCAGCAAATGAACCAGGCATTGCGGAAGGATGACGAGAACGGTTTGAAGAGCTTTGGCAGCTTGATCAACCTGACTATGCAGCCTTTCTGTTTTGACACCATGCAAAAGCCAGACTCTGTTCTCAAGCCTTTCGTCGGCACTGTGTGGAGAGGATGCACATTGTCGTTCGCCGACCAAAACCAATACCATCAGGGAAATGTTGTTGTTTGGGAAGGTTTCTCATCCACCTCCAAAACATCAACATCGGCTTTTGGTGGCAATTGCATGTTTGAGATTCATTGCAGCAAGTGCTTGATGGAAGCTCAGAACAATGGACAGGGCTTGAAAGCAAAGGACTTCTTCGTTCCGGCTCAGATTCAGCATCTTTCCCAGGTTCCCAGGGAGGATGAGGTTCTGTACCCGCCATATACGAAATTTCGCGTGGTGAACCGTGTGCAGAATGCTTCTGGGATCCATGTAGTGCTGGAGACACGGGAGTTTCCCAACCTCGAGGGCTTGGTTCAGAAAGGCTTGTGGAACGAGGTCGCAACGGGCATTGCTGCTCGTAGCAAAAATGCGACCAAGGACTCTCCAACTTGGCTCAGCCAGCAACAGGAGCATCCAGGATCCTTCTTCTCAAAGGTTGCTGAGAAGGTGGTGTCCGAAGGTGCCACTTCTGCCGGCTTGGCCGTCATTGCACAGATGCAAGGGCTGGGTGCCAATCCACAAACAGCACATGACATCTTGAAGAATGCCATGATGGACCAGTATGTGCCACTTCCAAAATCACATGGAAAGTGGTACTTCGATGTTGGCCTGATGAATTCCGATGACAAGCAGCTGGCAGATCGCATTCATGTGCATGCTGGAACAACATGGCAACAGTACTTCGCACGACAAGCCACCAGACTTGAGACCTGGTATTTGAGTGGTCAGACAGGTCAAGTTCAGTTCACAGTGATCAACAACATTGGAAAGGAGGTGCCGTATGTTGTTTGGAAGGATCAGTCAGGGCAAATGTACCAGAAGGCTACTGGTGGCGGCATGATCGGGCATCATCGCCGACTTCGACGTGTCAGCGGCCAGTGATCAAGAAAGGGCCTGCGAAGACCTCAGCGTCCGTGAAGGAACAGGAAACTTCACGTGCGATCTTCACGTGTGATCTTGCCTGAAGACAGGTTTGACAATTGATGCCATCAAATTCACAAAGCCAACCCGGAAATTTGAGCATTCGGCTTGAGTCAAGTATGAATGGCTCCGGGTGCGCTTATCTACAGTATTTATATCTAAGGATGGCAGTTGAAACAGCTCGCAGCAAGAAGGACGGCGCTGCTTCCAGTTGCCTTTTCAACAAAGATGAAGTCGTCCAAAACATTCCAAAACCAGTTGGAGTGTCAATCTTGTCGAGGGAAGTGGAACAGTGCTTGGCATCACCCAGGTCGCCGGAGGGTTGACCATGCCAGCTGCATTGCCATATCCCGTCAGAGCAGGTGGGGTACGTCCCGAAATTGGAGGAAGGCGAGGTGTTTGGACACTTTTAGACCACTTTCGACCTACATATTAAATAATCATATATAATCATATATAAATATACAACTACCATGGTGACCATGTAGCCATCATGTAGCCATCTATTTGTTACCCGAATCCCTCTGGCTCCATTGTTGCAGCTCAAGCCGCAGGATTTGATGGTCTTTTTGCTCGCGATCCTTGCATAGGCCAGCTGGATGAACAACGATAGACTCTAAAGGTCTAAAGGTCATGTGATTCGTGGCGTGTCCCATGTGCTAAATATCTTGCATCTCATCTAGTCATATAGTTTCCCCAGTTTCCCCAGTAAAATCCCATTAACATCCCATCAACATCACATCACCATAAAATCACCATAAAATCACCATAAAATCACCATAAAATCACCATAAAATCACCATAAAATCACCATAAAATCACCATTTCTCATAGTGCAGTGACTTCAGGTTGGACTTTACGCAGCGCCTTGAAGCAGAATCTCTTCGTGTTGAAACCCCCGGGGAACTGGTCGCATCTCAACATCTACGAACGAGCGCTGCAACGGCTGCGGGGGGAGTCCAATGGACCTATTGATGTGGGCACTGACTTCTTCCTGGTGCTGCAACTCGGCCGTGGAGTTGAATCATGTTTCATTCGGTGTTACGTTTATGAATTTGGCAGATGATTAACAGTGATTAAGGATTATTCGAGGATAGATCATGATAGATCATGTATTTCTTGCTGCTACATGCTGCTGGTATTTTGTTTTTTCCAGCATTTAAGGTGGATTTGGGTCCATCTCACCCATGACACCAGGCAGAACTCAGGGGAACCAGTGATTGCGCAAGAGATCCGACAGCAGACGCTGGAGAACTTTTTGGCCTTCAAGGCTGGGGAGTTTCATCAAGTTTCCCAAATTTCTGGACCGCTCCAACCTTTCCGGTTTTCATTTCTGCGGTGTATTTTAGGGCATTTCACAGTTGTCAATCGAAATGAAACTCCAAGAGTGATCAAACGTGTACACCCCTGAAGGAAATTGTTTTGGGAGGAACCACTTTCCAGTGTTTGGATACTCCATGATACTCCTTCGTCCTCTGTCCAGGCTGATTTGGAGAAGCTTTGCTTCGGACGCCGCGATCCTGCTGCGATTCCTCAATCATCTCCACGTGAACACGTCCCAGCGACCTGGCTGCTGCACTCAATTTGTGAGAGCCTTTGGATATTTTTCACCCCTGGGTTTCGTTGTCCAATCCTCAAGGATAAACATCCAATGTCGCCATCAAAGAAAAACATGGCGCCACATAGCACCCGATGTTTTGCACCGATGGCGTTCCAGCCAGGTTTCTGGATGTTTCTGGTTTCTCGGTGCTTTCCGCATCCTTAGGAAACAGTGGGGGCCCTGGACATCAACCTGGACTCCACCGGCCATGAATTCAAAGTGGAGAGGGGTAGACATTCAGCCGCTTGACAGCTTGATGTGACAAGAGTTGATGAGTTGATGTCTTTGGCATCTTAAGCTATGTCCTATATGTGTTTTGTTAGCCTTTTGCAAAGAACTTGGGATTGTCACACTCTTCAATTGAAATTAAATGAGACTTTCTATTTTTGGGAGGTCCTTGCTTCCACCATGATGAGATGTTGAAAAGGTCTACATCAAGGAGGTTGACATTCCGACCTCCTTCGCTGAGAGCAGGGATTGGTTTGAGCTCTTCTTTGATGACGTCTTTGCTCCGCCTAAACTCTTTAACATTGTGATCCAGTGGTTAGCACCTCGGCAACATGGAGATTAGGACGGAGTTTGGAGTCCTTTTTGATCCTTTTTGATCCTTTTTGACTCTTGAACTGTAAAAAATCGTTGAATTCTGTTGATCTCGAAGCACTTATCATTGTCATTGTTTCATTTGAAACTCGATCCGTGGACCATCCAAGGTTTGTTCCTCGGTTCACATGGTCCACTTCGTCTCTTGCCTCTTCCGCATTGCGGAGAAGCATGGCTTCAGCCACTCAGCCAGAATCCAGGGCGTGTATTGACATTATACACAAGAACATGGAGAGACGCAGGACGGAGGAAACATCATTCCTAGGGGCTTGAAAGTTAAGACGTGCAGTTTATACTTGTTTTGGATCAACTCATATGGATCAACTCATATTATTAGTTGATCCAAAACAAGTATAAACTGCGCGTTATCTTGAATGTGGTTCCACATAGACATGATTTCTTGAATCCGAAAAACCAGCAGTTTTGGTTCCACCAATGCCACCAGGTTTGATCCGCTTGCCCATCGCTCAGCTCTTTCCGCCCCCGGCACCACACTGGGTGTGGGGCGACGACCGCGAGACGGACTTGGATCGATTGGCGTTGTATCCCAGGTGCCATGGGTCCCGTGGGGCGGTCCTGTGGGGACATGGGGAGCCCTTAATAAACCCATGAAAATGTCGGAAAAGTTGGGATAAGTTGGGATAAGTTGAGTATTTTTTGGTTGGATGTCCAACAAACACAATTTTCGTCACAACTACAATGTTGTTTTGCCAGATTTTGACAGGCTGCGAAGATTTCCAATAGCTTTTCTCACAGCGTACACCAGTTTCGGACAACTCTCTTCCCATAATCAGCATCAGCAAATCTGGGGAAAAGGAAGAAGATGAATCTCACTCACTGCGTACTACCGTAATTATGATTCTACTCCACATCATTAGGCAAGTGAGCCCTGTGCTTCTTGAGATTGTATGCTACAGCAACAAATTGGGATAGGTTTGATTGAAGCTCTCCAGATGTCTCAATTGTCAGTGAACCTTGTCTCTCGAGGCGGAAGATTTCTCTTCCAAATGACCCATCGATCTTTGAAGAGCTCTTGCGCTGTTGGTTAGCTCCACCTTTGGAGTTCCATTTCGTCTATGCGACGCAGAAGGCACGCCAGCATGCTGCACTGCGGGCATGAAAAACCATAGAATGGTCATCTTCAGTTTCTCTGACAATGTCACCATTTCCTCAGTAGGTTTGCACAACCTCAGTTTCTGCATGTCCACTATTCCAATCTATTCCACTGATCCTTGATGCGAGGTGGCCTTCCAAGTGGAGGATGTAAAAGAGCTGAAGACACCTTTGAAGGAGAAAAGGCATGACCTTTTCCAAAGGCCGGCAGAAGCTTTGTTCAGCATATGTTCTGCATCACATATCGTCACAGTGGAAGATTTTTTTGGTGACACATTGAACTGTTATTCAGTGGTTTAACTATTGGAGCCTGTGATCGGTTTGGAAAAAATGCTGAATTTCGAGAAGCATCTGATAGACGAACAACGTAGACTTTTAGGGCCTCATGGCCTGCGGTCAGATGTCAGGCTGAAGGGCTGGGTCCTTTGCGATGCAGACGGACTTTGCTTGGTGGCCCTCAGGGAGACAGCTGCCTACTACGAGAATCGTTTGCTTTTCTCAGTGCCTTGGCCAGCTGATATTTGCTGATCGTTGCTGATCGTTGATAGCGTTGAAGCCATTCACTTTTCCGGCCGTTTTTTTTTTGGGTTTTGAGATGGAAACAGCAGAGAATTTTCTGATATTTCACTGACAGCACGGTATTCCTAGTCTGACATGAATGGATGTCACGTCTCCAGCCTTGATTGATGCGGGCTTAGGATGCACGGGATCCTCGCATCCATGAGGAAAAGTTAGAACGAATCGAGGCGCGGGGACAAGATGGACAGCTTGTTGCCTCTTTGGAAGAAATGGAAGAAATGGAAGAAACTCAGATTTTGATCAGACTTGAACTGGTTAGGAATCACAACATAGGAAACTTCGGAGAATTTTCCGAGTGAATGTCAGAAACATCAGCTTCTGATGGGACAGATCCAGCCTCTCAAACAATGTCTCTTTGCAAACAGGAGTTGCGCTGTCGCTTCTACCGAGCAACGGATCAAGTGCTGGCAGATCACGCGAAGAAAGCAGCACAGATGACCTGACCAGAAAAAGTGTCGATGCTGCAGCTGGGACTGCGGCCATAGCTTCAGTATCTTCAGTGGACTCCAAGCACAACACAGCACAACACATCTATCCATCAGTGCAGGAGTGGCTGTTCCCCGCGAGCTGAAGGCACGGCCTGACTGTGGCCTTGCAGTGATCAAAGCAACTTGCTCTTTACAGCATTCATGATGTTCAATGACATGTTTATAGTGACGGACAATCACTTAGAACGTATTTTTTTTCCATTTTTTTTTTTCGTACTTAGAACGTAGCAAAATTTCATCACTTAGAACGTAGGGAAAATTCATCACTTAGAACGTCAAAATATCACTTAGGCCCATTTATCACTTAGAACGTAAACCAACACTTAGAACGTGCTAAGTGATTGTCCGTCGCTATATGGGAGCCGTCCGTAAAAGCAGGTCACAAATTTATGAATTGATGCGTTTACTTTGTTTTGCGCGATTGCTAAAACCTGCATCGCGATAGGCTGAGCGATTGGTTGGCGATTGGTTATACGGCTACCACCCTATTACTACTACTACTACTAGTACTACTACTAGTACTACTACTAGTACTACTACTAGTAGTGCTACTACTACTACTACTACTACTCGTACTACTCGTACTACTTTTACTACTAGTACTGCTAGTACTACTAGTACTAGTACTAGTACTAGTACTACTAGTACTACTACTACTACTACTACTACTACTACGACTACTACGACTACTACGACTACTACTACTACGACTACTACTACTACTACTACTACTACTAGTACGAGTACGACTACTACTACTACTACTTCTACTACTACTACTACTACTACTAGTACGAGTACGACTACTACTACTACTGCTGCTACTGCTACTACTACTACTACTACTACTATAATATTATCCTATCTGCGCATCGGGTGCCCGGCGCGCCAATCTACTTCGATATTGCTACTAGTATTACTGTTATTACATCCACACTAATTAGTAGTAATATTACTACTATTACGGCTACTGCTACTACTACTACTATTGCTGCTGCGGCTACTACTAGTACTACTAGTACTACTATTACTATACTACTACTAGTACTATTACTACTACTGCTACTACTACTACTACAACTACTACTAATACTACTCTATATTATCCTATCTGCGCGCCGGGCGCCCGGCGCCGGACGCCCGGCGCGCCAATTTACTTCGATATTGCTACTAATCTTATGTTATTACATCCATACTAGTATTGTTAATATTATTACTACTACTACTACTGCTGCTACTACTACTACTACTGCTACTACTACTACTACTGCTACTACTGCTACTACTACTACTACTACTACTAGTAGCTCCTGCCGATCACTTTAAGCGGTTCCACCAACAGAAGCGGGTGTACCCCGGACCGGACGTATTCTTGGGGGGAGCGATCCAGGGCCTTGCGCAACTTAATGCATACCCCTAAAGGAATGCGTCGAAAACAGAACGGGGCTGGTGATCGGTAAGGAGGATAGTTAGATACCCGAAGCTATTACAAGCCAAACGCAATCTCTCTCTCTCTCTCTCTCTCTCCCTTGCCTATTCCCTCACCCTCCCATCAGAACTCCTACGCCTACTCCTATTGCAATTTCCACTACCACTACTGCTAGTGCTACTGCTACTGCTAGTCCTGCTGGTACTACTGTGAGTTTTCCGGACCGTTTCCGGACCGCGCAAGCTTATTTTGCTTCCAAATTTGAAATCGAATGCGTTCACGCATGGATCCTTACTCCCACTACTAGATTTGCTACTACCCCCAGCACTACCACCACACCTGCTGCTACTGCACCACCACTACCACTAGTACACCTAGGAATTTCTGCTCTTGCTTTTAAATCCAATTGACACGAGTTCCGCTGAAGGGTCAGAAACGAGTCAGAAACCAGTCAGAAACCAGTCAGAAACCCGTTAGAAACCGGTCAAACGCAACCATCTGTTTCCCCCTCCCTCCCTCTCTCTCTCTCTTTCTCTCTTTCCCTCCCTTTCCCTTTCTTCCCTTGCCCTGCTACTAGAACTCCTTCTCCTATTCCTACTCCTACTCCTACTCCTACTCTTACCCCTCCTACTACTACTACTACTACGACTAGTACTACTAGTACTACTAGTACTACTAGTACTACTAGTACTACTAGTACTACTGGTACTACTGTGAGTTTTCCGGACCGTTTCCGGACCGCGCGAGCTTATTTTGTTCCCAAATTTGAAATCGAATGCGTTCACGCATGGATCCTCATTATATAATACATAACTTATATTTTATGTATATGATCTGATCAACGAAGAACAAGCCCTTCCGCGATTGCTCACTGTGGTACCGCGGTTGCTACGCGATTGGCTGAGCGATTGAGGGCTGTCCGGGAAAAGGTATTTTGGACAACCCCCATATAAACTATTTTTTCGATTTCAAAATCAATTAAACTTCCTTATATAACACAATGAAAAATATTGCCAAAAATTGGATTTCGAAGCGGACCCTAATAATAAATTTAAACGCTTAATAAGAAAGACTATGTTTTCGATTTCAAATCAGTGAAATTTCCTTATATAACGCAATTAAAATATTGCCAAAAATTGGATTTCGAAGCGGATCCTAATAATAAATTTAAACCCTTAATAAAAAAAACAAGTTTTTTCGATTCAAAATCAATTAAATTTCCTTTTATAACGCAATTAGACTATTGCCAAAAATTAGATTTCGAAGCGGACCCTAATAAATTTAAACTTTTAATAAAACAAAACTATTTTTTTTCGATTCAAAATCAATCAAATTTCCTTGTATAACGCAATTGAAATATTGCCACAAATTGGATTTCGATGCGGACCTAAATAATAAATTAAAACCCTTAATAAGAAAAACAATTTTTTTCGATTTCAATTTAAATATTGCCAAAAATTGGATTCCGAAGCGGACCCTAATAATAAATTTAAAACCTTAATTTTAAAAAAACTCTTGTTTTCACTTTCGAAATCAATTGAATTTCCTTTTATAAAACGCAATTGAAATATTGCAGAAAATTGGAATTCGCAGTGGAATCGAAATTATGTCTATGTTTCCTACGGAATTAGCTGCTGAATCCAACACTTAGAACGTCAGAACCCCCAAAAAGCACCAAAGAGTATACCGTTCCAGAGATAAAAGATCGCCAATATTTGCAAATCATATGGGAGGGAAAAGCCAAATGGTACGAAATTATGTCTATGTTTCCTACGGAATTAGTTCCTGAATCCAACACTTAGAACGACAGAACCCCCAAAAAGCAACAAAAGGATCCAAAAGGTATAGTGTTCAAGAGGTAAAGATCGCCAATTCAATATTTGCAAATCACATGGGAGGGAAAAGCCAAATGGTACGAAATTATGTCTATGTTTCCTACGGCATTAGCTGCTGAATCCAACACTTAGAACATCAGAACTCAGAACCCCCAAAAAGCACCAAAAGGTATAGTGTTCCAGAGATAAAAGATCGCCAATGTTTGCAAATCATATGGGAGGGAAAAGCCAAATGGTACGAAATTATGTCTATGTTTCCTACGGCATTAGCTGCCGAATCCAACACTTAGAACGTCAGAACCCCCAAAAAGCACCAAAAGGCATAGTGTCCCAGAGATAAAGAACGCCAATATTTGCAAAACATATGGAAGGGAAAAGCCAAATGGTACGAAATTATGTCGATCTATGTTTCCTACGGAACTAGCTGCTGAATCCAACACTTAGAACGTCAGAACCCCCAAAAAGCACCAAAACGTATAGCGTTCCAGAGATAAAAGATCGCCAATATTTGCAAATCATATAGGAGGGAAAAGCTAAATGGTACGAAATTATGTCTATGTTTCCTACGGAATTAGCTGCTGAATCCACCACTTAGAACGTCAGAACCCCAAGAAGCACCAAAAGGTAGAGGGTTCCAAGAGCTAAAGACCGCCAAGATTGGCAAATCATATGGGAGGGAAAAGCCAAATGGTACGAAATTATGTCTATGTTTCCTACGGAATTAGCTGCTGAATCCAACACTTAGAACATCAGAACCCCCAAAAAGCACCAAAAGGATCCAAAAGGTATAGTGTTCCAGAGATAAAAGATCGCCAATGTTTGCAAATCATTTGTGAGGGAAAAGCCAAATGGTACGAAATTATGTCTATGTTTCCTACGGAACTAGCTGCTGAATCCAACACTTAGAACGTCAGAACCCCCAAAAGGCACCAAAAGGATCCAAAAGGTATAGTGTTCCAGAGATAAAAGATCGCCAATGTTTGCAAATCATATGGGAGGGAAAAGCCAAATGGTACGAAATTATGTCTATGTTTCCTACGGCATTAGCTGCCGAATCCAACACTTAGAACGTCAGAACCCCAAAAAGCACCAAAAGGCATAGTGTCCCAGAGATAAAGAACGCCAATATTTGCAAAACATATGGAAGGGAAAAGCCAAATGGTACGAAATTATGTCGATCTATGTTTCCTACGGAACTAGCTGCTGAATCCAACACTTAGAACGTCAGAACCCCCAAAAAGCACCAAAACGTATAGCGTTCCAGAGATAAAAGATCGCCAATATTTGCAAATCATATGGGAGGGAAAAGCCAAATGGTACGAAATTATGTCTATGTTTCCTACGGAATTAGCTGCTGAATCCAACACTTAGAACGTCAGAACCCCCAAAAAGCACCAAAAGGTATAGTGTTCCAGAGATAAAAGATCGCCAATATTCGCAAATCATATGGTAGGGAAAAGCCACGTGGTACCAAATTATGTCTATGTTTCCTACGGAATTAGCTGCTAAATCCAACACTTACAACGTCAGAACCCCCAAAAAAACACCGAAAGGTAGTGTGTTCCAGAAGTAAAGACCGCCAAATTGCAAATCTATGGAGGGAAAAGCCAAATGGTACCAAATTATGTCTATGTTTCCTACGGAATTAGCTGCTGAATCCAACACTTAGAACGTCAGAACCCCCAAAAAGCACCAAAAGGATATAGTGTTCCAGAGATAAAAGATCGCCAATATTTGCAAATCATATGGATAGGGAGGGAAAAGCCAAATGGTACGAAATTTTGTCTATGTTTCCTACGGAATTAGCTGCTGAATCCAACACTTAGAACATCAGAACACCAAAAGGTATAGTGTTCCAGGGATAAAAGATCGCCAATATTTGCAAATCATATGGGAGGGAAAAGCCAAATGGTACGAAATTATGTCTATGTTTCCTACGGAATTAGCTGCTGAATCCAACACTTAGAACGTCAGAACCCCCAAAAAGCACCAAAAGGTATAGTGTTCCAGAAATAAAAGATCGCCAATGTTTGCAAATCATTTGTGAGGGAAAAGCCAAATGGTACGAAATTATGCCTATGTTTCCTAAGGAATTAGCTGCTGAATCCAACACTTAGAACGTCAGAACCCGCAAAAAAAGCACCCAAAAGTATAGTGTTCCAGAAGTAAAGACCGCCAAGATTGGCAAATCATATGGGAGAGAAAAGCCAAATGGTACGAAATTATGTCTATGTTTCCTATACGGAATTAGCTGCTGAATCCAACACTTAGAACGTCAGAACCCCCAAAAAGCACCAAAAGGATCCAAAAGGTATAGTGTTCCAGAGATAAAAGATCGCCAATATTTGCAAATCATATGGGAGGGAAAAGCTAAATGGTACGAAATTATGTCTATGTTTCCTACGGAATTAGCTGCGGAATGCAAAACTTAGAACGTCAGAACCCCCAAAAAGCACCAAAGGGTATACTGCTCCAGAGATAAAAGATCGCCAATATTTGCAAATCATTTGTGAGGGAAAAGCCAAATGGTACGAAATTATGCCTATGTTTCCTACGGAATTAGCTGCTGAATCCAACACTTCGAGCATCAGAACTCAGAACCCCCAAAAAGCACCAAAGGGTATACCGTTCCAGAGATAAAAGATCGCCAACGTTTGCAAATCATATGGGAGGGAAAAGCCAAAGGGTACGAAATTATGTCTATGTTTCCTACGGAATTAGCTGCTGAATCCAACACTTAGAGATAAAAGATTTCACAATCCTTTCCACTATCATCAGTGACCTAGACACGTTCTAAGTGTTAAATCCCCGGTACGTTCTAAGTGATGAATCTTGATATTTGGACGTTCTAAGTGTATGGTTTTCGACGTTCTAAGTGCAAGGCTTAGAACGTAAAAAACAGTAATATTCAGAAAATTTTTTCCAAAATACGTTCTAAGTGATTGTCCGTCACTATACCATTGTTTACACCATATGTTTACTGATGTTTACTGTATTGACTTTTTACTGATGTTCATTAATGCCGTCGACATTAGCCAGAATGCTTTGGAATGGTCAGCATGAAGTTGTTAAGCACTTCGTCATGTTCGTCCGCGAGCAATTTTGCGACGATCAACGTCCCATTTGACCTCACAGCAACCAGACATGGCGATCCGCTGCTTTGTAGCGACACTTGCCAGCTTCTTTGTGGTGACCAGCGCTGATGAACCAGAGTTCAGGTTCAAATCTGTGGATGTGAAATGATGTGAATAAGTGTATATATGATTCATATTATATGATCATATATATGTGCTATGTTCAGAATATGTGAGTTTTAATGTGCTACTTGTATGTGCAGTTCTGTGTAGTGCTGCGTTTGTTGATGTCCATGTTGGAATTCTTTGCTGGGTGCTGGGTGTTCCCATGCTTTGCACATGTTGGAATAGAGACAACATGGAGGTTTCCTAAAATAGGGGTACCCCAACTCATCTATTGAAACAACCATGGTGACTTAGGGTTCTCCCATTTTTAGAACCCCCTATATTGCATTGAACATCCGAAGACTGCCCGGCTGTTGGATGCTAAGCCGACGGCCAGGGCTGCTGTTGCTCCTTGTGTCCATGCAGACGATTCTTGCAACCCAGCATTGGATCGCTGCTGCCAGGGCCCAGGGCCTCTTCCTCAGATTCGAAATTCTTCAGCTTTGCAAAACATACCGTACCAAATCGTACCAACATTTCTTTGCCTTGTTCCCAGAGACATGTTGAGCATCATCGTCGTCGTCGTCATCAGGGTAGACATCAGGATCAACAACAAGTGGCAACCAACCCTAACAACAATGACAAGCAACTGCCGCCACAACAGCCACACTAATCACAACACCCTCACTGACAAGCAAGTTCCGAGGTTGATGACTTGCCGTTTACGATCGAACACCAAAGATGCTGGTATGTCTTACAGGTGCGGGGCAGAATTTGCTCACGAGCTCATTTCGCTTTCCAAGTGCATTCCGGAAGGTGCCGCGGCAGCAGGATTAGGCTTAAAGGCGAAGTGTCAGGCGATAGCTCCTCCACCATGCACCTATCAGGAAGATCAGGGGCCACATTGGGGGGATTTTTTTCGCTGTGATCCAAGTTCGTCGACACTCAGGAGAGCTCTGCGAGCCTGAACACAGCAAGTGTTGTCAAGTGGATTCCAAGATGCCCATGAATTGCACAATGCCCAAAAAAGACAAGAAAGGAGGCAGGGGAAGTTTGGAGCAGTTTCCAAGACCCAAGATATTAGGAAGACAACACTTTTCATATAGATTGGAGGTGATTGGGGAATATGTGAAGGAGCACTTGTTGGTAGAATGTTCGGAGAATAATGGATCAAACACAAACAGTTCTCGCGTGAGTCACTCCAAATTCCATCCAAACTACAGTAAAAATCACGGACCAGTCACGGAGGCAAGCCTCAGCCCAAGTGCATGGCAATGCGATCTGCGGTGCAGCTGGAGAGTTGCGTGGAAGAGGGTTCCAGCTGCAGCCCATTGGAGAATCGCTGCTGCCAGGGCCAAGAGAAGATCGCCACTCAGGTGCCATTGTGGAGTCTGGAGTTTGGGGATCTATGGTTTCGGCACCTTTCTTCGTACCAGTGAACTATAGTGAACTCATGTGAACTCACTTCAGTCAGAACACACAATTCTTGAGGATGGTTAATGGTTCATGATGTTCGAAAATTGCTCACGGTTGGAATTAGTGCTGCTAGCTGCTAGATGCTGCTAGATGCTAGGCTATGCTAGGGCCTTTTTACCATTCAGAGACTCTTGCCACCACTTGCAACGTCAAGAAATCTGTTCAGACTGCATCATCTTGCATCCCCAAAATGGACTTTGTCAAAGAACACAGTGACAAACATGTCAAAAAGAAATCGGAAAATCGCCAAGTTTATGATTCCTTGGACTTTGTCACCGTTTTCACTGTGCGTTGATTGAGTTGATCCAGCCCGGAGGCACTCCGAACCTGCCAGTTGAAGTTCTCGGAGCGCCCCAATGTCCACAGCCCCGCATATGTTTGTGCCAAGGAGTTCACAGGCTGGGTCGTGCCGTGTCAATTTTCTGTGGAAATTTGTGTGGAAATTTGGTAGAATTGTACACAAGAGATGACAAGAGATGTGGAGTCAAGAAAGAATTTCAAGCTATGAAAAGCTCCATTTTCTTCCTATTTTTTCATGATCAGCTTAAGAAACTGGTGTTGGTTCTGAAAGACGGTGGATGTTGTGCAGGTGCGCCTGAGATTTGGCCATGAGCCGGGGCTGCCGGGAAACATTGGAAACGACGGGTCTGGTGAACAGTGGCCGTCATGATTTCGATGATTTTGAGGATTTGATCGAAAGGTATCATATCAAAAGATTCAAAAGGGTGTCTTGGTGACCCTGCAGCTGTGGGGAAGCAGGACCAATTTTCCAAGAAAAGTCTATCGCAAAGACGTTCCCGCTGAACCCTGTGATGAAGATTCCTGTGTCAACCAAGTTTTGTGTTTTGGGATGATCACCCAGGCTCGGACGCCCTTGTAGATACAGCATTATGATGTATTATGCTACATTCTAGTCCATTCCAAAAACAAAGACCCAGTTATTAAGTTATTGTTTGCGCCCTTATCGATTGGGCCCGTGGCTTGTAACTTCAGCTGGTTGTTCTGAACAAGAACAAAGCGGGCAAAGCGGGTTATTCCAACGGCTTTTGCGAAAGACATGTGAAAAAAATTCGTCGGTCTCCCCAAGCCAAGCCCTTTGGTGCGCAGATGGACAGGGATGATCTTCCCTGCGCACTGGGGAGCCGAGACATGACAGGTCTACAGGGTTTTAATCAGTCGTAACCGGTGCCCACAAGTGGCAGCAAAGCCAGGAAAAGCCAGGGAAGGCCTTGAGGATTCCTGGAGCTACTGCGGACACCTTCGTACGGGGACGCATCCAAGAAGCAGAAACAGAAATGTTCACATTGTCTGATCAGTGTAATTAAATGTAATTAATCAATTAATGATTCATGAATTTTATGATCCATCCATATCCATCCGTACAAATCATTGTGCATGCTTCTCACTTCAGTCGGTGATTTGGCATATTTTGGTATCACCTATGGCAAAATTTTGGCAGCAAAGTCCATGGTGCTTCCCTGTGACCGGGTGTTATATACTTACATGCTGTCGGCTTAGCATAGCAACAGCGGATGGCAACAGCACAACGCCATTCCTAGTGCTCGTAGGCTGGGATCAGTTGATATAGCAGACCCGGAGGACGTGGTAATACTTGCCACGATCCTCTGGATTCGCAAGGGATCAGCTTGAGCCCGCAATCTGTAGGGAGAACATCGAGCAGCACCGGGCTGCATTCAGTGGAAGCAAGAGTTTTCCACCTTTTGCGATGTGACTGGCACACTGCAGCCCCCTTCAAAAAAGTGCAAATCACATCAAAGCACTGGGTTCATCCTTACTACAGTATATCTTTACTTAGAAAGTCCAAAATGGGTGGTTTTACTGAACCGTAATTTCTAGAGACTGCACGATCTTATATTTCTGCAACTTGCTGATGCCGTTATTCCGTCCGATGATTGAGTTTTTAGCGTCTCCATATTTACAGGTGACCCCTTTGAAGTTACATGCGATGCGTAGGCTGAAAGCCACTTTAGATCTGAACCTGGTGTTGTTGAAGCTTGCTGGAAGCGGTAACAGACTATTGTCAGGTATCGCGTCAGTCAGAGCCTCAATGTTGCAACTCCAGAAGACACCAGAGTGTGGAGCAACCGACCACAAGATACGTCAAGATATCGCTCCAGCCCGGAAGTCTTAGGTTTTTCGGAGAGCAGACAGCAGAACCTCCTGTAGTGATCAAAGAGGCGGAGATGTTTATATTGTACCATTTGTACCGGTGCCCCAAAATTCAGGGCTGAAACTTAGAAGACCCACTGCGGTTTTGTTTTTTTGTGGCCCATTGTGGCCCCAATATCTCGCCCGTCGCCGGGCGTAGTCCAGGGTTCTAGGGTCTACAGGACTTCAAAGCCAAGTGGACTTTCAAGAGTCCATCATTGCAGTACATGATACATGAATAATCATGAATATAAATGATAAGTTTGTATCATTTCATTGATCAACATGTGGGCATGGGTCATATGGGTCAAGACTCGAAACCCTGTATCCCTTGGCCACCAGGATCCACCAGGCCACCCCCAAATAGCTGGGATTTATAGATGTTCTCCAGGACTATACCTTGGCAGCGGTCTTCAGCGCTCTGGGGCTGGTACTCTGTACTGGTTTGCCATTCTTTGGGCACCTTGGTCCAGGTTTTCAACTTTGATTATGGCATTGTGACATATTGTGAAGTATTGTGGCACTTCAGCAGCTTCACGATCTTTCTAAGGTCAATAGAGTGTGAAAGTTGTTGTTTTTCAACCTGAGGTTTGGGTTGGGAGCCTTAATCCTGCTGCTGGGTATCCTATTTTTTGCACTGCTCTCAGAGGAAGCTGACTTTGGTCCACCTATCTGCTCTCGTGTTGTGGCAGGCCATTCCCTTCTCAGGTTCAAGCGGGCCGAGTGCGCTTCGTTTTTGACAATGAGGCGCTGCCAGCTGTTCAAGGAAAGATGTTGAACAAGTATACAAAACATTGATAGCAACCAGCATTTTCTGCATTTTTCATGAACATGGGATATTGTATGTTAGATATGTTTGCATGAGCCATGAGTTTCAAGGCAGCAACAGCTCAGATGAAGTAAGGCTACGCCCTGGTATCCTGCTTTCTGCGAGCTTCAATTGTACTGCCCTGGAATCAACCATCAGCTGCCCTTTGTACCAGGATGTACCAGGTACCAAAAGCGATGCTATCTGGTTGTGCTGATTCACGGATTGGGAATGAACAAAGAAACATGAACAATGTTTCACACTGCCTAGAAAATCAAACCTTGGAGTTTGCCGACTGAGCGTGATGGCTGCATTGGTGCAGTCCAGTTTGCCATATGCCGTATCGGCGCAATATGAATTGTGGACATCAACCGACGCGAGGCCTTCGAACTTCGCACGAAGAAAGATGGAGAAGATCTGGAGAAGCCAGGCAAGAACCGCAGGATCGGACCCCGCCGGGGTGCCACCGTGCTTGACTGATTGGTCGGCCACAGGTGAGAACATTGTGGTGGGTGGAGAGAATCGCTGGAAATACTCCAGCTTCGTTGCTCGACCGCACGACAGTGGCCACACGTGACAGATTTGCTGAATTTAGAGATGATTTAGAGAAATTATTGGTGCAAGGATGTCATCATCCAGCCTTTGGAACGTACCACCCCCTGCTATTTTCTTTGAATGTTGTGGTCTCGAGCCTCCTTAAAGCAGAGCACAGAAGCCGCGCATTGTTGGGAACTGAGATTTCAAAGTGACACGACAGATTGTTTCAAACTTGACGGTTCACTGACCCTAAGGTAAACTACGAGTTTTTTCCCAAGGCCCGCAATGCCAAAGAAACTCTCAGTGCATTCTACCAGCCAGTCGCGCAAGAATGCACACACAGACTATGAAATATGAAACATTCGCCTGTTTTGATTCGTTTGCGTGCAGATCCAGTTTCACCTATTCGACTTTGGATTTCTGCGACACTTTCGGATCAGAGAAGACTCCTTCGAAGAATCCATGCCTTTAGTCATTGCAACAGATTTTTGATGAGTTCCTTGGCGCAGGGTTTGGTGGAGAAGGGGCTTCCACCCGTTTTGGTCTACTTCAAGGAGGGGGAAGAATCCAGTCGCAGAAACCGTTGGCTTCTTCCGCATCTCGATGGCAGGAGACACAAACGCCTTCATCTGAGTGGAGTACAGGCGCGGGTGCTGGATGGTGCTGGCCATACAAGAATTCACTCTAAGACAAGGGACCAAATTGTGGGTTAATTATGTTAATTTCAGAATTTTAATGCTCAAACTGCCCAATTCTGGATCCGGATTTTCATGCATCACTAATTGTGATATATGTACAGCATCATACAGCTCAATCAGAATATACTACATTATAGTGCATCAACATGCATAAACATACATTGACATATTAAAAATCCTTAAGATACATTAACATACACCCATCGGTTGGAACTAGCGAGTAGAACCCCCGGCCCTGAACGCCGCGGCAGCGGCAGCATCGCGGTGCCGCATCGCCAGGGCCTGGTGCTGCTGCCAACTCTGATGAGGTCCGGAAGATGTTGATATTTTAAGGTGGATATATTATCATGATATTATCATGATGGTGATAGTCATGATGTGAACATTTGTGAAGTATATTGTTAATTATAAATTATATTGTGTTATATCATATTACAATATATTCTAGTTACATTATATTATATAATTAGTATGATTAAACCTTTGCGCAGCATTTTACACCCCACTTCCTAGTGTGATTTTGGATGTTCTCAGCCCCAGGCGATCGCAAAAGGTGCAAAGCCTGGAATGGTGCACTTCTTCCCATGCATCTGCGATGCTCAGCCGCTTGCCTCATTTTCGGATATGATGATATATGGAACATATATGGATGCTAGATATATGGATCACATTTAAGTGGATTTTGTGGATTCTCTCAAAGAGATCTAAGATGATCTAAGTTTTCTCTAACTCTCAAATGTTCAAACAGTTTTTCGGACACAGCAGCTGCAAGTGGAAACTCGCTGAGCCGAGGGCCTGCTGCTCTGATTTTCAGCCGATCCAACCCAACTCAGGCAGATCAAAGCGGAGTTCGAACGAAGGGGTTGCCAGAAGATCAGCTGAACGGGCCACGGGTGGTGCACTCAGTGAAAAACACCACTGAGATCGAGGTATTTGCTTGATGAAACATGGACATGGATGAACATGACAACTTAAAGATCTTAAAGGGATAAACATTGCTAGAAAATGCTAAACATGAATGAACATTTGCAGTTCGAAGTGACTTGCTTCTGAATTTGAACTCAACAACAACGTGATCATGCTCAGTCCAACTGAACAAAGTCTACAAAGTCTGAAGAGTTTGTTCCCAAATTGCACCCGCTGAACGGATCTTGCGGCCAATTGATCTCACGGTTTAGAGCACCCAATTTTCGCGCGGACAGCTGATCAGAGCTGCCTGCGCCAGAACTGTTTATGACAGAAACCAGTGACAGCGATGGGAAAAGATTTATCCAAACAAAAACAGTGAGAAGGTCAGAAACTGCAAAATCCTTCAACTCTGATGCAAAATTCTTGCGATTTGTTTGGGACACTCTGCAGTGCCACTGCCATTGCCATGCTCTGCAAATCCGCAGCTCGCTGGGGTCATTTTGTCATGAAGTCGAACAGCACATGCAGTGTGGCAAGTCATGGGCAAGTCTTTTCTTTTTTATGATCCAATTGATGCATAATATGCCTGTGGGGCTTATGCTTTATTTGGGATGGTTTGACCATGGACTCAAGCACTTGAAGTTGCACCCAAATGCACCTCCTGAACACTAGCCAAAATTTCCAGGTAGCAACATCCGGGTGAACCAATCAAGGTTCATGGACAACCAAGGAAACCCATGTCCCGTTTTTGATGCGCCTGGTTTTCGTGGCCATGGGCACAGTGATGCGCAGTGCATGAATGAGTTGGGGACTTAAACCAAATGCTTTGTTGTTCGATCAGATAAAGCAACTACGAGTTACGAGTTGGTTCAGTGAAGGGCCTTGGACATTCGCAAGCGTTTCAAAGCTGAATGGTGTTTTCTCACAAGGTGCCTATCCAAATCTATCCAATGTTCAAAGGGATTCAAAGGTTAAAGATGTTTTGCACTTCAACGAACGTCCACGAGGTTCTGCTGAGTCGAATGTGTGATCCTTGGAGCTGGTGCGAGCTCTGCCACAGTGGGAAGGTACACACTGCGGCGAACAAGACCGTTGAATCTGGTGAGAAGAAACGTGATTCAACTGAACATATGCTTTTGACAGAAGAAAGAACATTATTGCCAATGAATCCTAGATCATTGTGCTTTGAACAAAATCAGACAGACCCTTGAAAAATGGAACAGTCAGTAGATCTGCACCCTTAAATCTTGAATCTTTTTGAGACTGATGCATCATTTACCATGACGCGTGGTGATACTTCATGGATGTTCATGATACATCATGATTCACTATACATAATATAAATATATATATATATAAATTGTAAACACCCATATATATATATATATTATAGAGCACATTACAGCACCTAAATATGATATAGGATTCTATAGTATTAATATGGATTAATAATATCAGAATGAAGTATAGAAACGTCTTTACCCAGGCCTTGCCACCGCCGAGATTTCCTCCAACACGCAGAGTGTTGCATCGTGGCAGCATTTGAACTTGCAGCACATGAGGGAGCGATAGCTGCCAAAAACTGATGAAAGACACGCAAACTAATTGGGTCTAATTAGCAACTAAGGGCTTTGAACTGATTTGGCACCAGAATCCTCGAGATTCAACGGTTCATGATGGGTCATGCAAGATCTTTGAGGTCAACATGGGTGAAGCATGGGCAGTCCGTTCATCAAAGATCCAGTTGCTTAACGTTCTAAGGTGGGACCGCACTCCGGGCGGGCCTGCGCAACGTGTGCCCCTTCTGGCCTTTGCACCAAAGATTTGTTGGGTTCCACAGAGATGTCATGGATATGTCATGGATATGTCACCCTTGTGCTGCATGCTGTCACCCAAGTTCAAACGAATTCTAGGATTGCCTCATGTTGCTTCACCATGCTTCATGATGCTTGATCGCCGCAGCCACAGAGCACTTCCCAACAAGTCTTAAAACATGGGTCCCTCTCATGAAGCGAATGCTGGGGTCACTCCGCGGACTACAGTGGCAACAGTGTCTAGCAGCAAATTTTCCAGGCGTTGCGGAAGGATGACGAGAATGGTTTGAAGGACTGTGGCAGCTTGATCAACCTGACTATGCAGCCTTTCTGTTCTGACGCCATGCAAAAGCCAGACTCTGTTCTCAAGCCTTTAGTCGGCACTGTGTGGAGAGGATGCACATTGTCGTTCGCCGACCAAAACCAATACCATCAGGGAAATGTTGTTGTTTGGGAAGATTGGGAAGGTTTCTCATCCACCTCCAAAACATCACCATCGGCTTTTGGTGGCAATTGCATGTTTGAAGTTCATTGCAGCAAGTGCTTGATGGAAGCTCAGAACAATGGGCAGGGCTTGAAAGCAAAGGACTTCTTCGTTCCGGCTCAGATTCAGCATCTTTCCCAGTTTCCCATGGAGGATGAGGTTCTGTACCCGCCATACACGAAATTTCGCGTGGTGAACCGTGTGCAGAATGCTTCTGGGATCCATGTAGTGCTGGAGACACGGGAGTTTCCCAACCTCGAGGGCTTGGTTCAGAAAGGCTTGTGGAACGAGGTCGCCACGGGCATTGCTGCTTGTAGCAAAAATGCGACCACTTCCAAAATCATGGAAAGTGGTACTTCGATGTTGGCCTGATGAATTCCGATGACAAGCAGCTGGCAGATCGCATTCAATGCTGGAACAACATGGCAACAGTACTTCGCACGACAAGCCACCAGACTTGAGACCTGGTATTTGAGTGGTCAGACAGGTCAAGTTCAGTTCACAGTGATCAACAACATTGGAAAGGAGGTGCCGTATGTTGTTTGGAAGGATCAGTCAGGGCAAACGTCCCAGAAGGCTACTGGTGGCGGCATGATCGGACATCATCGCCGAGTTCGACGTGTCAACAGCCAGTGAAGAGTTTGGTCAAGGATGGTCAAGGAATGTCTTTGCGATCTTGCCTGAAGCAGGTTTGATGATCGAGGCGTCAATTTCACCAACCATGAAATTTGGATCCTCCAGCTTGAAGCAAGTTCGGTGGCATAGGTTTTTGAAGTTGCTACACGCAATCTTGGGTCATGTATGATTCGCCCAGCATGCGGCTCATGCAGATTCTTGCAATTATGTGAAATCTCAACGCTTCGCATTCCTCAAAAGGATGGGCGGCCTCCTGATGCCTCTTGATGCTTCCCGCCTCTCATGACATCTATATATAATAGATTTGGGCACAGCACAGTATGAATACGTATCAGTTGAAATTCGTTACATATTTCGTGGTGATGCAAAACATGGGAAATCCCCAAACTAAGGCCTTGGCCGTGCAGCGGGGGAGTTGGCACGCCAAGCACAGGAGGCGCAGCGTTGGAGCCCCAAGGCGCCACTGTATGAAATGGGGGCGTCTCTAAAATTTGGGAAAACTTTGAAATCTTATGGTGATTATCATCACTATGTAATATTTAACATATTTTTACTGTACAAATTTGATGAAAATAGAATTTTTGGTTCTTCAGACACACCTAGATGATGGATGTAGTCGGTTCGCTTCCAATGAGATGCTGAGCGGTTTTATTTCCACGTGAACGATGAGCAACTAGTGTTAATGTGTTGACAGATTGTTACAGGTTTTCTGGACTTCGGATAAATGACAGCAAGCTTTGGACTTGCACAGGTAGAGCATGGTAGAGCCATTTGTTTTGCCCGTTCAGACTAAACCTGTTGGATTCTCATTTAGCCAGTGAACTCATGAGTGAAGAAGAGACCAAATACGATCTTAAAACCTGGTGTGTTTGACAGTGTCTTGCTGGAAACCTGTCGTGTTTCCAGCAGCTCCACTTAGGTCGCCCAAAGGCCCAGAGGGGATGGGTGGATTTGGAATAACAAGGGCCGGCTGTCAATAGGGCGGAAAGGCGATCCTACAACCCTGCGAAATACTGCGAATGAGTCTTGCTCAAGGCAGACAAATTGTGAAGTCATCCAGTGAAAGATTGTGCACCATTTGCTAGACCTGGTGGCCTGCTGGCCAGAAGATGGCTGGAAACACACAATCTTCTGATCCTGTTCCTCTGCGGAAGCATTGTTCAGGTTTTACATGGTTCATGGTTTTTCTAATTTGATCATCACTTTGCAAGATTCTTGAGCTATCACTGATATTTCACTATCCGACCTTTTTGGCATCTTTGTTTTGGCACATAGATACATCCAGCCACCCATTTGGCACAGCGTCATGGCACTGCGTGGCCTAGCCTCGCTGCTGGAGAATCCTGACCGGTGGCTGGGTTTGCAAATACCTCTTGCATCGATTTACATATTTTACATCCTTTTTTTTGTTGATCCGAAATCTCCTTAGTGCCTCAGCCCGATCCTAAGGCAGCTTTGGCAGAAGCCCCATCATTGGACCCACAATTGGGCGCATCATGCGACGCACCATGCCTTTTCGACCACTCACAAGTACGAAGAGCTGCTTCGAAACATCTCGCGCATCGTACGAAAGAGCACTGTTGTTGCTCAAGAAGAACCCATCAGCACCACAAATGTGGGAAGCTCAGTGGGGAGAAGTGACTGACATGTGCCGTGGGAACGATCATTGGGAATGTTGTGATCTACAGGAGTCTGACAACTTGTCACCCAAGAGAGAGGGCGGGACCACTTGACGGATGAAAAACATTGAAAAACAAAATAAAACAAGCAATGCTGGTAAAGAAACCATACCGGTCTTGGGTTTTAAGCTCCAAACAAAGGTTGCAACCTCCTGCAAGTGACTTTTCTAAACAGGACTGTTGTTGATAAAAATGTCTAGCATCATGCCCGATGGCAATGTTGGTAAACACACCTGAGGTGACACAAGACGGCAGCTCGGTATCAACGGACAAGTGATCACAGGATTTTTTTCCAAACGGGGCGGGCAGAGTGTGTGTGTGTGTTTTCACTAAAAAAGGGGGGGTGCACATACCATTATATACCCCAAAATGGTAAATGTTTATGCGATAGTAAACCGTGACATTTTTGGGGTACCTACACACCTACCATCACCTACCCATGTCAGTGTGCCGAATGTTGTGATTGAAACAAGGGAGGCAAAGGCCCACGCAATGTTGCGCACTGTCCCCCCAAAAAAAAGGCAGGTGCAAGAAACCTATAAGACCTTTCAGAGCCCACAGGCTGAATGCATCCACCTGAAATATCCCCCGAGATATTATCCCGAGATTATATTTTGCCATGTGTATGTGGTATCTGGCTGTTTTGGAATTGACTGCGAAGAACCTCACACCCAATTAATGTGAGAGTTCTGGAGAATGGGCAAAACCATCAGGAAGGAGATGAATTGAAATGCCGGGCGGAGTTCAATGGTGCTTCTCCGCTCCCGACTTCAAGAGCCGAGGAAATCAATTCATCACCAACACCGATGTGAACTATGCCCTTCTGCCTTGTTTCTCTCACGGGGCAACAAGGGAACAACGAAACAGTCAAATTTTCAGTTTCATTCGGCACTTAAGTGGCTCTAGCACCCTTGCACCATCTTGCACCATTTCTATCCATTTCTCCAATGGTGACCACAATCCCAGATTTGTGCCAGACCACTGTGAATTTGTCATGGATATGGGCCCTGCTGGCCGTCCTCGCCGTGGTGCTGTTGGTTGTGGCGGCGATCAAACTAGGACCCGCTTTTCCACACGCCGAAGCTGGAGATGAACGGCTGGTAAATGTCCTGTCTTAGGGATTTTGGCACTAGTTGGGTGATGTTTAATTCCGACATTTACCCTGACTATCCAAAGAGCAAACCCAAGCAAAACTGATGCAAGGGTTTCGACTTGGAACATTTGAACATGAATTTGCTGGTTCTTAATGATGTATCTGTGATGACGATAACAGTCATTTCTTCTTCGCTTCAGGATGGATTGGACCTCCTTCCTTGAAAGAGAACGATTTGGCAGCTCTGAAGACCTTCTCAGACGTCTACCGTGTCTTGGCCAACGGACCTTCTTGGGTTTCAACACTTGAAGACCTTGATCGACACGTCAAAATGTGCCTAGCCATCCTGATCGAGAATTGTGTCATCAACTTGCGCATCCTTTTCTTGATCCTTGATATCCATGATTGTTTGAGGGTTTCCATACAGTGCATGTGAATCAGGCATAGCTCAGCTGGAGCTTGAGGAGGATGTGACACTTGGCAGCTCTTGGCAGATGTCAGATGTTGATTCCCAGAGTCGACCGTGTGCTGATCTATATAGATACTGTCTATAATTTAAAATGGTATAAATATGGTATAAATATGGTATAAATCGTCTACACATGGCTAATTTTCCATGGCACACTGTTGAAGTACCAGGGTATCCGTGTGTGATCCATCCATCTGATTGGACCAAGGCTGGGCCACAAAACGGAAACCTTTTACTACATCGGGGAACGGCAAGTTGCGGTGACACCGGCATTGGAGTGGAACGACCAGTATCCAAGTGCTTCGGTGAAAGGGTTGGTGTTACCCCTTGGGATGTTTTGGGTTTCAAAGACCAGTTGGAAAGGATGTCAAGAAGTCAGATGGTGTCAGATGTCCACTCTCACATACATAGGACATCATAGGACCAGTTAGAGACTTCTAAAGCACATGCTGAAAACATCAATCGCAGTTTGGCCATTCTCAGCCTCCCATCCTGACGAAAAAGGTGAATCTTTCCCCGGTAAACTGTACCAACCAGACCATAGGTGCCATACCTTTCTGTTTAACATGGTTGTTTGATTGGTTCAGCTGGCTATTCTCCCTGACAGCGTTGCCACAAGGTGCACTACGCGGCTTCCTCATTCAGATAGCAAAGGACGGCTCTGACTGGGCCTGGTAGCTCCGTTAAGTTGCTGGAAGCCAAACCACCAGAAATACACCGCGGTTTCATCGAAATACACCGTTGCTTCATCATGGTGAAGATTTTGACTTTGTAAATTTTGTAACACATTTAATTATTTTTGGATAAATCATGATAAATCACATATAATAAATCACAATAAATCAAGATAAATCACCATGTTCCTCCGGTAGTTTGGGGTTCCAGGTTTCGTTTTTCAGTACCGCACTCCGTGATTTGTTGCCAGAAAATCGATGACGGGCTGTTCCACTTCCAGTGTCGCGTGTGGCCTCGAGGCTGAAATTGGGATGTGAAGGTGTCTCGAGGCATCTCCCAACCAAGTTCTCTATATATATATACATACATGGTTTAATAGATATGGTTATATGGATAATATAATGGTTCATTAGACCCATCTATCATGATAATATTCAGATGGTTCATTAAACCCATCTGAATAGTAAATGGATTATAGATCTATGATGATATATGATGATATTTCTGGTGTTTGATTCTTAAATGCTTCATACTTTGTCAGTGGTTGTTACTTTCACTGGGGATGTGCTGAAGAGGATGCCCCAGCTGAGGATGGAGCACGGCGCCTTCACGGAGCATTTGCCGGTGATCCTGGTGGCGCAGGAGTGGCGTCGCTGGGCCATGGAGGTTCTGCAGCACAACTTGTCGCCCAAGACGGAGGTGAAGGCGGAAATGCTGAGGGCATGGGATATGAAGCCGTTGATATTGTTGATCTTGCTGATATATGATATCATTAAATATATAATTCATGTTGATATATCTGTTGATGTATCTGTTGCTGTATCTGTTGATTTATTTGTTGATATATGCTAGAAATCAGAAAATTAAAGGACCGGACTACCCCACAAGGTAACTTCTTCCAATAATGAGCACCACATGTTGTAGCGGGGACGGGGAAGGAAGGAAAGACAAAGCATGTGGTGGAGGATCGAGCAGTAAAACAAAGTTGTGTGTGACAAAGTTGTATGTGAAAGATGGTGTGTGACAAAGTTGCGTGTGAAAGATGGTGTGGTGAAAGAGGGTGTGCGACAAAGTTGTGTGAAAGATGGTGTGGTGAAAGAGGGTGTGCGACAAAGTTGTGTGTGAAAGATGGTGTGGTGAAAGATGGTGTGTGACAAAAGTGGTGTGTGAAGGATGGTGTGGTGAAAGATGGTGTGAGACAAAGTGGTCTGTGACGGTGTCTGAAAGATGGCGTGTGACAAAGTGGTCTGTGAAAGATGGTGTGTGACAAAGTGGTGTGTGAAAGATGGTGTGGCGCAAGATGGTGTGTGACAAAGTTGTCTGTGAAAGATGGTGTGGTGAAAGAGGGGTGTGCGACAAAGTTGTGTGTGAAAGATGGTGTGGTGAAAGATGGTGTGTCGAAGATGGTGTGTGACAAAGTTGTGTGTTAAAGATGGTGTGTGGAAGATGGTGTGTGACAAAGTTGTGTGTGAAAGATTGTGTTTCAAAGATGGTGGGTGACAATGTGATGTGTGAAAGATGGTGTGTCAAAGAAGGTGTGTGACAAAGTTGGGTGTTAAAGATGGTGTGTGAAAGATAGTGTGTGAAAGATGTTGTGTGACAAAGATGGTGTGTGACAATGTGGTGTGTGAAAGATGGTGTGTCAAAGGCGGTGTGTGACAAAGTTGGGTGTGAAAGAGGGTGTGTGAAAGATAGTGTGTGAAACATGTTGTGTGACAAAGATGGTGTGTGAAAGAGTCTTGAAAGAGGGTGTGTCAAAGATGGTGTGTGAAAGATGGTGTGTGACAAAGTGGTGTGTGAAAGATGGTGTGTGACAAAGATGGCGTGTGACACCAGAGCCAGCCCAGTGCCATAAGGGCCACGCTTGCCACGCAAAACGAAGGTGGATGTGACCAAGTGCCACACCTGCCACGCGAAACGAAGGTGGATGTGACCAAGTGCCACGCCTGCCGCGCAAAGTGCCGCGGCGTCACCGGCGACTCAAACCGGCCCAAGCGCGCCAGCCCAGTGCCATAAGTGCCACACCTGTCATGCAAAACGAAGGTGGATGTGACCAAGTGCCACACCTGTTATGCGAAACGAAGGTGGGTGTCACCAAGTGCCACGCTTGCCACGCAAAGTGCCGCGGTGTCCGCCACCGGAGCCAGCCCAGTGCCATAAGTGCCACACTTGCCACGCAAAACGAAGGTGGATGTGACCAAGTGCCACGGGTCGCTGGGTCAGGTTAGCTTGCAGGTATGGGAGCTTCATTCGGCAAGCATCTTGGTGGATGGACCTACGGGCATTTGTGGGAAGGGTAGACTTGAGACACTCCGGGGGAGAGGCGGGGGCCTGGTACTGGTGCTCTGGCGGTCCAACGGCCCAGTCACTTTGATTGAAAATGTCGGGCATCAGTGGCTCGAACGGAGCGACTGGGAATTGGGTGCGCTTGGTCGCTGGGTCCCTCAGGTTGACTTGCACGCATGGGAGACTTCAGCCTTCAAAGTTGCAGGGGTTATCATGTTCAGGCGCAGGGCCTGGGACTGGTCGCTTTGCTGGTCGGGCGTCGGTAAACGCACGAGCGCAGGTACTGGGAATTGGGTTCGTTGGGTCGCTGGGCCACCCATGGTGGGTTTTGGCTCGCAGGATCAAACAGAAAAAAATTGCGGTCGATGAGGCAAGCCAAAACTGGTGGCTGTGAAGAGTCGTTGGTTGAGCGGGGTGGTGGGTCTCGAGGTTTCACTTGGCGTATGCGCAGCGCGCTTTGAAGCCTAGCCGTGATGTTTCGTCAAACTGGTCAGCAGCAGGCAGCGGACACATTAGCTTAGAGCCACCCGGGACAGGTTGAGTGCGAAAGGTAGTGATGCAGAACAAGCAATGTGGGAGGCATGCTGCAGCACTCTTTCAGATGTTGGCACTTGGTGCAGCGCTCAGAAGCGTGGGAGCAAAAGAATCCTTGGGCCCTTTTTGGAGCTGCCTGGGAAGACATGCCGAAAAGAAGCCCAAGGGGCTCTTTACCACGCTTTGAGGGAAAATGCGGTTAGGAAGCCCTGCAGCGCGAATGCGCCAAACCACTCCAAAAAGAATCCTTCGAGGAAACGTTAACATGCCCAAAGGGGACACATGCCAAAAAGAAGCCCTAAGGCAGCCTTGGCTAGCCGCACGCAGGCCCATGTCAAAAGAAGCCGTGGGTCCTTATATGCCAAAATATGCCAAAAAGAAGCCCAAGGGGCTCTCTACCGCGCTTTGAAAGAAAATGCGGTTAGGAAGCCCTGCAGCGCGAATGCGCCAAACCACTCCAAAAAGAAGCCCTCAAGGAAACACGTCCAAAGGAAGCCTAAACCAGTGCGTTTTGAAGCCTAGCCCGTCCTGTAAGGACCCCTCAGCGCAGCTGAGCTGCGCCCCTTTTGTGGCCGCTACACCGCCTACGGGCGCCAGTGTGACAGATGGAGTGTGACAAAGATGGTGGTTGACAAAGATGTGTGACAAAGATGCGTGTGAAAGATGGCGTTCAAGATGGTGTGTGTGTGTGACAGTGTGTGACAAAGATGTGTGTGAAAGATGGTGGTTGACAAAGTTGTGTGTGACAGATGGTGGTTGACAAAGATGTGTGAAAGATGGTGGTTGACAAAGTTGTGTGTGACAGATGCTGGTTGACAAAGATGCGTGACAAAGATGGTGTGTGACAAAGTTGTGTGTGACAGATGGTGGTTGACAAAGATGTGTGAGAAAGATGATGTGTGACAAAGATGGTGTGTGACAAAGATGTGTGACAAAGATGTGTGTGAAAGATGATGGTTGACAAAGTTGTGTGTGTGACAGATGGTGTGTGACAAAGATGTGTGTGACAGATGGTGGTTGACAAAGATGTGTGACAAAGATGGTGTGTGACAAAGATGTGTGACAAAGATGGTGTGTGACAAAGATGTGTGTGAAAGATGGTGGTTGACAAAGTTGTGTGTGTGAAAGATGGTGGTTGACAAAGTTGTGTGTGACAGGTGGTGTGTGACAAAGATGTGTGTGACAGATGGTGGTTGACAAAGATGTGTGACAAAGATGGTGTGTGACAAAGATGTGTGGCAGATGGTGGTTGACAAGGATGTGTGACAAAGATTGTGTGTGACAAAGATGTGTGACAAAGATGTGTGTGAAAGATGGTGGTTGACAAAGTTGTGCGTGTGAAAGATGGTGGTTGACAAAGATGTGTGACAAAGATGGTGTGTGACAAAGATGTGTGACAAAGATGGTGTGTGACAAAGATGTGTGACAAAGATGGTGTGTGACAAAGATGTGTGACAAAGATGGTGTGTGACAAAGATGTGTGTGAAAGATGGTGGTTGACAAAGTTGTGTGTGTGAAAGATGGTGGTTGACAAAGATGTGTGTGAAAGATGGTGTGTGACAAAGATGTGTGTGACAGATGGTGGTTGACAAAGATGTGTGACAAAGATGGTGTGTGACAAAGATGTGTGTGAAAGATGGTGGTTGACAAAGATGTGTGTGAAAAAGATGGTGTGTGACAAAGAAGTGCGTGACAGATGGTGGTTGACAAAGATGTGTGACAAATATGGTGTGTGGCAAAGATGTGTGACAAAGATGTGTGACAAAGATGGTGTGTGACAAAGATGTGTGTGAAAGATGGTGGTTGACAAAGTTGTGTGTGTGACAGATGGTGTGTGACAAAGATGTGTGTGACAGATGGTGGTTGACAGAGGTGTGTGACAAAGATGGTGTGTGACAAAGATGGTGTGTGACAAAGATGTGTGACAAAGATGGTGTGTGACAAAGATGTGTGACAAAGATGATGTGTGGCAAAGATGTGTGTGAAAGATGGTGGTTGACAAAGATGTGTGACAAAGATGGTGTGTGACAAAGATGTGTGTGAAAGATGGTGGTTGACAAAGTTGTGTGTGTGAAAGATGGTGGTTGACAAAGTTGTGTGTGACAGATGGTGTGTGACAAAGATGTGTGTGACAGATGGTGGTTGACAAAGATGTGTGACAAAGATGGTGTGTGACAAAGATGTGTGACAAAGATGGTGTGTGACAAAGATGTGTGTGAAAGATGGTGGTTGACACCGTTGTGTGTGAAAAAGATGGTGTGTGACAAAGATGTGTGTGACAGATGGTGGTTGACAAAGATGTGTGTGACAGATGGTGGTTGACAAAGATGTGTGTGACAGATGGTGGTTGACAAAGATGTGTGACAAAGATGGTGGTTGACAAAGATGTGTGACAAAGATTGTGTGTGACAAAGATGTGTGACAAAGATGTGTGTGAAAGATGGTGGTTGACAAAGTTGTGTGTGTGAAAGATGGTGTGTGACAAAGATGTGCGTGACAGATGGTGGTTGACAAAGATGTGTGACAAAGATGGTGTGTGACAAAGATGTGTGACAAAGATGGTGTGTGACAAAGATGTATGTGACAGATGGGCGGTGGAGGCGGCGGAGGTGGTGGAGGCGGAGCCGGCGGGATACAGAATCAAAAACAAGAACCCCACACAAAGATGTGGGGAAAAACATGACAACAACGTCCATGAATGTATGTCCAGCTGATTGTTCTGTGGACTTTTGGGGTTCTTTTATCAACCGTTTGCAGATTGGGATGCATTGGAGAGACAGAATGATGGGATCGTTCGAGTCAGATTGGGATAAATTTCAATTTAGATCTCTCAGATTGGAAGAAAACTATATATATATATAATTATATCACATATATAACTCTATATAAAACTATAGTGCAAAACTGGCAAAGGATTCGATGGATTTACTGGCCAAAGCAGCTGGGGCTGGCCATCCTGCAGGTTGAATTGACGAGACGTGCTTTGGCGGCATTCAGAATGTGTCAGCATCAACCAGCTGAAACGCTATGAACCTGGTGAACCAGCTGAAACACATGGAGGTTTGGATTGGATCGAGACAATCCGCGATCTCAGCTTGAACGGTGTGGCGAACCTGCGCAATACGCCGTGGCTCAGTGGAAATAGCCGGAAACTGTCCACCAAACCACCAGTTAGGGACTTTAGAACTTTAGAACTAGAAGGACACGGCGTTCGTATCCCGCGTCACGTGCCTATACTTGGAATTCGGATCCTGCAACGCAAACCCGATGAACGACATGCGCAAGAGTCCAATTTGAATCCTTGCCATCCTTATCCAACCTATACGTTGGTTACGTTGGATGGTTTTTTGTAATGTTTTTGTTCCTTGGCTCCAGGTACTGGGATGACAGCGATGAACTTTCGCTGCTGGTTGTGTCAAGGCCTCGGGCTCCCAGCATTTTAAGCAGCATCTCCCAGCATCAACGAAGCTTCAGCAGCTGCCAAGGTTGCGAACTGACATTGCCAGGGAATTGCGCCTTGGATCTTTTGGAGACACTGCAGCTTGAGTTGTTTCAGAATTGATAGATTTGAAATGATTTGAAATAGATTTCATCGGACTTTTGGCAGTCAGATTCTGTGGCGGCCTGAAGGAGAAGCTACGTGGACCATTGGGATGTCTTGGAATTGCAACAGGGCTTTGCTGGCACTGCAGGAGAAGCCTGTGCCTTAGTGTTACCATTTCTCAACTGAAGCTGCTAACATCGGGAAAACGTTCGCCTTCGAAGCTCAGGTGACTGCCTTCATCACCTCTGAGTTGCGAAATTCCATTCGCTTCTTAGAGAGAATCTACTGTCACGATGAACTGAGACTTCATCAGATGCCGCTTGGAGAACGCATCGAGCAGTTGGAAGATGTTGGAAGATGTTGGAATCCCATGACAGCTTGCAGTATCTTGCAGCAAGCAGAGATAGAGAGAGAGTTGCGGAGCTGCTGCTGAGGACCAGCAAGTCGAAGAGTTGGTTCACACCGCAGCTTGCAGAAGTTGGGTCGGATCAACAGTCCGTTACTGTTGAGCTAAAGCGGTCAATCCCAGTGAAGTCCCCCAGTAGGGAAACTGCCACCTGAGGATTGAACGTGAGCTGCTGGATCTACAAGACTCGGCGCAGATCTGGAACGAGACCTTTCCACGGTGCTTCCGAGACAAGTTTGATAATCAGGCGCACAAGCACCACTGATCACCACTGCCGCCATTCTCCACATGTGCAATTTCGGCACTACTCGTATGATCATTTTTAGTGTTATCATCTCAGGAGTTTTTTGCTAGAGCCCAGAAGCACTTTGTTGGTGTGAAGTGTGCACCGACACCTTTTGGAGTGTGAGGATCTTTGGATTTCTCTCAGAAGAGGATCAAAGACACAAAGAAAGAATTTAATTACCGATGTCATGAAGACACTTAGTGGATGCTTCAATCTTTTCACTTGTTTGGAAGTCTTGCAGCACCCACAGGAGCAGTTTGAACAGTGGTTCAACAGCCGCACAAGGGGACGTCCTACGAGCTACCAGAACGCACCTGAGCTGAAGTTCCTTTCAGCCTCGGTGATTTCAGTTGCATCAGCTTTTGGTGCTGTGAGTTGACACACTTGAAATATGTCAAAATGTGCTGAAGTGGATTCCATGGAAGTTTATTTGGTTCCGTTCCAACATCCGGAAAGATTCCTGCCCACACTTGACTTTCATAGAAAGATAGAAAGCGATTGCAGCAATTTGTTGACCGCAACTGCAGCTCAGCTTCCAAGAATTTAGTTGCATTCTGACAGCCCCTGGTTGGTGCATTGAATGCATTGGTTAACTCACTGGTTGAGTTTTTGCCTTCCATTGCCTGTGGCCAAGGTCGTTGCGAAGACTCCTGCAGCTTGTCAGAAGAATCCATCAGAAAGCCTACACCACTAATTACTGCCATAGTCTGCCATATGTAATCCATTTGTATGGTCAACAGTTGGATTGAACACCTATAATTACTGGGTGATGGTAATCAACCCACTCACACGGATTAACTATGGGGGTTAATGTACCCATAGTTCTAAAGTCCTAACAATGGCGAGATGACAAAAAACCATTCATCCCATCTAAGTTGACTATGGCAAATGTAGCGTCTACAAACTCACAACCACCGCAACGGAGATTGAGGTGCTGAACGATTTCGAAAGGACCAGGGTGCAGAAATACCTGCCCAGCTACCAGCACTGGAGGCCGACGTGAATGATTCCCACCTCCAAAGGCTATCGCCTGATTTGTCTGTGCTCTGTTGGTAACGACATTGATGCTCAATGACCTAGAATGTGCAATGCCTCAGGTGATCCTTTGATTTTCCCTTCAAAGCACCCAGTTTCAATCAGTTGATGAGACCACTGGATGTGCCATTTGTATTTTTGAGGTTATGATTCTATCAGAATGTGAATTTGACTTCCTAGTTACTGAGTATATATCAACATTTATCAACATCTAGTGATTTTGGTGCCTGGCTGGGTGTGGTTCAGGGCCTCCACAGATCCTGTGTCCAGGTATGGCTTGTCCACCCAGCAGGAGCTGGTTCGAATGATGGAAAGTTGCCCCTTGTCTCGACCTGCCACCAGGATGGGTCACAATCCAGTTTACACCTTGGTGAGCTGATGTATGTCCAGTCAAAATAAATCAAAGAGGACAGCGGTACACAAGGCCCTGGCATTATAGAATGATGAATGATGATGATAGATGTAGATCCCGGGAGACATCCCAAGTGCACCGTTTGTGCCGTGCTCAGCCGTGGTTCTGATCGACCAGCTCTATGTCCTCTTGGACGCCGCCTTGCTGATGATGAGCCTCCAGAATTTCGCAAGTTCCCGAGCTGCAACGGTGGACGTTGGTGAACACCTGGATAGCACAACAGATCAAGCAGATCAAGTAACCTTCAGATGGGAGGGGTTTTGGGGCGCTGCCCCATGGTGCCCCCAAGTGGCCAAGGTTTGGGCGGTTCCAACTTCTTTTTGGCAGGTATCGTGGGTTGCTCAGCGCGGCGAAAGAGAACTGGTAGCCATGGCTGGAAACACTTCCACCGCACGTTAAAATTGGTGCTCAAGCTATCTCAAGCTCAGTCAAGTCAGCCGTTTTGCAAGGGGCCGACAGGGCCTACAGGAATGGGTGGTATGTGAGGTGAGTGTTGAGCATGCGAGAGGTGTCATGGATTTCATTGACAATGTCGCATCCAGCTCAGATGTGAAACAGAGATGCAACTTGCTATGCCATTGATTGGTCCATTTTGTTTCGGACAATCAAATACATTGAGCCATTTCCGCCAATCAGTTGCATATGGACACCCATGGCCCATATGTTTAATATATTTTGATATCTTGTAGGGCAAGAAACGCAAGGGGCGCCCTGTGGCGTGGTCTTTCAGGTGAGAGAAGTGAAGCTTCACGTCTGCAGGATGGGAGATATCGCGCAGGGCCATGGCCTTAGGCACCTGTGACAACTATGCAACCCAGTTAGGATCCTATTGGATCCTATTGGTGTGGAAAGATCTCGGCCATGGAATTAGCTGGTGGGGTGAGGCTTGTTTTGTTTAAACATCTGGATTTTTCGCATGTTTTTGTTTTTTAGGAAATCCTGGACCAGTTGTGTCACTCTTGAACTGAAGTGCACGCACTGTTTCCTTCAAGATCCCAGCGACGAAAACACCTTTGAGATCCTTTGCGATCCAGGTGGCTGGTCGAATTTGCGAAGAGGTCGCAAGAACAGCTGGTTTTCATCTTCAGGCTGTGGAATGTGCGCGGTCAGCATCATAGGAACCCCCCTGAGTGTCCCTCAATCGACAGGTCCTTTGGACAATATGCGCTTGGCCATGAACAACGAGGAATGGGTGGCAGCCACTTGAGCGGGATCAGCAGTTGGTGTAACATCAGAGATATATCTTTGAATTGGCAACCCCACAGATGTAAAAGACTGTAAAAGAACATGTTTTCTTGGAGCCTATTTCGATAAAGTATTTTCACCTGCAAACCGCAAACCAAAGGTTTTCAGGATTCTGCGGTATTCAAGAGGTTCTTTGATAAACTGCGATCTAAGTTGTTCCAAGCCAGGAGGAGCATATGCTGTTGGCAAATTGGACCATTTTGCATATTAAGTTAGTATGTAGATTCCATGTCATATTGACAAGTATCTCAGTATCTCATTATAAATCTACGCTTGGAAATGTAAGTGGATGAGTGGATGCAAGTGGCGTACGTATTGCAGGAGAATGTGGATAAGATCGCGGCGAATGCCAGCGGTATGATGCGCTACCTGTCACCGGGCCTGATATCCATGAAAGCCATGGCATTCAATGGCATGACACCAAGCCATGGTACCACCATGAACCGGCCATTCTTGGATCACTTGGATCCTAAGGAAGGCTCACATCACTAGCTGCCGAGTGGTGGACGGCAAACAAGAAGAGTGACTTGGACGGCGGCATCTCTTGGGGATTCGTGATATTCGTGATTCTGGCGATGGTCAAAAGTCAGAATTCGCCGGACATAGAAAATTATGGAACATTTAACATTTGGATATGGCCTGGTAATACCTGGCAGGTGTAACAATTGTGGATAATATAGTACATCACGTGTGTGTGTGTGTGTGTGTGTGTGTTTTTCTAGTGGATTGTATTTATGCCGCTGAAATGACTTAAACACCATGATAATATTACAGTCAATGATACGAGCCATCACCTGACCCCCCAATCAGGGAAGCAAGGCTCCAAACGCCTCCCCAGCCCAGGGAAGCACTGTCCAAGGAGATCGAGTGACTCATTTGCAGTCATGGCTTGGAATGATGTGTAGCTGGATGCATAGCCCTGTTCACTTCAACCTGCAGCCTGTTTGAGGTATTTCAAAAGGCCGCCTGGCTTTAGTTGAGACTGCAAGGGCAACGGTGCATCCAAACTGAAAGCAGATTACATAAAGATTTGAAGAGTCTATCATAGTCTATCAGTTACTGTAACGCCAATCTTCGTGCACTGAGCATGTTGCAGGTTCTGGGAAGCCCTCAGCAAGAAGCACCAAATCGACGAGGGCGGAGATGGACGCGCGATTCGCTACATTTAAGTCCTTGAAGTCCCCAGATGTCCCGACTGATAGCATCGCCATGATCGCTATCGGGTGCACTGATTCATGCAGGTCGAAGTCGCAAAATTAGCGCTTTGCAACAGCTGCAGGTCGTCTTTAGACGTTCGCAGTTACGTATAGATCTGGCAGCCTACTGTCATCCCTGAAAAATGTCGGGGATGCAGCAGTGGAAATACTTTGCTCTAAACTTTGCATCTTTGTACTTTGCTTTTTGCGACTGAAATAGAGCCACGAAGAGTGCTTGACCACTAACAGCAGACTTGCATGAACCGCAGTGAAGCATGGTACGATTTTGGTTTCACATGTGGCTCTATTTCAGCACGATGTTTGTCAATCTCCACCTTGGCAAAGAGATTGCCCGCCGGCCGAGCCGGAAATCTCGAAAGATGCGCACCTTCATTGCCAGACATATTGTTTTTTCATGTTTTTTCAGGCTTCAAATTGCTGAAGTGTGTTTTGTCTCACATACCACGTTTCCTTTCTCTAATTCATAAGATTCATAAGGGTGAGCTTGGTTCACAAAATTCTTGTTGACATTTCAGTGTTGACGAAAACGAAAGCACATTAGAACCAGGTTGTACTCTCTGGTTTCGCTGAGTGCACCGACAGGCTTTACGTTTGGTGCTGCGTTGGGCCCTTGAATTGATCTCGGTGACAGCAGTGCTTTCGATCCATGGTCCATGGGACCAGTGACCCTTTGTTTGGTTTGCTGTATAACTTCCAGAAGCATCCAGAAGCCTTGTCCACGTTTTGGCTAGTCGTCCCATTCCCCATGACCCTCTGCAATGAAGAGAGACTCGATGTGACGTTGCGACCTGGCGAAATTCTTAGACGGAGGGTGTTCAATGTTTCATAGCTTGCAACTTCTGGAGTCAATTAAGGACGAAAAGAGTCTTTTAAAATCTGTTAAAGGTCAGTTGCAAGACACAGACTCCCTTGTTGATCAAGGTGGCTCAGAGGGGAGCGAGCCAGGGTGCCCCAGGACGCGAAACGCCTGCGTTGTTCACTGTGCCCAGTCACTTCTTACGAAGCCAACGATACAGCGGCTGAGGCCAGAGACATGGCTGGCAGAGCGGCTTGATGAGCGTGGCCTCAGCCAAGATGAGGTGTGATGGTGGTGGAGCAGAACTAGGGGATTGGTCAATGACAAAGTGAAATTGACCATTTCGATACTCTTCAACACAATATTTCCGCCATGGTGCAGGGTTTGAAGAAAGAAAGCCAGACAAGATAATTCTGTTGATGCCTTCGAGCCTATTATATAGATTCGTGAGGATGGAAAAGGCACCGTGTCATTGAGATTCAGATAACTCATGGTTTGCCACTTACTCACAGTTAATTAGTTCAGGGACATGTTGGGGTTGTTGAGAGATGCTTTTAAGATCTTTTAAGTTTGTATCAGTCTTTGAACATCATTGAACTCCAAAAAGGCTCATTGGCAAGAATCACAGGTGACATTGATATACACTCACATCATCTTCAAGCCTAGAGTCCATGCAATAACAATAGTTTTATGAAATTTCATGAAATTCCAATAACCTTCACAGTCTTTAATTTTATGTCCTATATTATATATATTTCAATATATTTCAATATATTTCAATTTATCATATAATGTTTAAGTCACACTTAGCGTTCCTATGCTTTCACACTCCACCAGTGCCAGCCTCCGTAGGGCCGTTGCGATGTCAGGTGGCCTTGGACCTTGGGGCCTTGCCGGAAACCAGGTCGATGGGACCAGCTGCGTCCCCCGGCAGTGATGTTTTTAAGCGGTCGAGTGACGCGCACCAGGGCAGTTGAGGAGATCGGCTTCTCAACCAGCAAGCCAGGCGCCATTGCTTCATGCCTCAACCTACTGCATTCAGATCCAAGATACTTTTGGTATCTTTTGGTTGGAGATGGTTGGATGATGGTTGGATGCTTTTTTTTATTCACAATTTCCACATGATTTCGACCTTGCAGGAGCCACCAAGTCGGCGTCCAGCAGGTGTCGCTTGGCGCCATCGATGGCCCAGACCTTGCACCGACTCTTGGAGCCACTGCCAGGCCTGGAGAACCGGGACCAGAAAAATCTGATGAAAACGGATGGACAATTGGGAGAAAAGCTGAGAAATGTACTGTGAGAGATAGATAAAGAAGATCAAAGAAGAGATCAGATGAAATTGGATGGGATGGGATAAGATAGATAGAAGTTAGCTGCAAAGGTCATGTACCAGAATGGCTGGAAGTCTTGTTTTGAACAGTCGCAAGGCCCATACACAGGACCCCCAAAACCCATCGGAGGACCAGCCCTGTGTGCAGCCGAACCCAGTGGCGCAACTGAGAAGTTTTGGCGCTGGGCGAAGGTCTCAGGCCATTGAAAGGAGTGTAAAAAGCCACTGGATTTATCCAGATTCATACCATTTTTTTGCAGACTTGCAGGAACCTATTCTCTTGTCCGCAGCTAATTTGGGTGCAAGAAACACATCTGCAGAGGCAAGAAGCAGACAGATTGTCAGCACTAAAGACTGGATGAGCGCAGTCAGAAAGCCATAGCCTTCAAACTCCCTGGAAACATGGAGCGATGAACAGTCATGGCTAGCCAATCTCCATTGAACAATTACAAGTCACCTTTTGATCTCGGGCTCTTTACCAGATCGAGGAAATACACCCCTGGTTCACTCTGAACTTTGTGGAGTTGGAGGTCTAAAAACATGGCTCACTCAACTTCTCATGACATGACGTTTGAAGTCTTGCTCCAACGAGAATGGCAAGCGATGCAATGGATTCGTGATTGAGTCCGGAGCATCTGGAGAGGCACCTTGGTTTGCTGATCATTTTGGCACCATCTTCACAAGACCACGCAACATGTCAGATCTGAACTTTTGTGGTTTACTGGCAGTTCATTGTGAGTTTGTTGGTTTGTTGGCAGTTCTACTCTGAAAGTTTTCACACGACTTCGAAGTTTGGGTCTTTCATTTTGGAGCAGTTCAATCATGGGGCAGTCAAATTGGGTCAGCCCAGGTGCGATGGAGCGCATAAATCAGCAGTACCTCGCAGCATCTTGGCAAAGAGGAGCATTCTTGGGGTGAAAGTGCTGAAAGTTCTTTGGCTACGAGAATTTGAATGGATGTCTCAAGCAGCATACTACTGTAAATTTTGATAAACATTGTCAACAGTCAACATAGTGTCCATGTCTTATTCCGGCTCATGACATCCCGCAACAACAGCAGCCCAGGGTCGCTTTGTGTTGACAGCACTACATTTGGCAGTGACGGCGAGTGCCACATGGCAGCGCTTACATTTGGAGTACCCTTTGGCACTGCACAGCTGATTTGCTCTTCTGTTTGTGTGTGGGCCTGCAGACCACGTTTGATACCGTGTGCTGAAATGATGTGGATATCTTCCAGTGTCGAGCTTTGTGGCTTTCCTATGCTTTCCTATGGTCCTACAGTGGTCACCTTTGATACTCGTACTTTGGTCAGGTCCTTCACGGCCGCAGCGACCACGTGTTGTTTGCACTGTCGCCCTTGTGCCTTCGACAAGCTTTGCAGATGCCCAAGGCTTGCCGACAGGCGCAGCTGGGCCTGGTGGCATTGATGGTTTGACCCTGGATGAATAAAGCCTGGTTTAGTCGGTTTGGTCATTGATAATTTGCTATTGAAATGGCACCCCCCAAATTAAACAGCCTGGGGAGTTCTGATGGTTTATGAAGGGTTGACATTCCATCTATTATGTCACATATGTCACATATGTCACAGATGGTCAGCAATGACCCATCAATGATCCAAACCAGGGCAACTGCGCCATACGAGATGAGCTTTCAGAGTCATGCCGCCAAAGCTGGCAGGTGGGCTCAGGAAATGTGGGGCACAGATTGCTGGGCACCAATGTTTGTGATTATGTAGGGCCCACCAATCTAGAACTGCTCTTGCTCGATGAGTTTTTCCTGAAAGTAGGGCCTGGACATGTGAAAATGCACATAGAACTAAGGCATTGTGCGTGTGCACTTTGTAGCTCTTTTAACTGCGATACCGGCATGCAAAAGACCAAAACCATCCAAAAGCGTTGACCTTCGTGGCCTTCGTTGAAAGGTCAACGAGGCGGTCTTCCAAGGGGAATTGCATCTGGGCAGCACCTGGATGACTGGATCCTTTGTAAATGATGCAATCAAAGTGAAAACCCCACAGTGATTGGAGTTGATCAGTATTTGATCAGTATAGTATCTTGATGTATCTTGTGATTTTGCTTGAGATCACTCAGGACGGCCGCGCTGGTCTTCTTATCCTTGGAACTGGTCTCAATGCTCACAGCTGTGCATAGCTTTCAAGCAGAGGTGCGGCTCACCATGTCCATCTGCGATTGTTGTCACAGCTTGTGAACACCTTAATGCAGCATAGTTGTTGCAACTTTCCTTCTGAATTTATTTTTGATTTGTTGAAGAAATCCCAAATGGAGCACAAACCAGGACATGAACTTTGTGGGTGCTGTGCTGCATGCGGGAGGCGGTGATGTCAGCTGTTTTTTACATTTTGCACTGAGCAGTTGATTGCAAACATGTTTGTTGTTGGAACCGTTGGGAATGTCGATGGATCTCCTGAAAGTTGACTCTGTTTAATTGGTCAGGAAAAAAATACTGACAGGTGCATGTGCACTGATCCTCTTCCTGGTGATGCAGAAGCTTTGCTGCAAGATACAAGACATTTCCATACATACCTAGGTACAGCCATTTTCTGGTTGCCAATGGCACAACTGGTCGCAGAGCAAAGGATCGAGGGACAACTCAGTAGTTCTGCTCAGGACTTCTTGTGCCTACTTCCATGTGGTGTTTGCGCTGAGCAATGTGCTGCCTTTTCTCAGCAGCTCCGATGAAATATGGATAAATATGGTACAAAATGCTACAGGGATGTACATCCCATCCATGGGAACGGTCAAGGTGTGAAACTGGTGAGGTGAGGTGATTGTATCATTTGTTGGTGTTGATGGGTGTGGGTTGAATGGTGATGATGTCATGGTGATTGCGCCACTGTAGAAGCTGTGGTGAAGTCCGGTTGTGAATTCGTGTCCATGGTGTAGTGATGTCCCATACCGGGCAATGGATTCTTTGATGATTGCAACAATGAATCAACGATGACAATTATGGTGATTGTTATTGGCTCGGTTGATGTTAATGACAATGATAATGATTTCTTTTTGACACCTTGACCAGCTTCATTTTCTTTAAAAAGGTGATGTTATATAATGATAATGATAATGTTATATAATGACAATTATGGTGATTGTTATATAATGATAATGATAATGTGGTTTCTGATGTTCAGTGTGGTTTTGAAGCTCGTGCCACTGACCTTTTGTGATTCCTCTGCTGAGGCGAAGTCAACATTTGGCTCTCGGTGCTGAGGGGTGCACGGTTGAAGCGCTTTCCACCACCTGAGACCGAGTGAAATGCATGAAAATGCCGGTCGCAGCTGCATTGCACCTTCCAAATCCAGCTGGATCAGCATTGGATCAGCTGGACAGATCCAAAGTCACTGAAGCACATGGATCGATGGATCGGCACTCACGAATTAGTCTCCAAGGTCTTGCACGATTGACGAATACTCCAGATTGTTGACCTCCAAAATGATCAAGATATTATCTTGGAGATCATAAATCTGATGTGATATCATTATAAGTATATATATAGAAACATGTCATTATAAGTTATCTTTCAAGAGAATTTGTTGCATTGCAGTCTATGAACAATACAGCAATATCCCAATGGCTGAGGCTGGAGCCGTTGCCGTGGACCGGCTCCAGGGCACCACACAGCTCCGCTTGGCGGCAAAGTGACCGCCTGACCACTGTCGTGGCAAAGTGTCGGGGGTCTCGGGGGTCGTTGGGTGGAGCCGTGCCGCCGAAAGGTACCCGAAGTGGGCCTTCCATGCAACTGCGCTCGCAAGGCGCCCGTGCTTTCAGAAAATTGTGTATAAATTGTGTAAGCGGAGTAAGAGTTTTTGTCAAATCAGACATTTTTGGTCCAATGCTTTTGATCAATGACAGGTGGCCGTCCTGATTCTTTGATACCTGACCGGCCAAACTGTCCGGACACATCACATATGCCACAACTGTCACGAGTGTCAGGCCTTTGCGAACCTTGGAGACTCCGCTGCTACAGGCTGGGTTCAGCCATAGATTTCTTCACAAGAATAGAAGTTCAGCTCGGCAGTTCCGACGATCCGTGAAACAACATGAAGCAACAACACAAGCAAGTTGACTTATTGATACATTGACCATCAAGAATGATCTGATTCAATAAATTTTAACTAAGCTTGCAACAGCAAACAGTGTGATGCTCTGGTCACAGGCGCTCTTAGCACCCAAGTCCTCGAAGTCTCTAGGTGGCTGGGCAGGAGACCAGTCCCATCGATGTTTGGTCAACTTTTTCCTATTTTGCTAACAGCTTCAGAAGCTGTTACTATTGTTACCGTGATGCCGAAGGCTTGCGATGCACTATTTGTCGTTACTATTCTTTGTACTAGAAATTTATAAATATTATATTTTGCACTTCATTTCCCAGAGACGTTTGAGTGTTGATGATACCGAGTCGTGCCAACGTGGCGCACCATGCGTGCCACTTCTGTGCAAGGCTGCGGCTACTTGACCTTAGACGAGCGCCGCTGCGTGCTGTGTTTGATGCAGAACGAAGCCTTGGCACAAGAGGTCGCAGCCACAGCCCACAGGTGGCAATGGCCATTGCTTGCATCCTCTTAAATTTTTGATGAGACAGAACCATGGGTGGATATGGGTGGCCAATGTGACGGTTCGGTACACAAGTCCTCTTTGGAAAGCAGATTTGTCAGGAATCGGTTCTCAAAAGCTGATTTTCTGCCGCAATGATCATGGTTACCATGGTTAGGGCTGCCATTCTGAACAGACAAAAGACTTGCTTTCTACAACGGAGCCATTGAATTCAAAGGCATTGAGCCAAAATCAAAGTTGATGCAATAGTGAATAGTGACTCTGCGCAAACTTTGCACCCTTCCATGGCCAAGGTGCCATTGGTAGGAGTTTGGGTGGATCTTCGGGACCAGGACTGTCATAGTCAGCACAGGTTCCCATGTTGCGTTGATGATTTATTGAGTGGATGCCGTTGTTGAAGGAGGTCTCCAATCTACCTACCTTAGCGGCGCATCCCGCGGTTTGGGCAGCTGCAGCTCACTTTGTGCACCAAAGGACAACTTGGGACCGTTTCATGTTTCGCCATAATGGCGAAATTCTGCTGTGAAGACGGTTTGAGGCATGGGCAAAATGTCCTGTAGCCAAGAGCAAAAGATGATGTTTGTGTGATGGATTCCATGTGTGAGGAGTGCGAAAGAAAAGGTGCAGCCCTCAGTTTCTTCCGGCCAGCTGACACTCCGTCCGTTGAACTGCCTCATGGTGCCATGGCCAAGGTGTGGGTCGAGGCCAGCACCTTCCTCATCATGGCCGCTGTCAGACAGAGGTGCTCACGGTTGTGCCACAATCCCACTTGGAAAGCTGCAAAAAAGTCAGAGTATTTGCACATGGGTTGGATTCTCCCCCCATGGAAGTCCAAGGAATCTAGTTGTTCCAGTCTTGAATTGCTGGATTTGGATGCTGCCATTGCAGGGCCATGCCACCAGAAGCTGGCCTTCTGTGACTTGGTCGCAGCACGTCGTCGCTCTGAAGGTGGTATGCCATTGCTGTTTTCCATGGCCCGTTTCAGGAAATCTGCGGAACTCATTTGGCAGTTCCATGAAATTCCATTGAGCCACCTTGATCAGGTTTAAGAACTGCGGAGAAGGTTCCTTTTGGCTCAGGTTTGCTGAATTCCGTTTTGAGGAAGAGCCCAGTGAGGCGCTGCTTATGATGTGCCTATGACAAGTGGAGTCGCAACTGAATCACGCCAGTCCCTGACACATCCAGCACTCGCATTCTTGTGCTCTACAGACTGGAGTCACCAGGAAACTCTGCTTTCGCCTTGAAGGAACATGCGGAGATGATTCAAACGGTTTCGTGTTCGCAGCCCCACAGAGTCTGTTTCTGTCCAGGGCTTGTACCTGGCCTCTATGGACTATGACCAGGCCCTATCTGCTGACCCGTGACGCTCTATATGATCTATATGGCTTAATATAATAGTTAGTATATTATTATATTCTAACTAAATGTATACAACACCCCTAAATTGCATTAAATTGCCACATTTGGGGGAAGTGCTGATCAACCATTGTATTTTAGGGGTAGCTCATTTAAAAAACACTTCTTTTATGGTAACACTCTTACCCTGCAGCACCCGAGTGAGGCCTCGGTGGCATCCATGGGTGACATGAAATTGGAAACTTTCACCGCTGCTTGGAATGTTTTGAGGGAGAACTCTATATTAATTGGATTGTATCAGGATGGGGTCGGTTCGTTTCGTTTCGTTTTCGTTTTCCAGGAACTGGATGTTTGGCGTTTCGTTTCGTGGGAGCCTACGGTTCGGTTCGCAGAGATGATCGGTTCGTTTCGTTTCGTTTCGCACTTATTTAACATATTTTCCGTTTCGTTTCGTTTCCGTTTCACACACCGTTTGTGACTTCAGTGAGTTCGCTCGAGGAAAAAATACTATATGTTGGAGAGCTTGCGGTTCAGGACGTTTTGGGAAGGATAGTAGATTTGAGAGTTTGTAAGAGCAATATGAGCAATGTCGAAAATGCTGCCTAAAACATCTTGCTCCCCCGGCGTTGGCAGAAAACCCCGTTGATGCTTTTGCTTTTTTAACGGCTCTAAAAAAGCAACTCCCCATGTAGGCGGATTTGCTTTTTCCAGGGCGGATTTGTTTTTTTCAGGGCGTGGAAAAAAACAAACGGTGTTCTCTGGTGGTGTGCAGTTTGCCAAGCTGCACATGAACCTTAAAATTGAAAGACCCGGACATGGAAACAATTCCATGCCTTGATTTGGGAGCCTAAGCCGTCCTAAGCCTAAAATATCTAGACCGGTACTCTTTCCTGTCTCTCTCCTCTCTCCGTTTTCCAGTCTTTTCTCTTCAGCAGCCAAACGCAGCCAAACTGATTTTTAAACATGCAAATGTGGCAAGGAACATCGCCGGACGAACTCAGGCAAAGAAGCTTGTGGAAGAGTGAATGGAAAATAGGCAGATGCCTGCGGTTCTCAACCGGTTTGCAACCGGTTCGTGTTTGCGGTTCGCACTCCAAACGGTTCGGTTTCCCACCGGTTCGGTTCGGTTCGTGAATATTAACGGTTCCGGTTCGGTTCCTATGATTCCGGTTCGTTTCGCGGTTCGCGGTTCGGTTCCAGAACCACACTGTTGTATATATAATTATACATGTTGTAGGCTTAGTAGGGCCTGCAGATTTGCATAGATTTTTGTTATTCATATGATCTAACTAATTGATTACATCACTTGTTCCACTGAGTCATAGATGTCACATTCAGAGAGTAGAATTCCAGTCTGCAGATTCATAACTTGCCATCCGCCAAGGCTGACTACAGCGATTTGGTGAAAATGGCGGATCAAGCGCCACACGAAAAGGTCAACATCAAGGTGGGACCAAAGTACTGGAGGCGTTTTTAAAACTCCAGGATCTCAAGGTTGCTACATGTAGTCAGGTAGTCAGTACAGACGCCTGCAGCCAGTCAAAAATGATCGAACATGTACATGAAGTTTGATTCACATTGTAAGAGCTGATTGTTGGGGCTTTTTGCAAGGCACACTCTTTGGGAGTGGCCGAAATGGTACAGCCCTGAGACTGACTGATGAAAAAATTGGCGCTCTTCTGAGCACGCGGAGTCGCGTTGCTAGTTCTTTTGTTTTGATCAGCCTATATAGTAAGAGGATGCAATCAGATGCAACCTCGATTCTGCTGTCTCGGTTTGTTGGCATTCCAGCACAATCCTTGCGCTTGTTGAGGCAGCAAGTCCCAAGCAAAAGAGGACTCTTCAGCTGTACTGCTTCTCTAAACCTTCAGAGATAAAACATATTCGGCAAGAGATCCCAAACAGTGTGGGGGGGAGTAAAAGGATAATGTGGTATAATTTGATGATGTTAATTAATTAATGTTGATGATGATGATGATGATGCTGCTGCTGCTGCTCACGACGACGACGACGACGACGATGGAGATGATGATGATGATGGTGATGGTGATGATGAGGATGATGTTGATGATGATGATGATGGTGATGATGATGATGATGATGAGAGGAAGATGATGTTGTTGTTGTTGATGATGATTTTGATGGAGATGATGATGATGGTGATGATGAGGATGAGGATGAGGATGATGATGATGATGATGATGATGATGATGATGAGAGGAAGATGATGATGTTGATGTGCAGGAGGAGGAAGAAGATGATGATGTTGAGGAGGATGATGTTGAGGAGAAAGGCCGATCCCAAGACCGGGAAGCAGACTTTGTGCGAGCCTGCGCAGTCGAAATGCACGTGGACATTTCACACACGAGCCATTTTGTGTGGAAATTTAGAGGGAAACTGGCCGAGGACACCTCCGGGGACATCGTTTTGTGCGAGCCTGCGCAGTCGAAATGCATGGAGCCATTTTGTGTGGAAATTTACAGGACAAGTACCGGACGCTGATCGCGCGACGCCCGTTTTGTGCGAGCCTGCGCAGTCAAAATGCATATGGACATTTCACAAGAGCCATTTTGGGTGGAAATTTACAGGGAATTAGCCGGACACGGATGAGAACACCTCGATTAAACACCGGGCCTTAACTGTTACTGTAAGAACCCCTCAGTGTGGCCACGCTGTTTGGGGAATAAACATTCGTCTACGCGTGAGTTTTAACAGCAACAGGCAAGGTACCAGATTGACCGGATGCCCCACGTTGAGATAATCTTGCAATCTTCCAACGGGAACTTGGAATCCTGGAATGAGTCCCGTTGAGTGATTTGAATCTGGCATTAGCCAGGATGGAGGCTGGCGCCGGCGGATTCAGGCGGATGAGCAGATCAGAAGTATATCATTTTAGCAATGCGATGTATCACAAAGATGGACATGTCCAAGATATGTATCTTTCACATCCTTTGAGATTGAAATTGAGATGTGTCACGCAGTCAAAAAGGGGATCCAATGGGTCGCCAGGGACCTCAGTACCAGGCCAGAAGAGCCCCGCGCCGAAGCGCCAAGACAAGTGGAGGAGGAGTGCAGCCAATGTGGTGCAGGTGCCAAGCTGGTTGGTACTCGTACTGCTGTGTCTAAGCGGAGTTTTGTGAGGGATGTGCCACGTCTCTGGAAACAGATCCTGCATCTCATGTAATTATCCGATATGTAGTCATATCCAATCTATACACATGATCAAATAAGTCACAATGCAAATGTATGCACATATAAACATTTTAAGATATGAAAACGCTCATAAAGTTCGGTTCATGTCAAACTTGATACACCTGTTCGCATCTCACTGCCCAGGTTACGTCGCAGAGGCTCGATTCTGCAGCCGATGTGGGCAGCGCCGGCCCTCAACGCCGGTGCAAACGCCCATGGTGGAGATGACTCTGGCGAAACCGATCCCTGCAGTGCCTGCGTGGGGTGTGCCAGGCAGCAAAGCTAGCACAGTGCAGCTGGTTTCAATAGATCACAATAGATCCCATCCCATCAATAGATCCCATGGTTAGATAGATAGATAGAGAGAGAGAGAGAGAGACACACACACACACACCATGATACACCTAAGATTATGTTGTATCCTTGACTTGAGTAGACTTTGTATGAGCAGCAGCAAAGCTGATGTATGCACAGGTAATCACAGGCATTGTTTATTGAGAGGATTTTATTATATACTATACATAATGTGTATAATGCATCCTAGGTGTTCTTATGTTCTTATAGATCCGTAGGTGTGCTGATCCACCTGAAAGGTAGCAAGATCAAGATGAGGAACACCCTGTGAGGCGAGTCATCACCACCAGCAGCCACACCCTCGTCACGAAGGTCAGCAGAGATGTGGAGGGATGGAACAGTGAAATTCCGCTGGCAGGATGAGGATGGTACTTTCTGAACAAAACACAACAAATCTCTCACCAGCTCACAGGGTGCAGCTGCAGGTCAGACGGTCCGGACGACATTCCGTTGCGTCAGATTGTTGGTGCATGCCCTAGGTCTCCCATGCGACCGAAGCCTACACTGCGCTCTGCCAATTTCCACCAATGTTGCAAATCAAAATCAATTGTCACATCGACATGACACCGAGGTCAACAGCAACTTCAACTGGGTGTTCTTCAACAGCAGCTGCAGAGCGTTCAGGACCTTCTGGTGCTGCTTGTGGCACGAGATTCCAGCCCTCCCGTGCCGCCACCACCACCGGTGGCACCTCTACCAGCGCCGGCGATGCCGGCAGAGCTGGCTGCAGCACATGAGGCGCCAGCGCCGCCGATTCTGAAGGCCTGGATGCGGATTTGGGAGATTCCGGGATGAAAGTTGACACCTCCTAAGAAGGATGGATCTAAAAGGAAAGTCTAGATTTTGATGACTGCACATAATAAGACAGCTTCAGAACCTATCGTTGCATTGCGTCCTTGATTGGTAGAAAGGTGCATGTGGAGGTTCCATGTTGTATGTGGATGCACAACTGAGGGTGACCTGAACTTCGAGGCTACCAGGGTTGCAACTCCAAGTCCCCCTGTTGTCGTGAACTTGACAGGCAGACGCTTGCATTGGCGATTCGGAGGTGAGATGTTTTGCGCATTTTTGTGCCATTTGAATTCATTTGTGCACAGTGCTATGCATTTTTACATGCCATGGCAATCTCAGAAACATGTCGAATTCACACCCTGAAGTGTTCGGCTGCCTACATCAGTGAGAGTCAGTTTTCCGCCTTAACGATTTTGCATTATGTATTAGATAGTATATTGTGATGATTCTCCGGCAGTGAGTGCAGATGGTTTCTCTGTGTTTGATCTAGCATTTTTAGTCACTCAACACCACCGGCTGACCAGTTTTGAAGGTTTCAGTGGCACATGCTGCCACCAGCCCGATTCAAAAGAGTCGGATGGTTAGCACTGGACTTCAAGCCGCCCCATTGCTTCAAGACGCTGCAGCTTTGCTGAGATATCTGAGATATCCTATGATTTCTGGTTTTGAAGTGAGCAGTGAAATCAACGTCCTGCACATTCAGTTTTAACGTTCACATGTTTGGACAGTCTTCAGCATGAGTCCTGGTGAAAGTTGATGGGCTTGCGCGGTTTTGGATTGAGGCAGTGGGTGATGCAGCTGCGGACGACAAAGTGGCATCCAAAACGCTGGAACTTCCGAAGCTGCGAGACAGCGCCGACACCGCTGGAGGACGCACAGGGAAAGCAGACTGGGATTAGCATGTGCTTACAGATGGTGGGGCTGTGGCATACCCGTTCCTGAGGGAAGTTCCACAGCTGAGCTGAGGGAAATATAGGGAAATCTGAAGGTAGGCACAACATAGCCAGTGCACTTACTCGTACTTGCTTCATTCCGTTGTGGAACGGTGATCAGAGGGGCACCTAGATGATCACTACAGAGCCGTACGCCGTACGCAAACAGCACGGTCCGAATTTTGAATCATTCAATCAAGCTCCAAGTGTTTGCAGGCCAGAGCCCACGACCGATGGAAACGGCAAGCACTTGGGCAACCATGGGTGTGCCGCGCATTATTTGCCCTGCAGATCTGTCTCCTTGCCGGTCTGAGGACGGGAAGCAATCCGATGGATTTCCTGACTTTTCAGGTTTGTGATGCTATCCTCGACCCTCCACTGCCGAGGAAAAAATGGTCGTTCTAAGAAGATAGGTCAAACAAACCAAACAATGATTCACTTTGTTCCAAACATGTATGCTTCTGGGAAAATCTCAGCACTACAGCCCGGTACACAAACCGTGATAATTTTTGGAACAACAAAAAAAATCGAAAACTATCTAAAAACTTTTGCAATCGAATTGGGGTCTCAGGATCTAGATCATGGGTCATAGATCATCCAAATTTAAGTTTGATTTAATGAGTAATTCCCTTTCACCCCTTCATGCTCTTGGTAAGTTTCCTGAAATTAATAGAAACTATTTGCCAGCAATTGTTTTCACAAATTTCAAGGGTTTCCCCTTATTATTTCAATATAAAATTTAGTACAATTTTACTATGGACCTTAAATGGCGAACTGGATTGAAATGGTGGTCTTGGACCTCAACAATAAAAGATGCCATGTGTTTGAGGCTTGGATTCGGTTGATACAAAATGAATGTGAATCGTATATGTAATTTTTGTAGTAGATACTTTGGTCCTGATTAGGGTGTCTCTTCAGGCAGCAAATTGTGCTTGACCTTGGTTGAATATAATTTTAAAGAAAGGCGCTTATCAGGGAACTTCTTCGCATAGCGCATTTTCATTGATGTTTGTAATGGGGCGACGCTACAGACTGGACATGATTGGACAATTGACTTCTCAGGGAAGGAATTTGATTCTTATAAATGGTCTTTTTCGCGAGCAACGTGGTTCGTTGGGAATAAGGGATTTCTAGAACACAAGGTATGACCCTGACCCCGTCCTTGTTGGTAGCAGCTGGGAAGGAACTTTGGCATTCAGGCGCTGTGTGTCGCTTTGTGGTAGGTTAAAACTAATCAGGAAAAAAATGGAAATCAAACTTCTGAAATGACCCAGGAACGGAGTTCGCCGGAGTTCGTCGGGGTTCGTCGGGGCCGAATTTTCTACGTGAAAATGTTGTTGCCAAAGTGGAAAAACTGGGTATAAAAATGCGATTTTACTTTCTGCGTGCTGTTTTTCCATGCGTTTTAGGGGCGAAAACGTCAAAACACACGTAGGAAATGTTTGGACATCTTTGCGCGCAAGGTTAAGTTCGTCGGAGTTTGTCGGGCTTAAAGTTTTACAGACTGCGTAAAGATCTTTACCAAAAGTGTCACGAATATTCTTTCCAAGGCCAGATTGAAACTGGAAATTCTTATTGTTCTGCTGGTCCACCTGGTTCAGTCTTATGCATTTCGGCAGACCTTATTCCCTACGAACCCGCAAGCTCGCGAAAAAACCCACTTATAAATTAGTATTTTTAGGAACCTCTTCGGCGAGCACATGTTGATTTACCTTCGTATGCCGATACTGTTGATTAACTTTGCCTGGCTTTGGTCCAAGTGCTGCTTTCAGATTCCAGGTCCAGGTGTGGGCGCACATCTCCTGTATAACACATGTCGCACTTGCACGACAATTGCATTTGTTTTTGGCCTAGTTTTAGCATGCTTCAACATGTTTTTGTCTATTTGGGTGGATTTGAGCATTTATTAGGGGGCGGGCGAAGGGAATACTTAAATGAAACCCTCTGTCCATGGAGCTTTTAAAAAGCATGGGGCCAGACCATGGTAATGGATGGTTTTATTGCCCATCACCAAGTCTACACGATTTACCAAGGGTTACCCAGGCAAGCTCCTCCCGATCACATGTGCCACCCATGGCCAATAAGTAGGGTAGGGTCTAGGGCTCAGAACTTTGCATTGAAGTCTCAGATTAGTTTGCCAAACAAATCTCTGCGGACTTTGTGGACCTTTTTTCCGTTGCGGCCGATTATGGGGCATGAGAGGGCATGAGATCTGCTGAAAAAAAAATCGGCGGAAAATTGAGATCCTGTGCCCCCGAATCGATTGCAATTTTTTTACGGACTTTGTTTTTTCTGGTTTTTCGGCGGAACTCCACTACACAAATTGTGTACCTGACTTCTGCTGAAAAAAAATCGGCGGAACTTAGTATTCAGACCGGCGGAACTCAACATCACAAAATGTGTAGTGGACTTCTGCTGATTCAATGGGTTTCCCTAGGATTTCTGCTGATTTTTTTTTTCGGCGGAACTCAACATCACAAAATGTGCGCCTGAGTTCTGCTGATCTGGGATTTTTTTCGGCGGAAATCCATAAATCTGGTGATGCATGACTACCCATGATTCCCTGCTGCATGTTTATTTCCCAATGTTAAATTTAACCTGTACTAGCCGCAATGGCAAATGATCTAGGATCCTGACTTTGAGGACCTTGGGGTTTTAAAATCGGTCTACCTAACCATGAAAATGGAATAACGCTTCTTGCTCGCGTGGGCATTTGGAATGTGAACAGTGCATGCTGGGTACATGAACATGTTTGCAGAACAGAACATACATAGCTATGTTCAAGATAAATCACAGAGATATATTTATATATGCGGAACATAAAGCAAGTCGCTGTATGTTTATGTTTGGGCTTATTGTAGCGAATTATCTATATGACTATACGTGGCTATAATTATGCATCGGTTTCATTCAAAATCTTTTAGTTAATACATAAGAAATTTTATATCTTTTTGCAATGGTTTTTGCATGTTTTTGCCATTTTCAAGTTTTCCATCACATATTTCAAGCTGAGTCCTGGCTAATGTGATTATTGACCGCAGCTGGTAACATGGTGAAATAATGAAAGAGGCCATGTGTTTGAGGCTTTAAATTAGGTGGCTACAAAATGAATGTGAAACTATATGTATTTTTTTTGTATATAGGTACTTTGGTCCTGATTAGGGAGTCCCTTCGGCAGCAAATTGTGCTTGACCTTGGTTGGATATAAACCAAAAAAATGCGCTTATCAGGGAACTTCTTCGCCAAGCGCATTTTAGTTGATGTTTGTATTGGGGCGACGCTACAGATTGGACATGGTTGGACAATATTGGACAATTGACTTCTTAGTGAAGGAATTTGATTCTTGTTAGTATTATTAGGAACCTCTTCGGCGAGCATATGTTGATTTACGTTCGTATGTCGATATTGTTGATTAACTTTGCATGGTTTTGGTCCAAGCGCTGCTTTCAGATTCCAGGTCCGGGTGTGCGCAGGCCTCTCCTGTATAACAAATGTCGCACTTGTACTATCTTGTACTAATTAATAACATACTATGGGGAGCACTAGGATATGAAGAAATACATGGCTCAATTCAGACCTAAAAGTGATGTCCCCAAGTCAAAACCAGCTGCCCCATAATCGACTGCAAAAGTTTCTAAAACAACGAGATTCCAGGATTTGCGTTTTTTTGCGTTTTTTGTTGGTTTTTGCCGGTTTTTTGCGGGTTTTTATCCCTGTTGTTTGATGCGCTGCAAACTTTTTTTTGCCTTTGTCCCACCAAGCCCAAAAAACATGCAATCAAAGTCCAAAAATCGAAAACCAAAGTAGTATCTAGGTGTTTTGGGTAAAATCAGTCGATACAGGGGTCGAGGATAATAGGCCAGTTTGTTGACCCGGTGTAATTTTAGAATTTTAGATATGTCAGTGATTGCAGGTTTGTTGGCTCACTTTGGCTGCAGTTCAGCCCTCGGCTGGTCCATGGTGTCAAGCAGGACGACCTGTCGGATGGAAGTTCCTTGGAACTGATGGCGGGCGACTTTACATTGACGTACCATGGGGACCAAATTGGCTTTTACTGAACTAATTTGTACATTGTGGAGCCAGCCAGACGCAAGACAAGTGGAGGGTCACACCCATCTCACACCTTCAATAAAGATTGTCTCCATCCGTCTCCAAAAATTCAGAGACTGGAAAGCCAACGTTTTGCAGCTGGCCTTTCTTTGCGATTCCCATTGTTCAATCCAATAAAGTGCTGAGATCGCTGGCTCCGCACCAATTCTTTGAGTGGCTTGCGCCAAAGGCGAAAGTTGCGTGCCATTGTCAGACACCGAAATGGAGCATCGTAGCATGAGTTGCTAGCATGCAGAGCACTAGAATGTTCGTGTCTGACTGGAGGGTCATATCGGATATCGGACGGCATGGCACGGTCGATATAAATAAGTATAAATTACAATCAATTATATAGGGCTGCATTTTAATGCTCCATGACGCAGGCGTCGCCGTGAAAGTGAATGTCGAATTATGGATTTCCAGTACAATAAATAATTTTGAACCGTGGTTGAGAAGAACTCTGAACAAGTCAGCAAAGTTTTTGTGGAATCCATCGTTCTGAAAGTCTACCTAGCTCATCCAACAGACAGATTTGGGAGTCGTGGAGTCACGGATAGTCTATCTCTGGGGGAGCTGTCCTATGTCGTACCAACTCTTTCTGTGTGTTTGGGTTGGTTTGCGACCTGCCAGGCCATCCACAGACGCCGTGGCGTGTATTGATAGGGGTCGTTGTAAGGACAGAACGAATCTTATTGCAGATGATACAGAATTCCATTTGCTGACACTGACTCCGATAAAAAAGACTCAAGATATCTCAAGATCACTCTTCAAAGTGTGTGAGATGTGTGAAATGAAAGAGAGGAACACAACCGACGTTTTTGTAATTTCTGTCCTTCATGTGTCAAGCGAGCAAATGCGCTAAGATGTGAGATGTGTCAAGACTATCAACGTGTGAAAGTTCAGAGCCGCTGAGACTTGACGATTCTGATGGAGCTCGTTCGGAGGAGATGAGCCGTGGTTTTATGATGTTTTATGACTTCTTTCTTGAGCCCTTGGCATGCTCAGAACAATCACGCTAGTGCCGCTTGTGAGGTAATGAACTGTATTGCACTCGCTGTGAGTGGGGCTAATTCACCAGAGAAGCAATACAGCAGGAGCGTTATGAAAATGTCCATCGCAGCAACAAAAATGAGCTCAGTTTGCTGGTTGACATGTGCTACGACTGCTATGAGTTCAAACTGAGACTTGGCCTAATATATCATCATCCCTGGGAGAGGTGTTCCAGGTTTGTTCACTTTTTCTTGTTGTGCAGCAGGACCTCTGTCGGAATTTGCTGGCTTGCGCGTTCTCTGTATCCTGCTGTATCTTGCAGGCATTTTGCCTCTATCGCTTTCAGTTTGAACAGCAATGTACATCAGACCTCGAAGCTCTGTTTAATTTCTTGATGCTTTGAGATATTGTAGGCAAGAACAGCACATTGCCTGGAGACGAGGGGAAACAAAGTACACAGAAAGACCAAACACAAAACCTGTTTCGGGATCTTGAGTCCCAAGCAGAGCCTCACGGCTATGAAGTGGTTCGGTCTTCTTCTTCTTCTTCTGTTGCCATTGCCGGCATTTGGCTGGTGGTGTGAGACGAGTGATCGTCACGGTTGCCGGGGGCAGTCGAGACATTTTGTCCGAGAGGCAGCAGTGGCAAATCCATTTTTGGTGTTCAAAGATATCAAAACAATCTACAAAGAGGAGCCCATCGTGGTGGATTGGGATGGCGATGGCGACTTAGATGTGATCTTGAGGAAGGTGGATGGACTTTCACTTTTTGAGTTCAAGTCAGGGAGGCACTTTGTGGAAGTGGAGCCCAATCCGTTCCACGGCATCCCTGGTGGATATTGCCGACCTGCCGTTGTAGACTGGGATGGGGATGGCCGATTGGACTTGATTGTCGGAGCTGAGGACGCAGCAGCAAGAGCTTTCAAGATGAAGTGGTTGAGTATTATAGTAATATAATATATATATATATACGTGTATATATATAATATTATATATAATATATATATATATTATTTACAGTTCTGCCAATGGAATCCAAACATGCATGTACAGTTTTCATATCACTTTTCCACCCGCAGAGGGTGTGCTCAAAGAGACTGTGGCTACGCCACCCGGAAAACAACTTGCTGCGCTGATCGGGGGCTTCGTGCGCTCTGATCCCAAGGGTTTGTGCCAACCTTGAAGTTGGTAGCCGAGCCGGCCTAAGTGCTGGCGACGCCCTCGACGCTGTGCCCATGGCGACTGAGGCTGCTTCGACTGGCCTGGCTCCAACAGGAGTCAACGCCACCAAGGCAGATTCCCATGTTCCTGTCTTCGACAATGTCTCCAAGAACTACCTGGAGTACCGTAGACGATGCGAGGTCTACAAGCAGAAGATGGAGATGGCAGGACGTGGGAAGGAGACCATCTTTAATCCAGTGATTCTGATGACTGGACGGTCATGGGACTGTGGAAGACTTGGATGTAGAACAACTAGCCAATGATGGATACAAGAAGGTGTTTGAAAGACTGGACAAAGGGTTTCAGTTTGACCCATTGACTGAGCTACATGGGGATTTTGAGAGGTTTTTCATTTCCCTGAATCGCCGAGCTGGACAGACCTTACAGGATTACACTCAGGAATTTACCCATGCTGAAAGGAGACTACGGACAATCCACAAGGTGGACCTTCCTGAGAATCTTCCTGAGGAGATCAGGGCTGTCTCGTGAACAGCGCTTGATGGTACTGAGCTCTGTGGGTCACGAGGTGCTGGACCTCGACAATGTCCAGAAGACCATGTGTGATCGGGCAGGACACGAAGCTGGAAGGCACTCGCTGGAGCCGAAAGGACACCGTGATGTTGCAGGACGAATCTTTTGCTTCGACACCCTGGCCTGAGGAGGGGTCATGGGACTACAACACCACGAATGAGGCGACGTACTACGAGGAGGACTACGACCAGACATGGCCGGACTATGATGCTTGCTACTTCGAGGAGTCCGGAGACATGCAAGAGAATGACATATGGAGTCTGAGATCTTCGACGTTGATGAGTATATGACCCTGAGTCTCCTAAAATAGTAAAATTTAGGTCGGCAAAAATTTACGTAAATTTTGGGATTTAGGTCGAAAAATTTACGTAAATTTTTACTTAGCTTAGTAAATATTTACTAATGAAAAACATTTAGGTATATACCTAAATTGATTTAGGTATATACCTAAATTGATTTAGGTATATACCTAAATTTTTGTCATGTTTTTTCAAGTATATAAATTAATGTTGTTCGATTGATTTTTTTGTGTTTTTGTTCTTTTTGCTGTTGGTTTTCTTAACATTTTGAATGGTGTGTCTTGTTGGCGCTGTTCAAGTGTAATGCTGCTTTACATGTTTTATTTTGGTTTGATTGTGGTGAGGGTTGTGTTTTGATGATATTTTCTGTCTAATGAACATGTTTGTTTTCTATTTGCTGTTTTCTCTGTTGGACTTGTGTGTATGTTACTTGAGCTTTTTGTACTTGGGCATGTTAGTTTTGTGTGGCTATTTGCTGGTTATCTTTGGGGCCTGTGTATGTTACTTGAGCTTTTTGCACTTGGGCATGTCAGTTGTGTGTTTACTTGTACATCTTGGATTTGGCTTTCGGTTCCTTATATGAGGGTACTGTTTTGTGTTTATTTGAATGTGTTCTTTGATGTCTTTTTTACTTGCGACAACTGATTTACTTGAGAGATGTTTCTGTTACTTGTGTGGTGTTTTTGTGTCTAGCTGTTTTTACTTGAGCATGTCCAAGTGTAAGCTGCAGACTGTGGATCTTTTCCATGGGTAGAATTTCCATGTCAATAATATATACTCAAGTAACTCATGTGTGACTCATATTTTCTTTTCTAGTTGGTCGCCATTTTGGCCTTGTGGGCGCTGAAGCCTTTGTAGAAGGTCTTGGCCTTCCTTTGACTTGGAGCATGGCTGTACTAGATGTGTTATTTCTGTTGTTTTCTGCCTTTTTTTTTGCAAATCAAATCTTCACTGATTTCCGTATGCAATTTTTGCACTTTCTTGCATATGTTATTCGATTTTTGTGCACTTGTTATGCACTTGTTATGCACTTTTTGTGTACTTTTTGTGCACTTTGTGTGCACTTTTTATGAACTTTTTATGCGCTTTTTATGTATTTCTTATGCACTTTTTATGCGCTTTTTAGGCGCTTTTTCTGCGCCCTTAAAAACCGCACAAAAAGTGTATACACTTTTTAAAAAAGTGTATGCACTTTTTATGCGCTTTTTAAAAGCACATAAAAAGCGCATAAAAAGTGCATAAACAGTGCATGAGGATTTTGACCAAAATCAACAAAAAATAACACAGAACAACATCAAAACCAACCAAAACACACCAAAACCAGTGTACTTTCATTTGAGTAATCACCAATATCGCCATCGCAGAAACATCAAAACCTAATATACTTTTTAGCTTAGTTCATAGTCATATCAAGGAAATCAGTGAAGTACCTTCCATGTTCAATAGATCACAGGTAGCACAAGTAAGGCAATTAGTCTGGCAAATATTCAACTAATAAAAAGTAATCTGCAAAGGTCTTCCATTTTCTCAAGTGCATATGTAGAAAACAGAAACAGTGCAATATCTCCAACTCCCTCAAGTAAGACATGTTTTGCTTATTGTGCCAAACCTGAACCGGCACAACAAGCAAAAACACAATGTCCATCTTTGTTTTTTTGCAGAAAATCACCCAAATGGTGTTTTTGGCTGATTGCACCGCACCTGGCCCGATACTATTCTTATACAAGAACACCAGCTCCATATATTTTTCGGGGGACATCATTGGCATGGTGTTTTTGCTTATTGTACCAGACCTGACTTGGTACAATAAGCAAAAACACCATTACAATATGTAATCAGCCAGAATCCCAAGTAACACTCAAGTAAGGCATGGGCCACAAGTAATCAGCCAGGTCCTCAATACACTAGATGGTGATGGCAAAAAATGCACCAATGATTTCACTTGAAACCACTTACTTGGGTCTTCTTACTTAAGCCATTATATTTGAGCATTGTCTTGAAGTCCTTTTGTTTAAAAACATCTTCAATGAGTACAAGTTCCTTGGGCATGGTGGGCTACTTTCTTACATGAGCATGTTATATACACCTCAAACTTGTACCAATAAAAGAACAAATCATAAACCTGAATGCATTGATTCCATCTCAAAATTTATGTTTTCCAAGCATTTGTGTTAACTAGTGTTGTATGTTTTTCAACGAAACCATGACCAAAAAACAGCTTCAAAGAAATGAAGAAAAATTAGGTATCAACCTAAATTTGATTTAGGTATATACCTAAATCAATTTACTAATTTTGTCTTTTTAAACTTCTGTTTAACCTAAATTCTTCGATTTACGTAAATTTTGAAAATTAGTAAATTTACTATTTTTGGAGACTCAGGGGACAACGTCCTGGCAAACTTCGTCGAAGCACGTTCCAAGCTGAACCAGGCCGAGGATTCTACCGTTGCTCTGGTGGATCCCAACAACATGAGGAGTGGGTCCAACAAGGGCAAATCCAAGGGCAAAGGCAAGTCGAAGAGCAAGGCGAAGGGCCGAGGCTCATCTCCACCGCAGAAGGGAGGTGCCAAGGCTCGTGGCAAAGCACTGTTTGGAGGTCGTCAGATCTGTGTCGGGTACGGTGCTGCTGGACATCAAGCCAGAAAGTGCCCTATAGTCAAGGAGATCAGAAGAGAAAGATCGAGGATGGAGACGAGCGATCCACATGGTAGAGGAGACATCGATAGAGGATGACGAGATGATCATCATGTCCGATGTGGCGGTGCAGGACGGGGGGGCTGCATCTTTCCTTGGGTCTTACGCCAAGATCAGGGGGTACATCTTCTACCTCAATGGACAAAGGGCTACCCGATCAACAAGATCGAAGTCTTTGCATGCAAGAAGGGCTTCAAGTATGGCAATTCCGAGAAGGAGGTGGCCACTATACATGCTTGATGCTGCCCATCTTTGCTGGACACAAACGACGGCATGTGCTACGCTACGCAGTTCGAGGTACTTGTCCAATTCTCATCGGACGACCACTGCTGGAAAAGCTTGGCCTGATGGTTGACTTCAGCACCAGGCAATATCGATGGGAAGGACAACAATGGAAGCCGGTGATTTTGGGCCGCAAGAACGGGTACCTGATTCGACTTGCAGAGAACTACAAGGAGCTGATTCGAGAAGAACCGGAAGTGCTGATTCCGGACGATCATGAGGAGCACATCGACTTTACTCGGAGGTTAACTTTAAAATTGGATCACATCCTGGTCGATGAGCCAGGAGCAGAACCAGCAAGCAGCTATTGGCATGGCTGATGAGGAGGACGCCAACAACAGGGACACCGTCACCAACGAGTGTGCCAACTCGCCCCTTGACATGATGCCACCTGATGAGAGCGGTGCATTGCCCCCTGGGACATGCATGAGGGAGAACCCAATCGAGATGAGAAGGGAATTCCCACAGAATTCATCTACGCCTTGAGAGACAATGCGACCACAAAGAGATTGAGGCCGCAGATGCTGACAAAGATGATTCACACGGCAGAGCAAACTCGAGACAAGCTGAAGAAGGAGATGACGAAGGCTACAGTGGTTGATCAAGGAGTCTTAACACCGAAGAGAAAGATCTGGGAGGTCTACGTTGGTCGTGAACGAGTTTCAGAATGTCTTCGACGACGAGGTGACATCGATGTCGAGATCTTCAGCGCAGGTTGGGACTTTGACAAGGCAAGTGATCGAGCGAGGTTCTTGAAGAGGCTGAAGGAGGAAGAACCCGACGAGGTGCTCATCGGAACGAGCTGATCAAGAAGAGGCAGTGAGAGATCACGACATCCACCTGACCTTCACATCGGTGGTCTATGAAGCTCAACGACGAGCTGGACGGCATGCTACCACTGAACATCCCTACACCTGCCGAGCTTGGAAGACAAGGGCATACAACAGGATGCGTGGATTTGACTGTTACGTGGACCAGTGCGGTTATGGACTTATGCTGCCTGGTGACCATGGACAGTGGCATCCTGCAAAGAAGCCTGCCACTTTTCGAACGACCAAGAAGTCCCTCTACGACAAGCTGTGGAGGAAATGCCCTGGATGTCCCTATCATGTTCCCATTGAAGGGAGCGCCCGTGGCTTTGGCAACCGATCTTCCATGGCTGAGGACTATCCCCAACGACTTGCCAAGAAGCTGGCAGATCTCATGGCTGAGGAGCCTGCTGAGGAGGATGGCGACCTCATCATGGCTGTCCCGGAGGTTTTGCCACCACTGGAGGACGTTCCCATGGAAGAGGAGAAGAAGCCGGAGATTGGACCAGATGAGGCCATCATACTGAACTCCCGACTGAGATCAGAAGTCGGTGCACAGGCATATACAACTATGTGAAGCGACTTCACAAGTCGCTGGGACATCCACAGCCATCTGTGCTGAAGAAGATGCTGACAGAGGTGCAGGCGACTCTCGATGTCTTGAAGGCTGCAGAGGAGTACATATGCCCCGCCTGCTACCATCGAAAGCCACCCTACTCAGTTCCTGCCGCTGGACTTACGGCACGGAACTTCAATGACAGGGTGATGGCTGACTCTGCATGGATCGACACTGAGGATGGCAGAAAGTGCGTGGTGACTTTCTTGGACCATGCAACAAGGTATGTTGCCATCAGGATTCTGAAAACAGAACGCTCTGAGGAGTTCGTCAAGGGCTTGGAAAGAGTATGGATCAAGGCTTTTGGAATCCCACAGATCCTGCGAGTCGACGGGGCCAAGGGATGGAGCTCGAAGTACATCCGAGAATGGTGTGCTGATCGAGGCATTGCTCTGGAAGTTGCCCCTGGTGAAGCACACAACTGGCTTGCCCCTGTGGAGAGGAAACACCAGGTGGTCAGAAAGGCACTTGAGCACTACATGCACGACAGAGGAGCCTTCAACATCAAGACTCTTGAGGAGGCGCGCATCTACGTCCTGCACCAGATCAACAACATGTCTATGGCGAAAGGTTTCTCACCGGCACAATGGGTTTTTGGCAGAACCCCAGCATCAACTCACTCACTGCAGAGCTCTTCAACCCTGGATGTGATGCTTTGGATGACCCAACCAAGTTTGCCGACATCCAGAGGAAACGTGTCGCAGCCCAGAAGGCATGGATCAACGCAGACAGCCATGCCAAGCTTCGCTGTGCCATGAACAAGATCTTCCAGGAGGTCAAGGACGATGTGCAGATCGGCCAGAAGGTTTGGTTCTGGCGCAAAGCTGGCACTGGGATTCTCCAGAAGGCAATGTGGCGTCGTGGACCTGCGAGAGTGGTTGCAAAGGAGGTCGATGAGGATGGGAAGGTGCTGATCTTGTGGCCGACCCACGGCACCAGCCTGGCACTGGTGAGATGCTCTCCACTGGTGGAGGAGCAAGGTTCCATCACAGCCGCAGATCCTGAGGCTGCATTGCGAGATCTACAGTGGCTGAGGGCAAGGAGCACAACTCAGTTGAAGGACTTGACATTGGCATGATCAAGAACCGCAAGGCGAACATCAAGGATGAGGACATCGCAAAAGATTCGAAGAGTGCCGTCATCATCGACGCGAGAGCGCTCTATGACGCGATCAACAAGGAGACCATACAGTCATCCATGGACAAGAGAGTGGCAATGGAGACGCTGGTGGTCAAAGATGGACTGCAGTTCACCAACTCTGACCTGCGCTGGGTATCGTCAGAACGCCAATTCGCGGACGGTTTGACGAAGATTGGACGACGACAGCAGATGAGCGACCTGATGAGAGGAGGCTTCATCCAGCTGATCTACGACAGTTCCTTCAAGGCTTTTTGAAGAAGAAGAAGAAGAGCATCGAAGAGAGGAGAGAGATCAACAGAGTGGAGCTGATGGAACAGCAACTGACGTCGCTGTCCTGGCTAACTAACAAGCTTGCCGAGTACGTCATTTCACAGAATGACTGCCCCGACTTTGTGATCTATGCAGCTTTCGCATTCCTCTTTGTAATCCTGCTCTTCACCATCTACATGATTGCCGAGCTCATCACTCCAAAGAATGCCAACTACCAGATCGGAAACCGAGATGTGGTGGGTCAGTCAATTCAGACTGAACGTGGCGGTGAAACAAACATCGCAACCATCACCTATGATGAGCAAATGCAGCTTGGGGCCTACATCGGCCAACTCGAGGGGCGATTGGACAAGTATACAAGGGAGAGATTCAGGCCAACCTGGCCGACTACGTGGATCACATTGACGAAATGATAGTTCGTCACACGCAGGAGATCAAACAGCTGGAGCTTTGGGTGACAAACAACGGCGATCGCTGGCACGATCGAAAAGACTGCCCAACCATAATAGCTGAACGAAATCCCAAAAGGCTGACTCACTGCAAACGCTGTGGCAAAGGGACTTAAGGAAAACCCTTTTCTCCCTGTCTGTGAAGTTTCTGCCAGAAACATGTTAATCATCATGGAATCCAAACATACATGTACAGTTTTCATATCACTTTTCCACCTGCAGAGGGTGGGCTCAAAGAGACTGTGGCTACGCCACCCGGAAAACAACTTGCTGCGCTGATCAGGGACTTCGTGCGCTCTGATCCCAAGGGTTTGTGCCAACCTTGAAGTTATATATATATATATGATAATATAGTCGTGATAGAAAGTGTTAGATGATGTTAGATTATTTTGGATGATGTTAGATTATTTTAGATGTATGAAGGGCTCATGCTCAGACAAACTATGGTTTGCGAGATAGTGTGCCCAAACTGGTTGGTATTTACCATTGTTTTAGTGCGTTTTTTCATGCAAAACTGTGACCTGTGAAAAGTAGGAATGGCCCAGTGGTACTGATCGCACTGTTGCCCCAATCTTTGTGTTTTTTCCTGGCCAGGATGGAATCAAATACTACCAGAAGCAGAAGGGGCTAGGCTACAAACTTCATCAAAGACTAGGAGCGGAAAACCCCTTTGAACACATATGGACGCTGAATGGGGTTTGTTCCGACATCTCCATTGGAGACTGGGATGGTGATGGCGACTTGGACGTTCTTCAATCTAATCTCGGCAGTCCTATGCAATACTTTGAGCAATCCCAAGGCCAGCTTGTGCTTCGAGAGGGACCGAATATATCCGATTGCAGTAGCCCATTCTGTGTAATTGCAAATCAAACACTCACACATAGACCTATCATGGCAGATTGGAATGGAGATGGAAACATGGACATGCTGTTGTTGGCAAAGGTCTTTGACAGGAGGTCAAATCTTGATGGCTCAGACATTGCTCAGTCCCAGTGCACTTCTTATTTGTATGAACAACACAAGATTGGCGGAAAGACAACTCTGGTGTTCAAAGACGAGCCGTTTTTCCGGAATGAAGGGTGCAGTTCATTTGATGGCTCTGGTGCATCCTTTGTAGATGTGGACGGGGATGGTGATTTGGATGCAATCTTTGGGTCGCACGATGGGCCATTGCATGTCTACAACCGCACTTCTGCAGGCCTCGTCAAGTCAAACGAATTCCCGTCAAATTCAACTCCGCTGGACATGATTCACTTAAAAAATCTTTACGACTACCATGGTTCGACACTCAAAACAAATTTCCTCCACCCAGTCCTTGCGGACTGGGACTTGGATGGTGACCTTGACCTTGCTTTGCTTCATCCACTGGGTTTCAAACACCCTGAAGAGAATCGTTACTTTCTTCATCTGCCAGACAACACAGTCACAGAGCTGAACGGGCCGCCAAACAGCTCGTGCCCGATCGACTGGGGCAAGCATTTCAGCGTGGCTGATTTTGATGGAGATGGAAAGGACGACCTTGTGGGTTTCGGCGAACTTGTGGGTTATGGCTTTGTTGGCGTTGTTGTCTGTCTTCAGACTTCTTCTGGCTTTGTAGTGGTAGAGCCTGAGAAGATCCCTTTCAACTATCTTCCCCATTGTTCGCAATGCTTGACAAATCTCTCCTACTACTGGCGTGATGGCATTCTCGGTTTCCCGTTCTTCCTTGACTGGGATGGCGATGGGGACATGGACGTCCTCAGAAAGGATCTGGCAGAGAAGGCCTGCACGTTTGTTTCCATGCGAAGCAGAAATCCAAACACAAGGCTATCCATTTTTTGAACACATATGCTGCTATATTATATAGATGTTTTCATTGGTATGTGCCAACTAGATTTGCGCACGTTGGGTGTGCAAAGTCCGACACTTGTTTTGCTCATCCCTTTTTCCCCAAACAATGTTGCGGTTCTTACCGTAGTGGTTAATTAAGGCCTGGTGTTCATTCGAGGTGCGTGTTCGCCTTTTTTGGTGACCGTTACAGCACAAGAGTTCCTCCATCTTCCGTTTTCGAAGGAAGTCTCGCACGAAATGGTGTCCTAGGGAGAGGGCTCTCTTGCGAAGGTCCCGGTCGTTTTGAATCCCGACGTAAGATTTCCTTGGGTCGGGATTCGCGAGCCCGGTTTTGTGCGGCCCATCCGCAGCCGTCCGCGCAGGCAAGCTCGCTGATCTCCAGCGGCTTCTTCTCCCCACCCGTTTGCCGTCCGCAGCCGTCCGCGCAGCCAAGCTCGCTCATCCCCAGCGGCACCCATTTCCAGCCACTCCCTTGCACCGACGCCGTCCGCAGCCGTCCGCGCAGCCAAGCTCGCTCATCCCCAGCGGCACCCATTTCCAGCTACTCCTGGAGATTCCATTGTAGCACTTTTTTCAGGCAAACCCCTGGTTGGATACACTTTCTGCCATCCCTGAGCTTTTTTTGAGGGTCTGCGCACTTTTTGGGGGGTTCAATGGATATGAACACTTTTTGGGGTTCAAACCCATTTTACACCTTTGGATCTACTAAACTCTTGGAGAAATCAAAGAAGTTAGCCCACACTCAAGCTGTTGGAAGCCAATCCTGGAAGCGAATTTTGCATCTAAATTAGCATCTATATCTCCTAATTTATGCTTCCTGGGGAGGATGCACATTGGGACTAAGCTCAAAAGAATTGATTTTACATATCTTGTCTGTGTTTTGACATTTTTTGACGTTTTGGCCAACTTGGTACCCCGCAATCGGGGCGCAATTTCGCGCAATCAGGGCGCAATTTCGCGCAATCGGGGCGCAATTCAAAAAGTGTACGGGCACTACTGACATTTGCCTCCCAAATGTGGATATTCAATAGCTTAAGTGTCTAGTTCGGCCCATCCAAGTGAATTTGATGACTTACTTGCAGCAGCGGCGAATGATGTTGATTGTTGAGAGCCTAAGTAGCGTGATCCCAAGCATAGCGTGATTGTGTCAGCGTATGTTGCAAGAATCCTTGGGGATCCGGCTGTTTGAACATGTGGGGGCGCCCAACAAAATGAAACAACCAAATGAGCACTTTTAGAACTTTTTTGGAAATGAACGTTTTTTGTTTCTGAGCACTTTTTAGTGTATCGAAGGAAGGTTCAGGTTCTTTATATACAGTATATATGACGCACCGTCCATGCAAACTAACAGCCGGGCTAGAAGTTAAGCTTAAGGAAGTGTGTTGCCAAAAATGACAGTCAAGAATACAAAAATATCACTTTTGTTGTGTTCTATTGCGTGGTCTCAGTTTCAGTCGAAACCCGTCGAAACCCTTCGAAAAACTGGAGCCCTTTGAAGACATGGTTTTGAGAACGTGGACAAAAATCAGCAACATTGCTTCCGTATGTGGCAGACATGTCACTGAATGTTGCTAACATGGATCCTCAGGGTTTGTGCATGTCCTCTCGATGTGGCGCGGTGCTCATTTTGAGATCGCTCGCGCAACCCTCTCGGCACTTTGGGTTTGCTACATAGCTCTCACATCTTGCTGTGGCGCGGTGCTCATTTTGACAAGGAGATCTTGCGCAGCGATCTTGACAAGGAGGTCTTTTCTAGAGAGCCTGCGCGGAGGTCTTGCCTAAGAGACCTCTTATTGGGAGCTTGTACAGAGATCTTGCCACAAGACCTTTTAGAGAATTAGAGACATCCTTTACAGAGACCTTGCAAAGGGGTCTGTTGAGATCTTGCCAACAGGTCTCTTACACAGGACACCTCTTATAGAGAGCTTGTACAGAGACCTTGCCAAGAGACCTCTTATAGAAATCTTGCACCGAGGCCTTGCATAGAGATCTGTTGGGATCTTGCCGAGAGGTCTCTTATCTTACATAGATCTCGCTAAGAGACATCTTATAGAGAGCTTGTAGAGGGATCTCCTACATAGATCTTGCCTAAGAGACCTCTTATAGGGATCTTGTACAGACATCTTGCCGGGAGATTTATTTTAGGGATCTTGTGCAGAGACCTTGCATAGGGATCTGCTGAGATCTTGCCAACAGGTCTGTTACACAAGACACCTCTTATAGGAAGCTACTACAGGGACCCTGCCAAGAGACCTCTTGTAGAGATCTTGCCAGGAGACCTCGTTCAGAGACCTGTTGCGATCTTGCCAAGAGGTCTCTCACATACATCTTGTCAAGTAACCTCTGAAAGAGAGCTTGCAGAGAGATCTCCTACAGAGATCTTGCCTAAGAGACCTCTTTTAGAGATCTTGTACAGAAATCTTGCCTAAGAGACCTCTTTTAGAGATCTTGCCAGGAGTTGCCAAGAGGTCTCTTACATAGATTTTGCCAAGTAACCTCCCATAGAGAGCTTGTAGAGAGATCTCCTCAGAGATTTTGCCAAGAGACCTCTTATAGAGGTCTTGTATACACAGAAATCTTGCCAGGAGACCTCTTGTAGAGATCTTGCCAGGAGACCTCGTTTAGAGACCTGTTGTGATCTTGCCAAGAGGTCTCTTACATAGATTTTGCCAAGCAACCTCTCATAGAGAGCTTGTAGAGAGATCTCCTACAGAGATCTTGCCAAGAGACCTCTTATAGAGGTCTTGTATATACAGAAATCTTGCCAGGAGACTTCTCAAAGAGGTCTTGCCAGTAGATCTCCTAGAGAGAGCTTGCAGAGATAATCTGAACGGAGAACTGATTCAGAGATCCTTTGCAAAGATCTGGCCGGGAGATGTTTTTGGAGAGCTTGTGCAGAAAACTTACCAAGAGACCGCTTGTAAAGATCTTGCACACAGGCCTTGTGAAGAGAACAAAGATCTTGCTAAGAGATCTCTGGTAGAGAGTTTGAACAGAGAGATCCCTTACAGGGATCCTTCGTGGAGATCTCTTATAGACACCTTGTGCGGATAGCCTCACAAAGGGATCTTGCAGAGCAGCTTCTACAGAGAACCTGTCAAAGAGATCTTGCGCACGATCTTCTACAGGGATATCTTCACAAAGGGCACCTGGCATCTCTTCGTCATGCTCCTTGCAATACTGTTTGAGGTCTCTTGCCGAGATAATTTTGAGTTTGAACCTGGTTATAGCAAGCGCAATCTTAAGGTGTTAAAGCGCCAGGTGCGCCCAGCAATTGTGTTTCAAAGTCCTTGCAGGTCTATCTGTACCAGCAGTTGCCCAATGGCACAGTTTTCGCCCATCCTCTCCCCCTTCCCTCAGCGCGTGACTTTTCAGCAGCAGATTTTGATGGAGACGGTGATGTTGACATATTGATCATCCCACCCAATTCAGACAACTGTTTGTATTTCGAACGACGTGGTGACGGGAGCCTCGAGCAGTTGTTTGGCACTGACAACCCTTTCAATGGTGTGTGCAAGCGAACTTATGGGAACCCCCTCAGTCCAGCCGATAGCCTTTATGCTTCGTTGGGGGACTGGGATGGAGATGGTGAGAAAGACTTGGTTGTGGTAGATGATTTCAAAGTGACTTTGTGGACAAACCGACCAATGCAAAGTTTCGTCGAAGTGATCGAAAAGGACAGCCCATTCGGAAAGTTAGGTTTCCCCAAAGCAGTGGAGGTGAGTCTCGTGGATGTGAATGATGATGGAAGGTTGGATGTAGTCGTTCCGCCGCAGAACCGGGGTTTGACATCTGTTAGGGGGTACGAAACATACAGTTTTTTTGAACATGGAACCAATGGAATCCTTGTAGAGCAGCTCGGTGGAGCGAATCCGTTTGACAAGGTAGCCCACAACAAAACTAACAATGCCATCGCCGATATCTTGAGATCTGTAAAACACCAAATTGTGGATCTCGACGATGATGGAGATTTGGACATAGTTCACGGAGATCTGCAGTACACACGAAATGATGGCGGTCATTTCACATATTTGAATCGCTCTGACCCTGATCACCCGTTTCGGGGAGTCGAAGACACAGAACTATCATGCTGGACCTTCGTGGATTGGGATAAGGATGAGGACCTTGATTTGGTGCAAGCCTATCGGCCTGGAGGGAAGACTGTGCATGAAGCCGCTGCCCACGCACAGTGGGCAACCACCATCATTTTGGAAATGTTGCACAATGGGACCAGCAGAGCCGAGAGACTAGCCTGGTTTCAAAAGAACGTGTATCGCCAAATGCGCTTCTATCGCAACGTTGGCGGGAGCTTCCAAGAACTCACTGGGTCGGAAAACCCTTTCCATGACATTGCCTTCGGTATGGATCACTTTTCGTCGTGCCCTACCTTTGTGGACCTTGACAAAGATGATGTTTTGGAATTGGTCCTCGGAACCACAGATGGCAACCTGACCCTATCCAGCCATCCTTCGTTTTTCATTCAGGTTTTGCATTTAAACATATTTAAACCCTCTCCAGTGTCTTTGGAATTCTTTATAGGTCCCTTTTTTATCCATTTTTTGTTGTTAAAAAACAGCCGGCACAAGGAAAGCTGCAGTACTTTAAGCAGCAGAACGGCAGTTTTCAGCGCATTGAGGAGACGCCGTTTGCTGACTTACTCATAAAGGGTACCTTCGGCGATGCGTATGGTATCATCCCTCGCTTCGTAGATTGGGATGGCGATGGTGACATGGACTTGGTGATCACAGGAACAGACAAGGTGCAATTCTTCCAGCGTGGCGTTTGCAAGCCCTCTGCCTCATACTGCAAATCTGGGGTCTGCAATCAGCGCACATCGACATGCACATGTGATGCTGGCGCAGAAGGACAAGACTGCAGCCTATGTAGCAACTTCTATGTCCGTGAGAAGGACCAATGTAGGCCGTGTCCTGGCCACCATGAACTGGCAGGTACTTGCAGCCGTCGAGGCGAGGGAGGGTTGAGGAGGCAATTCTGTGATTGGTGACGCCTGCATACTATTGCGTCTGGTTTTTTTTGTCTAGTAACAATGTGGGCATGTAACATAAATGATTGTGAGTTTGTGAATATATGAATTGTATAGCTTATAACTGTAACATATAACTTTTATGAATATGTTGACACCGATTGGTAGAATGGGACTGAATATGGCTGAAAGAATCATTTAGTCTCCGCAAAGTCGTGGTACTCACTAGTGGCATTTCGTTTATAAGACCAGATTTTTCAGGAGCACCTTCCCGAGACTATCCCAAGAGTCACTATACTCCTGCTATCTCCTGCAGTTTTCAAAGAGGTACTCCTTGAACCACCCAGATTCTGAATAATGCAATTGTTTGGGATGTAATTACTGACAATGTCAAGGACCTTCCTGAGAATTTTGTGTGAATCCCAAAAGCCGCCACTCCCCAACTACTGCTTTTTGTATCTTACTTCGCATTGATTCCAAAGAATGCCAGGGTTTCCAAAGAAGAATAAGAAGCAGAAGAAGGAAAGGGAAACGTTAAGTAAAGAAAGATGTGATCCGACGTTTTAGAAAGCAGCGTGCTCCTTGAAGATCCTCTCCACCATCACCCATGAGCCCAACAACAAAGGAAAATGAATTGAACATAGACTCATCCTGCTTTTTCCCACGCAGTGTTCCGTAGAATTTTGATGAATTTTGCGTTTGTACAGCTCCCCGCATTTTTCAATCGGGGTGACACCATCTAAATCAAATCAGCAGCCAACAGTATAGATACTGTACTTGATATGTGTATCTCTTTGTGTTCGCTTGTTTGGCCAGGTGTTTGTGAAGATGATGCAGATGCAAGAAACAATAGGCTTGCGAAGAATCTGACCGGCTTCGAAGTGACTTCTGCTAGAGGAACTGGCCAATGCACATGTTCGAGGCCATTTTTTGGGCACGGCTGCGAAGAGGGGCGGTGTCCTCCAGGAGAGCGTTTGGACAGACATGCAGAAGCGGACATGGCTACCGAAAAGTACAAGTATGTTCAGTGGGAAGCTTGTGCGCCGTGCGAATCTGGCAAATTCAAAAATTTCTCGGGCAACGAGGAATGTTCTTTTTGCTCAGATGGCCATGTGCCACTGAACCGCACCAGCTGTGTTCCTTGTGCTTCTGGCACTGTCTCATCTCGAGACCACCCTGAGACATGTACACCTTGTCCTGAAGGCTCTGTCCCAAACAGACAGACGAATACTTGTGAGGAGTGCACGGGTCCAACCTACGCATTTGAAGGAGATGAGTCTTGCAGGAGGTGTTTCTTTCCAGCTTTGATCTTGACGGGCGACGAGAATTTGTGTACCCCAGTCTATACGGTGCTCTTTCTGTTTGCATCTATCCTCTTGGCAGTCTTTGTCTTGGCGATCGTCGGAAGGTTGCGCGTTGAATGTCTCAAAAGGCGACTCAAGAAACTAGTTGCCGCAAGGAATTGGAAGGATTTGCATACCACACAGGCCAGACCACTGGAATATGGCCTTTGGCAGCGTAGGGCCTGCAAGCTGCTTGCGCTTCGCAAGGCTGAGGTGAAGTCGCGATCTTTGCAGCTGGGTGTCTCTCTCGACTACGTCTTCGGCAAGCTGGAGAATATCTACAAGGAGAAGGCACAGCAGGCCGAATGGCGAGTCGATGTATGGGGCCCAACGACACGGAGCGGTTTCTTCGTGAGGGTTCGCAGCAGTGGAGATGCAGTTGATCCCGAGTCTGCTTGGCCTACGCTGTCTATTTGTGATCACCCAGAAGACCCAAATTTTCATCAGGTAGCCGCGCTGTTGGCTTACGGACCATGGGCTTTGGGCAAGGGTCTGTGCTGCCCACGTGATGGGTTGGCAGATTGCAGCCTTGTCGACGCACTGGAAACGGAATGCAACAGCGCAAAGGCGACTTGGTTCCTGTCGTGGGTCTGGAACTACAAATTCACTACTGTGCTGAAGGCCCGGTTCTTTCTGGCTGGATCTCACACTGTTCGTGCTTTTACCCCAAAATGCTTGATTAAGCTTTGGGTTCTTGGCAAGTTCCCGGCAATGGGTTTCTGCAAGGTTCTGTTCCATTGAGACAAATTCGAAGATGAGTCTTATTCCCCGTCTTTTCTTCCAGACTGATCCAGCTACAGTACTTGCAGCACTAATGGTAGGGAAATAATTTTACTTGCATAATGCTGCATAATTATTTATTTCAATTTTCAGCATCTTTCAACTCTTCACGTTGCAGGGTCATGACTTGATCTCATACATTCTCATTTTGTGTTCTTGAGTACCAACCAGACTGCCGTGCGCTAGTAAGACATTCGCAACTTTGTTCCAAATTTGAACACCTGTTTTGCTGTTGAAATATAACTCAAGCACCTTAAGCTTCTTTTTGTTGGTCAAACTCGCTGGTTCTCTTGATGCCATGGATTCTAAGTCTTTTGCCATGTTGGCTTGTGTCCGTCCAGGCTCTCGCACGGTGGTGGCAAAGGCATCGCATGGTCTTAGGAGCAACAGATGATGGAAAGGGCATTTACATCTGGTGGTGTTTATTCGTCAACAATCAGTTCCGACTTTTGGAGGAGGGCCAGACACAAGACACCAACGACTTCTTCCATGTCTTTGGCCAACAAGTGGAGGGTATTGGAAAGATGCTGATGTGCTTGGACCAAATAAGAGGAAGCCAATACACATCGCGTATTTGGTGTATCTTCGAGGTTTTCGTAGCGTGTCAGAGGCGAGGCCGGGCTGTTCATGGTATTTTTTATAGACCTTTACGGTCTTTGACATGTTTAATGTTTCTCTCTTTTCCAGTCTTAAGTTTCATTTATACTTTAATTTGCTTTACCAGGCATTAATGTTACACATCTTACACTCGTTTGCCCACCATCCATATGCTTGAAATTTCCTTGAACTTAGTCGGTGCTTGGCAGTCATGGTAGCTTGTGGACTTCATGCGATTTTTTGAACAGCTGAATAAGCTACAAACCTTCAAACTGAATCGTAGCGTCGTGGCTACGGAGTCACCCAGCACTAGTGGTGACCGGTTTCCTTCAGGTTCGTATAGGTTGATGCATGTTGGACCCTGACAGGAGCATTCCGACCACTGTCATTCTACCTGAGCTGGAGGTTGGTGCCATTGAAACTTTGGAGGACCACTGGGTTTCTTTGGTCGCCCCAGGCCAGAAACAACGAACTCTAGTTATACCATGTTATACCATATACCCGGATCAACGACTCAGGTGTAGTGACTAGATCAAGCAAAAAACATTTGCAATGTGGGAATTGATTTGGGTACTGGGCAAGTTGTATGTAAATGTCGCCAGCAACTGATCTCTACAATTCAGAAATTAATTTGGTTGCTGGGCCAGTTTGGGGGCCGATTCAATGCAATTTCAGAGCTGTTTCAGTGGACTGGTTTTGCTTTCTAAAGTATAAAAAATAGATGTTCAGATGCGATGTTTCAATACAATACCTCTGTTCCTAGCCTTCAAAATTTGAACTTCAAAATGCCACCAAACTTTGAAGGACTTGACCCAACAATGTCGGGTTGATGCTGAGAAGGCTGGATTGACGTCCAGGGTCTGAAAGCGCTTGTGGGTTCCACAAATTGATCTTATACGACGCCGTACGATACTGTAGTAACCACAAGACAGACATCATCATGGCATGGCACATCTTCTATAATATTCCGGGCATCTTTTGTCAATCCTTGTCCAGGTACACTGGAAGATCTCTCCTTCACCAATTATCCATTCTTCAGGAACTATTCTTCAGGAACTATCCGTCTATATTATTCGGGAACTACGGTTCAGGAACTGACAATCCCCGGTTCAGGAATTCTTGAGGAACTATTCTCCAGAAACTATTTTGTACTGTATGAACCAGGAACTAACCCCGCCCTACAATACAGTCCACTTTGTTTAAGGTTTTTTGTGTTTTTTTTCCCCAAGCTGTGTCCAAAAACGAAATTCTGCCGAGTGCACATTTGATTGGGAAGGGTGACGTTCACATTGTATCATGTCATATGTCATCACATAGTTCCCGCGAAAATCCCCAAGACATCCCAAGACATGTTTTAGTTCCCGAAAGGTTTTTGTAGTTCCTTAAGAACCTCTTTCAGTTCCCGAAGAAAACGGCCACCAGATGACTACACTCCCACAAGGTTTCAAAGAAAAACGTTGACGCGCAGGCGAAAGCTTCAGTCCAAGCAGATGCAGATGCCATTAAAGAACGTATCCAAAAAGAACACCAATCCTTCGAGTATGTGAACAAGACAGTGGAGCAAGCCCTTTGGTGTGAAGTCACCAAATTCCTGGAGCAGTCTCAACAAGAACCCGAAGAGATCGAGCTGTCAACACAAACGCCTCAAGACTCGGACCTGTCGACCAGCTCAGCTCCTGTTTCAGCCATGCTTTCTGCCGACTCGCAGTGCAGTCTCCAATGATTTACAGGCAGAGAGCCGAGAAAACGGCATTGGCAGACCATGATGGGTGAAACCTCAAGATCCGACAAGGCTCAAGTGCTCAAGTTTTGCAGTGACCGAGCTGACTCGACCCTCGGTCAGTATTTTCCGAGCCACGGGCCTTAAACTTTTTAAGCTGCTGTCAATCCTGCACATGGCTTGACTTTTAGTCTTTGTTGTCTAGCCTCGGCCGCACGGCTACCTTGCACGTGGGTTGAATCTGAGTCTTAAGATTTGGGTGAATAGATTCGTAGTCAAGGAAAATCAAGAAATAGATCGAATTTGCAAGTTGATTTTCAGAAACATTCGAAAAAAGGTTTCAGCCAAGAAACATGTTGCATTCAGAGTTCTCGATCGCAAGAAACATTGGATGGTTTCATGGCAATCCTTCTGATATGAGAGTGCAACCAGGGTTTGCGCAACTGGGCACAAACACGATCCAAATATGTCAGCATTCGTTTTATCATTGGCCGAGACAAGGTAGGTGATGCGCCGCAATCCCATTTTGAGTAGAGCTACAATCGCTCTCATTGCAATTGGAGACAACCCGTAACCTATGGGGTCTCAGCTTAATTCACAAGCCATGTCGGCGAATTTTGCAGCACGGTCTAAGTCTAGGCCAGGAGGCGTGTCTTCCAGACCCCGAGCAAGGTTTAACTTTTTACTTTTAAATTTGATCCGTCCTTTCTCGCAGAAAAATACAGGAAACAAATGGAAACAGCAAACAAATGCAAACAGTTGAAAGATGCTGAAAGAGCGAAAAGGGTAGCTTTTCTGCTCTGCGCAGAAAGGGCCGGCGGCGCTCGCTGGCAGGAAGGGAAAAAGGTAGACAAGCGCATGCGTTTACTAAGCAGCCAGTCGGCCGCACGTCGGCAATGTCATGGCTGCACGAGTCAATTTGTCCATATCTGTCCAAAATCAAGTAATGGCTCGTGCGCCGCAGATTTGCTAGTTGAGAATTAGCACTAAAGGTGCCGGGCCGTTTATTGTGCGCATGCAATACTCGGAAGCAAATGCAGCAGCAGATGGAGGCTGGCGCCGGCGGATTCAGTCGGAAGAAGATGAATAGGAGTATATCATAGTATATCAACAATGCCATTCATCATCATTACTCACAAAGATGGACATGACATGTCCAAAATATTCCAAAAATAATATGGTTCACATTTTTTGAGATTGAAATTGAGATCCGTCGTCAAAAAAGGGGATCCACTCATTCGCCAGGGACCATCCAGGCACCGTGCCGTGCCAGGCCAGAAGAGCCCAGCGCCTGTGGAGTGCGGCCAATGTGGTGCAGGTGTCGTGTCGGAAACAGATCCTGCATCTCATGTACTATAGTCAATCTATGTCAATCTATTCCACATATTTCCACATGATATCACATCATCAAATACATCACGATGCAGATGTAAAAAGGTAAAACATGGTAAAACATTAGAACAAACAAACGTAAAAGTGCTGTTCATTGCAAAATATTGCAAAAAACATATGTTAATCTATTTCAAATATTTCATTTCACCGCCCAGGTTGCATCGCAGAGGCTTGATTCTGCAGCCGATGTGGGCAGTGCCGGCCGTCCATTGTGGAGATGACTCTGGCGAAGCCAATCCCTGCAGTGCCTGTGTGGGGTGTGGCAGCCAAGCCAGCACAGTGCGGTTTGAATTTGCAGCTGACTTCAATGATACACCCAGATACACCCCATGATCCGTGGTTCGGTAGACAGAGATACACCATGACACACCCAGATCATGTGGTATCCTTAAGTAGACCTGGTGTGTGCTATGTGTACACACCGGTCATCACAGGCATCGTATATTGATAGGATTTGATTTACAGAATCTATAATACATCATATACAATCATATACATCCTGTCATTATTATGGATTTCCAGGTGTGCTGATCCACCTGAAAGGTAGCAAGATCAAGGTGAGGAACACCCTGTGAGGCGAATCACCACCAGCAGCCACACCCTCGTCACGGAGGTCGGCAGAGACGTGGATGGCTGGAACAGTGAAATTATGCCGGATGAGGCTGATATCTTCCGACAAATCCCTCACCAGCTCATAGGGGTGCAGCTGCAGGTCAGACGGTCTGGACGACATTTCATTGCGTCAGATTGTTGGTGCATGCCCTAGATCTCCCATGCGATTGAAGCCTCGGCTGTGCTCTGCCGATTTCCAAGCAGTATATAATTTCAATTAATTTCATACACTTGTCAAATACTTGTCAAATCAATATCAATTGTCACATCAACGTCAACAGCGACTTCAACGGGTGTTCTTCAACAGCAGGTGCCAACACCTCCCATTCTGAAGGCCTGGTTTCAGGATGAAATTTGAAACCACCTCTGAGCGAAGGATTTACTGTATGTAAAACAAAAGTACAGAAAAATATAGAAAAATGATGTTGATGGATCTTGAACATAAGACGTCATAAGGCAGCTTCAGAACATTTCAGAACCCATCGCTGCATTGCATCTTTGCGCGGTAGAAAGGTGCATGTGGAGGTTCCATGTTGTATATGGATGCACAACTGAGGGTGACCTGAACTTCGAGGCTACCAGGGTTGCAACTCCAAGTCCCCCCGTTGTCGTGAACTCGACAGGCAGACGCTTACATTGGCGATTCGGAGGTAGGATGTTTTGTGCAGTTTTGTGCCATTTACCATTTGAATCTCATCAGCAAATTGCTGTATGCCATGGCAATTGCAGGAACATGTGAGCCACGTCCAAAACCCCCCTATTCATTTTTAGTAAGAGGGTGGCAGTAAGGGCCTCTGGCGTAAGCCAAAATATGGTGGGCGTAAGCCCGCGTAAGCTTTTTTGAAGCATTGCAGTGCGTAAGCTCCTGGCGTAAGGTCATACTTGCAGAGTTCCAACAGGACTTTTTTCAATTTGTAGCTATGTGAAATCCATGCATACATGTTGGACTACCTTTTTTGAAACATTGGTTTGCAACCCATGATGGAACTTAATTCTGCATGAAATCCCCTCTCTATCCAATACTACTCAAAGGGTAAGTTTGGGTCACTACATATCACACGAAAGGTTTGCCAAGTAATTCGCATGCTATACGACAAAGGAGTTGGTCCATGGAGGGCTTACGTCAGACACTATGAAAGAAATGGGGTGCGCTCCTGGAATCAAACATGGCGCTTGGAAAATCCCTTATAGATAGCGGGTCGGTCTGGTAGGAAAACTTTCTATAATTCAAGGATTTTCCATTGCCATGTTTAATTCCCGGAGGGTTTCATAATTACGATTCTTATTACAAGCTAAAATTGGACAGAGGTTGACCCCGGAAATCCGCGTAAGCTCCGCGTAAGCCGCGCGTAAGGTCCGCGTAAGCCCACATTCCTTTTCTGAGTAGTAGCCACAATGCCTCCCAAAGAAAGAGGTACTATCAGCCTCGTGCTTGGGAATCTGTTGGCCCTCAAGCAGGTGATGTAACAGAACCCACTCGCAAGTTTTCAAGCCAAAAAAAACACAAAAGCAGCAACATGCCACTGCCCAAACGATCGCTTGAAGAAAAATTGTCCGCGCGCGCGCACTCAGCAAAGCGTCTGTCAAGAAACGTCGCCAACTTCGAGTCTTGCGGAATGAGCCTACGGATTCCTCTTCTTCGTCTACTTCTACCGCATCTGATGCCTGACGGAGAGTCCAAGACCATGGCATTCTGCTTGTAAAAATTGCTGCGCGTAAGCTGGCGCTGTGGTGGGTGCAAAAACCTGTAAGCGTAAGCTCCGCGTAAGTGCAAATTCAACAAAATCCCTCGCGCAAGCCAAAACTGTGGTGGCGTAAGCAAGGCGGCGCAAGCGGACGCGTAAGCAAATCCTTATCGCCTTCAGAAGAACAGGACCTTTTGGACACAGCTCATGTCAGAATTCACACCCTGAAGTGTTCGGCTACCGATATCAGTGAGAGTTGGTTTTCCGCTTGAACGATTCTGGAACGATGCATTGATATGTTGTGATGATACTCCCTCTCTGTGAAGGCAGATGGCTTCCTGTGTTTTTCTATAGCATTTTTTCATCACTTAATAGTATCACGGGCTGACCCATTTTGAAGGTTTCAGTGGCGCATGCTGCCACCAGCCCGATTCAAAAGCGTCGGATGCTTAGCACTGCGACTTCAAGCCGCCCCGTTGCTTCAAGACGCTGCAGCTTTGCTGAGATATCCGATGATTTCTGATTTTGAAGTGAGCAGTGAAGTCAAAGCAAATTCCTTCATCAGTTTTGACGTTCACATGTTTGGACAGTCTTTAGCATGAGTCCTTGTGAAAGTTGATGCGTTTGCGGGGCTCTCCATTGAGGCAGTGAGTGATGCAGCTGGACACCAAAGTGGCATCCACAACGCTGGAACTTCCAAAGCTGCGGCACAGCGCCGACGCCGCTGGAGGACGCGCAGGGAATGCAGCAGACTGGAATTAGCATGTGCTTACGTATAGATGGCATGGTGGTCTGTGGCATATCCTTCCAGAGCTGAGATGTAGGGAAATCTGAACCTACAATGCAGCCAGTGCACTCATTTGCTTTATTCTGTTGTGGAACAGTGATGAGCCGTGGGCAAACAGCACACTTAATCTGCCTATACATTCAACTACTTACAGTAGTGTTTGCAGGCCAGAGTCCACAACGGATGGAAACGTTAAGCACTTGGGCAGCCATGGGTGTGCCGCGCATTATTTGCCCTGCAGATACGTCTCCTTGCGAGGAGCAATCCGATGGATTTACTGACATCTACTGACCTTTCAGGTGAGTGGTGTCCTATTGATCGATCTTGTTGACCCTGGTTTACTAGGTTTATAGTGGTTTATACTTTTAGAATCTTTTAGACATGTCAGTGATTGAAGGTTGGCTCACCTTGGCTGTAGTTTAGCCCTCAGCTGGTCTATGGTGTCAAGCAGGACGACCTGTCGGATGGAAGTTCCTTGGAACTGATGGCGGGCGACTTTCCGTTGATGTACCATGGAGACCAAATTGGTCTTTACTGAACTAATTTGTGCATTGTGGAGCCAGACGCAAGACAAGTGGAGGGTCACACCCATCTCACACCTTCAACAAAGATTGTCTCCATCCGTCTCCAAAAATGCAGAGACTGGAAAGCCAACTTTTTGCAGCTGTCCTTTCTTTGCGATTCCCATTGTTCAATCCACTAAAGTGCTGAGATTGCTGGCTCCGCACTAATTCTTTGAGTGGCTTGCGCCAAAGGCGAAAGTTGCGTGTCATTGTCAGACACCGAAATGGAGCATCGTAGCATGAGTTGCTAGCATGTGAAGTACTAGAATGTTCGTGTCTGACTGGAGGGTCATATCGGATGTCGGATGGCATGGCACGGTCGATATAAATAAGTATAAATTACAATCAATTATATAGGGCTGCATTTTAATGCTCCATGACACAGGCGTCGCCACGACAGTGAATGTCAAATTATGGACAATTAATTTTGAACCGTGGTTGAGAAGAACTCTGAACAAGTCAGCAAAGTGTTTGTGGAATCCAGCGCAAGTCTGAAAGTCTACCTAGCTCATCCAGCAGACAGATTTGGGAGTCGTGGAGTCACGGATAGTCTATGTCTGGGGCAGCTGTCCTATGTCGTACCAACTCTTTCTGTGTTAGGGTTGGTTTGCGCCCTGTCACGCCATCCACAGACGCCGTGGCGTGTATTGATAGGGGTCGTTGTAAGGACAGAACGAATCTTATTGCAGATGATACAGAATTCCATTTGCTGACTCCGATAAAACAAACTCAAGATATCTCAAGATCACTCTTCAAAGTGTGTGAGATGTGTGAAATGAAAGAGAGGAACACAACCGACGTTTCTGTAATTTCTGTCCTTCATGTGTCAAGCGAGCAAATGCGCTAAGATGTGAGATGTGTCAAGACTATCAACGTGTGAAAGTTCAGAGCCACTGAGACTTGACGATTTTGATGGAGCTCGTTCGGAGGAGATGAGCCGTGGTATTTTATGATGTTTTATGATTTCTTTGTTGAGCCCTTGCATGCTCAGAACAATCACGCTAGTGCCGCTAGTCAGGTAATGAACTGTATTGCACTCGCCGTGAATGGGGCTAATTCACCAGAGAAGTAATACAGCGGGAGCGTTATGAAAATGTCCATCGCAGCAACAAAAATGAGATGTTTGCTGGTTGACATGTGCTACGACTGCTACGGGTTCAAACTGAGACTTGATTTGTTCAGTAACAAGAAGGAATCAGCGGGGACAGACATTCAGGCCTAATATACCATCCTCCCTGGGAGAGGTGTTCCAGATTTGTTCATATTTTCTTGTTGTGCAGCAGGACTTGTGTCGGAATTTGCTGGCTTGCGCATTTTCTGTATCCTGCTGTATCTTGCAAGCATTTTGCCTCTATATTATATTGCTTTCAGTTTGAACAGCGTGCCAATTACATCAGAATCATCAGACCTGGAAGCTTTGTTTAACTCCTTGATGCTTTGAACTTTGAAGTGTAGGCAGGACCAGCACATTGCCTGGAGAACAGGAAACAAAGGATCCCAGAAAAACCAGACACCAAGCTGTTTCGGGATCTTGAGCCCCAAGCACATGGGAGCCTCACAGCCATGAAGTGGTTCGGTCTTCTTCATGTGTTGCCATTGCCGGCATTTGGCTGGTGGTGTGAAACGAGTGATCGTCACGGTTGCCGGGGGCAGTCGAGACATTTTGTCCGAGCAGAAACACATCCATTTTTGGTCTTTGAAGATATCAAAACTGTCTATACGGAGGAGCCCATAGTCGTAGATTGGGATCATGATGGCGACTTGGATGTGATCTTGAAGAAGTCGGATGGACTTTCACTTTTTGAGTTCAAGTCAGGGAGGCGCTTTGTGGAAGTGGAGCCCAATCCGTTCCACGGCATTCCTGTTGGATACGGCCGACCTGCAATTGTAGACTGGAATGGGGATGGCTTTTTGGACTTGATCATCGGAGCTAAGGACGAAGCAGCCAGAGAGTGTTCAACATGGAGTGATGAACTTAGGGTTCAGACGGGCTCAGACCAGTAAGACTTGCGAGAGATACGCCCAAACTGCTTGGCATTTCACATATATTATCACATTATCCTGGTTTGTTTTTCATGCAACGGCAATTCTGAAAATCAGGAATGGGAACGGTAGCCATGTTATAATCATGCCTTTGCTCCAGATGCTTGTGATCCAGTCTTTCGATTTTGTCCTGGCCAGGATGGAATCAGATACTATCAGAAGAAGCCCGACCTTCAACTTCATCAGCGACTGGGGGCCGAGAACCCCTTTCGACACATTCTGACGGGCAATATTTTTTCTTCCGACATCTCCGTTGGCGACTGGGACGGTGATGGCGATTTGGATGTTCTTCACTCCACTACTTACGGTCCAATGCAGTACTTCCAACAATCTGAAGGCCAACTTGTGCTTCTAGAGGGGCGGAAGAGCCCATTCTATGAAATTCTAAATCAAACAAAGACACACAGACCTATCATGGCAGATTGGAATGGAGATGGAAACATGGACCTACTGCTGTTGGCAAAGGTTGTTCTCCAAATCAACTCAAACATTGATCAGAGTTCCCTGTGCACTTCTTATTTGTATGAGCAGCACAAGATCGGTGGAAAAACAATGTTGGTGTTCAAGGACGAGCCGTTTTTCCGGAATGAAGGGTGCAACTCGTTTGATGGCTCTGGTGCATCCTTGGTGGATGTGGACGGGGATGGTGATTTGGATGCAATCTTTGGGTCGCGCCTTGGCCCGTTACATGTCTATAATCGCACTTCTGCCGGCCTGGTGAAGCTGAGAGAGCTCGTATCGAATGCAATGCCGTTGGACATGATTCAGCTCGAGTCACAGGATCCTCGCTTTCATGCAAATTTGCTGCGCCCAGTCCTTGCGGACTGGGACTTGGATGATGACCTGGACCTGGCATTGCTCCACCCCTTTGATCCTGAAAAGAATCGTTACTTTCTTCATCTCCCAGACGACACGGTCACAGAGCTGAACGGGCCACCAAACAGCTCGTGCCCAATCGATTGGGGCCAGCATTTCAGCGTCGCTGATTTTGATGGAGATGGAAAGAATGATCTTCTGGGTTTTGCTAGAGGAGTTGTTGTCTGTCTTCAGACTTCTTCTGACTTTGTAGTGGTAGAGCCTGAGAAGATCCCTTTCAACTATCTACCCAACTGCCCGCTGTGCTTGTCAAATGAGTCCTACTACTGGGTTTTCAGCACTCTCGGTTTCCCATCCTTTTTGGACTGGGATGGCGATGGGGATTTGGATGTGCTCAGAAAGAATCTGGTAGATCAGGCCTTGGAGACGTTGTTGCCACTTTCAGAAGGAAAACACAAGAAACGCAGAAATATGGGGCCATATGGGGCCATCATGCGCTATCTATAAATGAACATGTATATACATATATTAACATATTATTATTATTATGATTATTATTATTATTGTTATTATTGTTATTATTATTATGATATAATTATATACATTAATATTATCATACGTTTGCTATGTTTGCTCCTGTTCGCTTCTGTTGGTGTTGTTGTCTGCATATGCCGCGTGTGCAAACTCCATGTTCAAGTTCCAAGACCTGTTTGCTCATTAACGTTTGAGTTTGAATCGTTCTGTGGCGAGCACCTGGTGTTGAGGTGCGATTGTGCTTGACATGGTTTTAGCGCCCTGGCCCTTGCAGGTCTATTTGTATGAGCAGCTGTCCAATGGCACAATTTTCGCCCATCCTCTCCCCCTTCCACCAGCACGCGACTTTTCAGCTGCAGATTTTGATGGAGACGGTGATGTCGACATATTGATCATCCCACCCAACTCACGCAGCTGTTTGTATTTTGAGCGGCGGGGTGACGGGAGCCTGGAACAGCTATTTGGCACTGACAACCCTTTCGACGGTGTGTGCAAGGAAACGAACAAAAAGACTGGACTCAACGAAATTTCTGCTTCGGTGGGAGACTGGGATGGAGATGGCGAGAAAGATTTGATTGTGGTAAATGATTTCAAAGTGACGTTGTGGACAAATCGACCAATGGAAAGTTTTGTCGAAGTGAACGAGAAGGACAACCCGTTCGGACAGCTTCGTCTGCGCACACCATCAGAGGTGAGTTTCGTGGATGTGAATGATGATGGGAGGTTGGACGTCGTCGTACCGCCACAGTCCTTTCCCTTGGCATGGTGGAGGGGGTATGAAACATACAGTTTTTTCGAGAATGGAGCCAATGGATTGCTGGTAGAGCAGCTCGGTCGAGCGAATCCGTTTGACAAGGTCGCCTACAACAAAACAAACGATCGATTCTGGAAATTTGTAAAGAACCAAATTGTGGATCTCGATGGTGATGGAGATTTGGACATAGTTCACAGAGATCTGCAATACACACGAAATGATGGCGGTCATTTCACATATCTTGATCCTTCTGACCCTGATCACCCGTTTCGAGGAGTCCAGGACAACTTTTTGTCCTGCTGGACTTTCGTGGATTGGGATAAGGATGGGGACCTTGATTTGGTGCAAACCTATATGCGCGGAGGTAATACTGCGGAAGAAATAGCTGAGTATGTGCAGTGGAGAGTTGGGATTCTTATGGAAATGGTGCACAATGGCACCAGCAAAGTGGAGAGAAACGCCTGGGAAAAAAAGAACTCGTTTCGTCAGATGCGCTTCTATCGCAATGTTGGTGGGATCTTCCAAGAACTCACTGGGTCTGCAAACCCTTTCCATGACGTTGCCTTGGATGGTTATTCCTCGTGCCCTACCTTTGTGGACCTTGACAAAGATGAAGTCTTGGAGTTGGTCCTCGGAACCGATAATGGCAACGTGTCTCTATCCAGCCATCCTTCGTTTTTCTTTTCAGTAATTATTGTGTTTACAGTTACCTCTCCAGTGTTTTTTGAAATTCCTTAGGTGCATTTTTTGTGTGTAAAAAGGCAAACTACCACAAGGAAAGTTGCAGTACTTTAAGCAGCAGAACGGCACCTTTCAGCGCGTTGAGGAGACGCCGTTTGCTGACTTACTCATAAAGGGATTCGGCGATGCGTATGGTATCATCCCTCGCTTCATAGATTGGGATGGCGATGGTAACATGGACTTGGTGATCACAGGAACAGACAAGGTGCAACTCTTCCAGCGCGGCATTTGCCAGCCTTCCTCCTCATACTGCAAATCTGGGGTCTGCAATCAGCGGACCTCCGCATGCACGTGTGACAGTTTTGCAGGAGGACAAGACTGCAGCCTCTGTGGCAATTTTTATGTCCGTGAGAAGGACCAATGCAGGCCATGTCCTGGCCATAATGAACTGGCAGGTACTTGCAGCCGGAGAGGCGAGGGAGGGTTGAGGGGGCAATTCTGTGATTAGTGACGCCTGCGTACTATTGCGTCTTGTTTTTTTTGTCTAGTAACAATGTGGGCATGTTACATAAATGATTATGAGTTTGTTATAGTTTGTTAATATAACCAGATTGAATATTATGAATTGTAACTTATATAACTGTAACATATAATTTTATGAATATGTTGACACCGATTGGTGGAATGGGACTGAATATGGCTGAATCCATCATTTAGTCTCCGCAAAGTCGTGGTACTCACTAGTGGCATTTTGTTTATAAGACCAGAATTTTCAGGAGCACCTTCCTGAGACTATCCCAAGAGTCACTATACTCCTTTACTCCTGCTGGTTTCAAAGAGGTACTCCTTGAACCACCCAGATTCTGAATAATGCAATTGTTTGGGATGTAATTACTGATAATGTCAAGGACCTTCCTGAGAATTTTGTGTGAATCCCAAAAGCCGCCACTCCCCAACTACTGCTTTTTGTATCTTACTTCTCATTGATTCCAAAGAATGCCAGGGTTTCCAAAGAAGAATAAGAAGCAGAAGAAGGAAAGGGAAACGTTAAGTAAAGAAAGATGTGATCCGACGTTTTAGAAAGCAGCGTGCTCCTTGAAGATCCTCTCCACCATCACCCATGAGCTCAACAACAAAGGAAAATCAATTGAACATAGACTCATGACGCAGTGTTCCGTAGAATTTTGATGTTTTTCAATCGGGGTGACACCATCTAAATCAAATCAGCAGCCAACAGTATAGATACTGTACTTGACATGTGTATCTCTTTGTGTTCGCTTGTTTGGCCAGGTGTTTGTGAAGATGATGCAGATGCAAGAAACAATAGGCTTGCGAAGAATCTGACCGGCTTCGAAGTGACTTCTGCTAGAGGAACTGGCCAATGCACATGTTCCCCGCCATTTTTTGGGCACGGCTGCCAAGAGGGGCGGTGTCCTCCAGGAGAGCGTTTGGACAGACATGCAGAAGTGGACATGGCTACCGAGAAGTATCTTCAGTGGGAAGTTTGTGCGCCGTGCGAATCTGGCAAATTCAAAAATTTCTCAGGCAACGAGGAATGTTCTTTTTGCCCAGATGGCCATGTGCCACTGAACCGCACCAGCTGTGTTCCTTGTGCTTCTGGCACTGTCTCATCTCGAGACAACCCTGAGAAATGTACACCTTGTCCTGAAGGCTCTGTCCCAAACAGACAGACGAATACTTGTGAGGAGTGCACGGGTCCAACCTACGCATTTGAAGGAGATGAGTCTTGCAGGAGGTGTTTCTTTCCAGCTTTGATCTTGACGGGCGACGAGAATTTGTGTACCCCGGTCTATACGGTGCTCTTTCTGTTTGCATCTATTCTCTTGGCAGTCTTTGTCCTGGCGATCTTCGGAAGGTTGCGCGTTGAATGTCTCAAAAGGCGACTCAAGAAACTAGTTGCCGCAAGGAATTGGAAGGATTTGCATACCACACAGGCCAGACCACTGGAATATGGTCTTTGGCAGCGTAGGGCCTGCAAGCTGCTTGCGCTTCGCAAGGCTGAAGTGAAGTCTCGATCTTTGCAGTTGGGTGTCTCTCTCGACTACGTCTTCGGCAAGCTGGAGAATATCTACAAGGAGAAGGCACAGCAGGCCGAGTGGCGAGTCGATGTATGGGGCCCAACGACACGGAGCGGTTTCTTCGTGAGGGTTCGCAGCAGTGGAGATGCAGTTGATCCCGAGTCTGCTTGGCCTACGATGTCTATTTGTGATCACCCAGAAGACCCAAATTTTCATCAGGTAGCGGCGCTGTTGGCTTACGGACCATGGGCTTTGGGCAAGGGTCTGTGCTGCCCACGTGATGGGTTGGCAGATTGCAGCCTTGTCGACGCATTGGAAACGGAATGCCACAGCGCAAAGGCGACTTGGTTCCTCTCCTGGGTCTGGAACTACAAATTCACAACTGTGCTGAAGGCCCGGTTCTTTCTGGCTGTTCGTGCTTTTACCCCAAAAGCTTAAGCGCTGGGTTCTTGGCAACTTCACGGCAACGGGTTTCTGCAAGGTTCTGTTCCATTGAGACAAACTCGAAGAGGAGTCTTATGGAGTCTTATTCCCCGTCTTTTCTTCCAGACTGATCCAGCTACAGTACTTGCAGTACTAATGGTAGGGAAATACTTTTACTTGCATAATTATTTGTTTCAAAATTCAACGTTTTTCAACTCTTCATGTTGCAGGGTCATGACTTGATCATACATTCTCATTTTGTGTTCTTGAGTACCAACCAGACTGCCGTGTGCTAGGAAGACATTCGCAACTTTGTTCGAACTTTGAACACCTTTTGCTGTTGAAATATAACTCAAGCACCTTAAGCTTCTTTTTAGGTTCTCTTGACGCCATGGATTCTCAGTCTTTTGCCATGTTGGCTTGTGTCCGTCCAGGCTCTCGCACGGTGGTGGCAAAGGCATCGCATGGTCTTAGGAGCAACAGATGATGGAAAGGGCATTTACATCTGGTGGTGTTTATTCGTCAACAATCAGTTCCGACTTTTGGAGGAGGGCCAGACACAAGACACCAACGACTTCTTCCATGTCTTTGGCCAACAAGTGGAGGGTATTGGAAAGATGCTGATGTGCTCCGGTTTGTTCAGTGCAAAGAGCTCCGGCTCTGCGTTGGCAATTTCGGCGTCTTAACTACTTCACTTCGTTGAGGAGCAGGTTGACGTCCTCCTCCAATCCAATCCAACCAATACACATCGCGCATTTGGTGTATCTTCGAGGTTTTCGTAGCGTGTCAGAGGCGAGGCCGGGCTGTTCATGGTATTTTTTTATAGACTTTTACGGTATTTGACATGTTTAATGTTTCTCTCTTTTCCAGTCTTAAGTTTCATTTATAATGTGCTTTACCAGGCATTAATGTTACAGATCTTACACTCGTTTGCCCACCATCCATATGCTTGAAATTTCCCTGAACTTAGTAGGTGCTTGGCAGTCATGGTAGCTTGTGGACTTCATGCGATTTTTTGAACAGTTGAATAAGCTACAAAGCCTTCAAAACGAATCGCAGCGTCGTGGCTACGGAGTCACCCAGCACTAGTGGTGACCCGGTTTGTTTCAGGTTTGTATAGGTTGATGCATGTTGGGCCCTGACAGGAGCATTCCGACCACTGTCATTCTACCTGAGCTGGAGGTTGGTGCCATTGAAACTTTGGAGGACCGCTGGGTTTCTTTGGTCGCCCCAGGCCAGAAACAACGAACTCTAGTTATACCATGACCATATACCCGGATCAACCACTCAGGTGTAGTGACTAGATCAAGCAAAAAACATTTGCAATGTGGGAATTGATTCGGGTACTGGGCAAGTTGTAAATGTCGCCAGCAACTGATCTCTACAATCCAGAAATTAATTTGGTTGCTGGGCCAGTTTTGGGGCCGATTCAATGCCATTTCAGAGCTGTTTCAGTGGACTGGTTTTGCTTTCTAAACTATAAAAAATAGATGTTCAGATGCGATGTTTCAATACAATACCTCTGTTCCTAGCCTTCAAAATTTGAACTTCAAAATGCCACCAAACTTTGAAGGACTTGACCCAACAATGTCGGGTTGATGCTGAGAAGGCTGGATTGACGTCCAGGGTCTGAAAGCGCTTGTGGGTTCCACAAATTGATCTTATAATTCTTATACGACGCCGTACGATACTGTAGTAACCACAAGACAGACATCATCATGGCATGGCACATCATCTATAATATTCCGGGCATCTTTTGTCAATCCTTATCCAGGTACACTGGAAGATCTCTCCTTCACCAATTATCCATTCTTCAGGAACTATTCTTCAGGAACTATCCGTCTACAATACAGTCCAGGTTGTTTATGGTTTTTTGTGATTTTTTGCCCCGAGCTGTGTCCAAAAACGAAATTCTGCCGAGTGCACATTTGATTGGAAAGGGTGACGTTCACATTGTATCATGTCATATGTCATCACATAGTTCCCGCGAAAATCCCCAAGACATGTTTTAGTTCCCGAAGAAGGGTTTTTGTAGTTCCTTAAGAACCTATTTCAGTTCCCGAAGAAAACGGCCACCAGATGACTACACTCCCACAAGGTTTCAAAGAAAAACGTTGACGCGCAGGCGAAAGCTTCAGTCCAAGCAGATGCAGATGCCATTAAGGAACGTATCCAAAAAGAACACCAATCCTTCGAGTATGTGAACAAGACAGTGGAGCAAGCCCTTTGGTGTGAAGTCATCAAATTCCTGGAGCAGTCTCAACAAGAACCCGAAGAGATCGAGCTGTCAACACAAACGCCTCAAGACTCGGACCTGTCGACCAGCTCAGCTCCCGTTTCAGCCATGCTTTCTGCTGACTCGCAGTGCAGTCTCCAATGATTTACAGGCAGACAGCCGAGAAAACGGCATTGGCAGACCATGATGGGTGAAAACTCAAGATCCGACAAGGCTCAAGTGCTCAAGTTTTGCAGTAACCGAGCTGACTCGACCCTCGGTCAGTATTTTCCGAGCCACGGGCCTTAAACTTTTTAAGCTGCTGTCAATCCTGCACATGGCTTGACTTTTAGTCTTTGTTGTCTAGCCTCGGCCGCACGGCTACCTTGCACGTGGGTTGAATCTGAGTCTTCAGATTTGGGTGAATAGATTCGTAGTCAAGGAAGATCAAGAAATAGATCGAATTTGCAAGTTGATTTTCAGAAACAGTCGAAAAAAAGTTTCAGCCAAGAAACATGTTGCATTCAGAGTTCTCGATCGCAAGAAACATTGGATGGTTTCATGGCAATCCTTCTGATATGAGAGTGCAACCAGGGTTTGCGCAACTGGGCACAAACACGATCCAAATATGTCAGCATTCGTTTCATCATTGGCCGAGACAAGGTAGGTGATGCGCCGCAATCCCATTTTGAGTAGAGCTACAATCGCTCTCATTGCAATTGGAGACAACCCGTAACCTATGGGGTCTCAGCTTAATTCACAAGCCATGTCGGCGAATTTTGCAGCACGGTCTAAGTCTAGGCCAGGAGGCGTGTCTTCCAGACCCCGAGCAAGGTTTAACTTTTTACTTTTAAATTTGATCCGTCCTTTCTCGCAGAAAAATACAGGAAACAAATGGAAACAGCAAACAAATGCAAACAGTTGAAAGATGCTGAAAGAGCGAAAAGGGTAGCTTTTCTGCTCTGCGCAGAAAGGGCCGGCGGCGCTCGCTGGCAGGAAGGGAAAAAGGTAGACAAGCGCATGCGTTTACTAAGCAGCCAGTCGGCCGCACGTCGGCAATGTCATGGCTGCACGAGTCAATTTGTCCATATCTGTCCAAAATCAAGTGATGGTTCGTGCGCCGCAGATTTGCTAGTTGAGAATTAGCACTAAAAGTGCCGGGCCGTTTATTGTGCGCATGCAATACTCCGAAGCAAATGCAGCAGCAGCAGCAGATGGAGGCTGGCGCCGGCGGATTCAGTCGGAAGAAGATGAATAGAAGTATATCATAGTATACCAACAATGCCATTCATCATCATTACTCACAAAGATGGACATGACATGTCCAAAATATTCCAAAAATAATATGGTTCATATTTTCTGAGATTGAAATTGAGATCCGTCGTCAAAAAAGGGGATCCACTCATTCGCCAGGGACCATCCAGGCACCTCAGTGAGCCTCAGTGCCAGGCCAGAAGAGCCCAGCGCCTGAGGAGTGCGGCCAATGTGGTGCAGGTGTCGTGTCTCTGGAAACAGATCCTGCATCTCATGTACTATAGTCAATCTATTCCACATGATATCACATCATCAAATACATCACGATGCAGATGTAAAAAGGTAAAACATTAGAACAAACAAACGTAAAAGTGCTGTTCATTGCAAAAAATTGCCAAAAAAATATGTTAATCTATTTCAAATATTTCATTTCACCGCCCAGGTTGCATCGCAGAGGCTTGATTCTGCAGCCGATGTGGGCAGTGCCGGCCGTCAATTGTGGAGATGACTCTGGCGAAGCCAATCCCTGCAGTGCCTGTGTGGGGTGTGGCAGCCAAGCCAGCACAGTGCGGTTTGAATTTGCAGCTGACTTCAATGATACACCCAGATACACCCCATGATCCGTGGTTCGGTAGACAGAGATACACCATGATACACCTAGATCATGTGGTAGACCTGGTGTGTGCTATGTGTACACACCGGTCATCACAGGCATCGTATATTGATAGGATTTGATTTACAGAATCTATAATACATCATATAAAATCATATATATATATATACATCCTGTCATTATTATGGATTTCCGTGCTGATCCACCTGAAACGTAGCAAGATCAAGGTGAAGAACACCCTGTGAGGCGAATCACCACCAGCCACACCCTCGTCACGGAAGTCGGCAGAGATGTGGACGGATGGAACAGTGAATTGATGCAGGCTGGATGATGCTGGTATTTTCTGAACAACAAATTTTTCACCAACACACTGGTGCAGCTGGAGGTCAGACTGTCAGGACGACATTGCGTCAGATTGTTGGTGCATGCCCTAGATCTCGCATGCGACTGAAGCTTAGACAACTACACTCCGGTAATTTCCAGCAGTATACTTATACTATCTTATACTTATCAAATCAATATCAATTGTCACATGGAGGTCAACAGCAGCTTCAACTAGATGTTCTTCGACAGCAGCTGCAGAGCGGTCTGGACCTTTTGGTGCAGAAGGACGGATTTGAATTGGCAAGTCCAGAAAAAACATCATTCGGGCAGCAGTTGATAGAGATTTTGGACAGAAGACAGCTTCAGAACCCATCGTTGCATTGCGTCCTTGATCGGTAGAAAGATGGATGTGGAGGTTCCATGTTGTATGTGAGGCACAACTGAGGGTGAGGTGAACTTTGATGCAAGGGTTACAAACTCCAAGTCCCCCACTTGTCGTGAACCGACAGGCAGACGCTTGCATCTGCGATTCAGAGGTAGGTTGTTTTGTGCATTTTTGTACCATTTGAATCCATTTCATTTGAGCAAAGTGCTATGTCATGGCAATTGCAGGAACATGTCAGAATTCACACCCTGAAGTGTTCGGCTACCTACATCAGTCAGAGGCGGTTTTCCGCCTGAACGATTTTTGAATGATGTATTGATAGTGTGCTGATTCTCCCTGTGAAGGCAGATGGCTTCCCTGTGTTTTTCTCTAGTCATTTTTCGTCACTCAACATCACGGGCTGACCCATTTTGAAGGTTTCAGTGGCGCATGCTGCCACCAGCCTGATTCAAAAGCGTCGGATGCTTAGCACTGGACTTCAAGCCGTCCCGTTGCTGCAAGATGCTGCAGCTTTGCTGAGATATCCAAAGGATTTCTGATTTTGAAGTGAAAGTTGAAATCAACGCCCTGCACATTCCTTCATCAGTTCTAAGGTTCATGTGCTTGGACAGTCTTCAGCATAAGTCCCAGTGACAGTTGATGCGTTTGCGGGGCTCTCCATTGAGGCAGTGAGTGATGCAGCTGTACACCAAAGTGGCATCCACAACGCTGGAACTTCCAAAGCTGCGGCACAGCGCCGACGCCGCTGGAGGACGTGCAGGGAATGCAGCAGACTGGAATTAAACATGTGCTTACGTATAGATGGTGGTCTGTGGCATATCCTTCCAGAGCTGAGATGTAGGGAAATCTGAACCTAAGCACAATGCGGCCAGTGCACCCATTTGCTTTATTCTGTTGCGGAACAGTGATGAGCCGTGAGCAAGCAGCACACTTAATCCGCTTATACATTCAACTACTTAGTGTTTGCAGGCCAGAGCCCACAACGGATGGAAACGTTGAGCACTTGGGCAGCCATAGGTGTCTGCCTCCTTGCTGGTCTGAGGACGGGAAGCAATCCTATGGATTTACGGACCTTTCAGATGAGTGGTTCACTATTGATCCATTTTGATCCATTTTGTTGATCTGGATTTTATTACTAGACATGTCAGTGATGGAAGGTTGGCTCACCTTGGCTGCAGTTCAGCCCTCAGCTGATCCATGGTGTCAAGCAGGACGACCTGTCGGATGGAAGTTCCGTGGAACTGGTGACGGGCGACGTTCCATTGACGTACCATGGGGACCAAATCGGTTTCTACTGAACGAATTTGTGTGGAGCCAACCAAACGCAAGACAAGTCGAGGGTCACACCCATCTCGCACCTTCAATAAGGATCGTCTCCATCCCTCTCCAAAAATGCAGAGACTGGAAGAAAACTCTTTGCAGCTGTTCTTTGTTTTCCGTTCCCACTTCTCAATCGAATACAGTGCTGAAATTGCTGGCTCCCACCAATTCTTTGAGTGGCTTGCATCAAAGGCGAAAGTTGCGTGTCATTGTCAGACACCGAAATGGAGCTAGCATGAGTTGCTAGCAGATATAAGGATTGGAAAATCTTGAAATAAATGGTCGTGTCTGACTGGACGGTCTCAAATCGGCTGGCGAGATAAAGTCACAAATATAGGGCTGCATTTGAATGCTTCATGACTAATCTGGGGTCATCGTCACCATGAAAGCAACTTTGATAATGGTGGATCTAGAACTCATACGAACTCTGAAGAAGTCAGACATGGCTTCGTGGAGTCCAGTTCAGATTCTGAAAGTCTACTTAGTCCGCTTAGTCCGCCCAGCGGCCAGTTTCCAACACAGATTTGGGAAGGTCATGAGCAGTCATTTGCAGGATCGCCGGGAATGGGGCAAATTCACAAGAGCCGCAATACAGTGGGGGCGTGGTGAACATGTCCATTGCAGCGATAAAAATTGAAACGTGTGCTGGCTTGACATGTGCTGCAAGATCGCACATGTTCGCACTGCCGATTTGTGAATTAAGAAGACCCTGCGAGAGGCGTTCCAGGCATTGGTTTCTTGTTGAGCACCATGACTTGCGCCAAAACTTGCTTAATGTTGGCTGCATAATAATAAATACCACCCCTAAATTTTAATTAAAAAAAAGATTAGGGGGGGGTCAACCTTCCTATAATAATCTATTTGTGGGAATCTATAGCTGGGATCATGATATGTAATTACTGTATCTGATTGATTCTCCATGGTTTTGTTGGGTTTCTGTTAGATTCTGCATAGGGTTTGGTTAGATTTCTGAGATGTTCTGCATAGGTTCTGCATGGATTAGGGTTGGTTTCTGTTAGATTCTGTATGGATTTGGTTATAGATTCTTGAGTGGCGAAGAGATTGGCGAAGAGTTGGCAAGGCGGAAGTGGACATGGAAGTGGGGGCAGAGGTGGTGGAGGCGAAGGAGGAGGACGAGGAGGAGGAGGAGAAGAAGGAGAAGAAGGAGGAGAAGGAGAAGGAGAAGGAGGACAACAAAATTGGAGTTGCGGAAAAAAGTTTCCACTATTGCCATGCCTGGTGCAGGTTTGTTATTGCTATTCTCGGGCTTGCAAAGGGGGTACCCTTTGCGGACCTGTTTTTTTCAATTTTTTAATAAGAGTTTAATAAGGAAATCGCCTGTTTTAGACTGGGATCAGATTTCTGGAATCTAGGCGTTTGCAAATCAAAAGTGAAAGCTGCTTTGAAAAGGATTTGCTTTACTTGACTCTTCTGGCAATACTAAAAGTAAATAGAGCTAATTGACTTTAAGTATTGGAGAAAAAATTGGAGTTGGAAAAAAAGTTTCTACTATTGCCATGTTGG